CTGCGATTCCACGGCGATTTAAAAAATTTAACAACGCCGTAATGACTCCGTGTGAACGCAGCTTGGTGTGACAGGGCCTTTAGTTTAGAAACAGCTGAATTTTTATTTATTTTTGAAATCTTTCATTTGCTTTAATGATACCAACTCATTTTATTTCATTGTTTTCTAGTGTTTCTTTTATTTATTTTTTCTCTTACCCTCACAACAATGCATATCTTGCCTATGTAGGTAGGGACTGACCCAATCTCTAGGCAGGATGTGTATTGATGAGGAACATAAATTATTTTTAAATTATTATTATTATTATCTTTTTTTTTAATTAATTTTTTTTTCTCCTTCTTCTTTCTCAATTTGGTTTAGCTATTTCTGTGTGAATTTTTAATTTTCTAAACTTTCAAATTTATTTATTTATTGTTTTGTATTCATTTATTTTTATTATTATTAATAATACAATTAGTTTTTTTTTATCTGAATTTATGGATTAAACTTAGTGCTTAATTTTTATTACTATCATATAACTTTTATTTATTTATTTATAATACTCACGTTATATTTATTTTTGTTCCTCTTAATGCAATCATATTGCTTTTCAATTTGTCTATTTTTTTCTTTAACTTATTCTAATGAAATTATAAATTCTTAAAATTTGTTAAATTCTTAAAATTTGTTAAATTCTTAAAATTGGTTTTATCTGTCATATGTATGTGTATATATGTACATGTGTTTTTGCATGTTAATTTATGTTGTAAATGTTTTCTTGTGATATTTAAACTGTGATAGTCGGTTTAAGAGCTCTACAGAGCTCATGTTTCTTTGTTATGTAATGTATACAATGCCGACTTTAAATAAAATTTACTTTACTTTACTTTAACTTTTTGTCCAGAAACTGCCGAACGAAGTTAAAAAATCCGAATTATAAAGATTAAATATATTTATCTAAATATATTTTTTCAAATTATTGTCACATATGTGCCTTTGGATATAAGGCAACATGCAGGTATCTTTGTTACATATTTTAGCAATTTTTCATTAAAAATGTAGGCCATGGAAATATTCCGGAAATGTAAAGTGTTTAAATTTAACTATGAGCACACGCAACGCGATTGACGAAATAGGTTTTTTTCGACTAGTCATAGCAATTGCATTGAACATATACAAATATTATTCATCGCGTTGCCTGTGCTCATATTAAAACATTTACAAATGTGCATAAAAATTTTTAGTTTTTTGCCAAAAACTGAAATCCGGGTAAAATTTGGAATTTATAATTCTGATATGTGACGTTTTGGCGCCATTTCCTATGCATGATTCAAGTAAGGGGGTTGTCTCAAAATAACTTCGCAGGGTAATGACAGATTACCAGCCACTTCATTTTTCTTAATTTTCTTGGGCCAAATTTATATACAAAGTATATTTTGTTCTTTGAGCAGATGATAAAAATCAGGTTTCCTTTTTTTTTGTAGGTTTTTTGTGAATTTCGACCCTAGGGCAGGGGTGCCCCTAAAAATATCCTATCTTAAATTATTTCTTACATTCTAACCTATCAAAATGTCAGAATTTTATTTAGGGGCAGGCCTGCCCTGAAGGACTTCTAGGCCAAAATTCATGCCAAAATCAATGCTTTAACGTACGAAATGGTGTTTCGATCAACTTTGGAGGTTTATTGTAAAGTTCTGAACAATAAATTTTAGGTATAAAATACAAATTTGAAAAATTTAGACATATATACGGTAGAAAACAACAAATAAAGATTTATATTTAAATGTCACTTTTTCCGGAAAATTTTTCTCTCCGTTAGGTCAATTCTTTTCTCTTAGTGAATACATCCTTTCTGTGAAATACTTTCAAAATGCTATTTTTCCTACAGATTTTTTTGTGATTTCAATATAAATTGGCACACAAAAGGACTACACTAAGATACATAATTCTATATACTGGTTTTTGATTTTGATGAACAATGTTGCCGTGGTTACTAAAAATAGAAATTTTTGTGAAATACTTTCAAAATGCTACTCCTCCTACAGTTTTTGTCTGATTTCAATATAACTTAGCACACAAAGAGACTACACTAAGATACATAATTCCTTGTATTGGTTTTTGATTTTGATGAACAGTGTTGCCATGGTTACTAAAAATAGAAATTTCTGTGAAATACTTCCAAAATGCTACTCCTAGCTCCTACAGTTTTGGTCTGATTTAAATATAACTTGGCACACAAGTAGAGTACACTAAGATACATAATTCTCTTTATCAGTTTTTGATTTCGATACACAATGTTGCCTTGGTAACTAAAAATAAAAATTTCTGTGAAATACTTTAAAATTGCTTCTCCAAATACATTTTTAGTCAGATTATAGTATAATTTGGCATGCAAGTAGACTACACTGAAATACATAATTATCAGTTTTGTGTTTCTGATTTTGATGATTGATGTTGCCATAGTAACTAAAATTCAATATTCTGTAAAGTTTTATTAAACGCTACTCCTACAACTCTAGTCTTATTGCAGTCTTGCCACAAAAAGAGACTTATTCAAGGATCATTATTCTTTTTATTGCTTTTGTAAAGTTTAAAGTCCCAACTGCTAATTTTCTCTTCCTTTTCTAGTATTAGAGCGTTCGCTTCATGATCCGGAGGCCCGCATTCGATTCTCGTTCGCGGCGCCTCGTCATACCTAGGATGTAAACAAAGGTAGTGACTGTTCCTTCGCCAAGCGCTCGGTACTAGAAGTGAAAGTCACGGGTCTTTCGGATATGACCTTAAAAATGTAGGTCCCGTGTCACGGTAGGCGCTGGCATGATAAAGAACCCTCACTGCTCAATGGCCCTGAGTGCCGAGTATAGGTCTAAATTTGAAGCCCTTCACCGGCATATGGTGACGTCTCCATATGAGTGAAAAATTCTCGAGAGGGACATTAAACAATATACAATCAATCAATCAATCTAGTATTAGAAGTACAAACCAGTAGAGCTACAGTCTCAACAGAGACTTCTGGTTTCATCATACATTAGCTCGATCAGCTTGGACAACCATTAACTCGTATCAGTGCTTTCAGTACTTTGATTTGAAAATCAAAATATTAACTTTTGTAATAATTTCAGATGTGATTTAACTCAGTAACTGTTCAAAAGTTCCGATAGGAATCCATATAAATTACATGTATATACTTAAACAAGACAGTATTGTATGAACTGAAAGTAGAAACATCAAGTCAATATTAACAAAAACCCCAGATTAATTAAGAGACTAAATACACCAGCTTGCGTGTACAACAAATTAATAATCAGAATTTTCAGTATTCGCATAGATCATTGAAGTATTTAAATAAGTACAAACTTTGTTATTTACATAAATACATCGGGTTCAGGTACTGAATTGTAACCATTAAAGTCGATCCGGAATTTATTTTTCCGGATGCACTGACTGGGTTAAGTTATAGACTCTACCGTAGATTAAAGGATGTATTCACTATAACAAAAGAATTGACTTATTGGAGAGATCACAATTTCCCGGAAAAAGTAACATTTAAAAATTAATCTTAATTTGTTGTTTTCTACCGTATATATGTCTAAATTTTTCAAATTTGTATTTTATACCTAAAAAATATTATTTACAACTTTACAATAAGCCTCCAAAGTTAGTCGACACACCATTTTGTCTGTTAAAGCGTTGATTTTTGCATAAATTTTGGCCAAGAAGTCCTTCAGGGCAGGCCTGCCCCTAAATAAAATTGTAATATTTTGATAGGTTTGGATGCAAGGAATAATTTAAGATAGGATTTTTTTTGCCCTAGGGTCGAAATTCACAAAAAGACGACAAAAAATAAGGAAACCTTATTTTGATAATCTGCCTCAAATTTACATCTTTCATTCTTATATACATGTGTAGTTAGACTAGCTCAGTTGATGTATGGACTGACATTTCCATCATAGAAACTTTCTATTTATTAAGTCGGGGGGTTCGAATCTACCTGGAACCACACTTTTAAAGTATTAAATTTCGCCTTGTCAATGACTATTTTAATTTTTTTATATAGACTATTGTATTTTCCTTCAATTATCTATCCTTTATGTATGCACATTCATGATATGAGATCAAATTGCAATGTACAATTGTCAGCCAGGCGGAACAAACCTCATTAAAAGCACACTTTCTCCAAGGATAAGAATAACTCACTCTGTGTTACTCGATACAGGTATTCTTGGCAGCAATGAGCTGCGATGCATTTCAATGTATATATTCCTTAGAATTAAATCACATTGATTTTGGCTACATATATCAGAAACTGTAATCCCTTGGATTTCATTTAGGCCTATATAATTTGCACACATCAACATGTTTTATTATATCCATGGATAAATAGCCTAAACATAAAGAATAGAATTTAAGAGACAGTAGACATTACCAATATGCACAATAAGAAGTAAAGACAAATAACAATTTTAAAATACATTTGGAGATAACAAACTCAGAAAATCAGTGGAAGGGTTCCTCCTAACTCTACTCACTGAAATAAAGATTTAGGAAAAACAAATTGTTATATGTATTCAGCCTAATGTGATTAATCGGAACGGAAAACGACAAGTTTTTTGTAGAGAAAAAAAACAAGCCCTGTCCTATAGGTCAGATCCCTACTTATAATGAAGTGATCCTTTACTACAGTGAATCATGACATGAAACATATGGAGATAACAAATATTATTCAAGATCAAAAACCCATAAAACAATACAAAATAGGAGCAGAGCAAACACTGACATCCTAAACATCAGAGGTGGGATCAGGTGCCCTAGAGGAGTGAGCATCCCCTACCAACCGGTCACACCCACCATGTGCTCCTGATATTTGCAATGCAACTTCATCACTCCCATATGTACTAAACTGTACAGGTTCTTCAGTTTGTGCAAATTTTGCATTCCAAATCTGCCTTGTTCATATCATGAATCCTGCTTGAATTGGTATCAAATGGTTCAAAATTCTTAATTCTAGAAATTCATTTATTTTTCAAAATGTCCATACAAACAATATAAATTAATAATTATGCATAGTTTAAGATTAACAGTACATGAAACTATATATACATATATACAGTTATCTGTTTAACAGAGATTTATATTATCCGAGCTAACTTGAGGTATATATGATACTATGCATAAGATTATTATTGGTAAATCAATTAATTACATGCATTGTCAATACAAATTTATGGGTCTTGAAATAAACTCTGAGATTATTACCATCTGGGAGAGAATAATGCACAATACAAATACATGTACATTAGAAAGACCCTATACTGTAAATAAGTAGAAGTTCTTTAACCTTTTACATTAGGTTTACAAAGAAAGAATTATTAGAAAGACATTAAATAAAGTCATTAGTGTCATTTGATACAATGTAGATTTATGACATTCAATAAGAATATTTTTAATTCAATTCATGCATTATTGTATATAAATTTATGAGAGCATCCTTAGGAAGAAGAAATAGTTCAGATTAGGGTTGTTATGGACACAAACCGAGACCAATCAGGTGCTGCCTCTATGACCCCTTGACCTTTCTGATGATGGCCTCTAGTTGATCCCACTGTTCATTTGTTACAATCCTCAAGTCATTGAACTCCCCCGCTCTCATCACATACTCGCCTCCATCGAAATTTATGATCTTTGAGAAGATATTAAAAAAAATTAATTAATTACATGGTATGCATGTATACATTTGACAATTCTATTTCCTGTTCTGGATCTCTGTTCATTTACAGGGTTTGTGCAGTCTTCTATGCATCTTTCAAGCTTTACTTTAAAAGCCATTTTAAAGAACTTTTCAAGACTCTGACCAATAAAAAAAAATCTTATTTCATTGACATTCTTTTAATTTTTTATGCAAAGACTCAAAATTTCAGTGCTTGAAGCTTTGAGAGGCACTTCATAGAATGAATACCCCTTGTGGCAACTATCAACTGTATAATACGAATTTTAAATATAATTACAAAGTAAGAAAATGATGTTGACTTACACTTCCACTCATCCAGCTGGCGTAGTCACTGACCATGTAGCTGGCTAGATTAGCGATCTCTGGTACCTCCCCAAGCCTGCCTACTGGGATAACATCTATCAGTTTATCCTTAAACTGACCTGTCGGGTCAAGGCGGCTAAACGCACCCTGACAGAAAAAAGAGTTCAAGCTGATTGTATAGGGATGGATATCTCAAACAAGAGGCCCAAGGGCCACATCGCTCACCTGAGCACATCTACAGGAAAAAGCACATATCAGATCAAAACTGAAAGTTTACTGGGGGGTATAATAACCCTCCTGGGTGTCATGATTTGAACAATGTAGAATCTACAAACCAGGATGATTCCATATAAATAGAAAAATATCCCTAATCATGGCTTTGAAGTACTTGAAAAGAAGATTTTAAAAGGTTCCCCTATATATCCTTATGTACAACTTTGGTCAGCCATTTTGGGCCCAAAACTACCCCCAGAGGTCATGATTTGAACAAGCTTGAATCTTCACTAACTGAGGATGATTCCACATAAGTTTCAGTCTTTCCTGGCCCAAAGGTTCTTGAGAAGAAGATTTTTAAAGTTTTTCCTATATATTCCTATGTAAAACTTTGGTCGGCCATTTTGGCCCCATCCTAGCCACAGGGGTCATGATTTAAACAAACTTGAATCTACAATACCTGAGGATGGTTCCACATGAGTTTCATCTTTTCTGGCATAGTGGTTCTTGAGAAGAAGATTTTTAAAGAATTTTTCTATATATTCCTACGTAAAACTTTGGTCAGCCATTTTGGCCCCACCCTAGCCCCAGGGGTCATGATTTGAACAAACTTGAATCTACACTACCTGAGGATAATTTCATTTAATAAGTTTCATATTTCCTTTCTCAATGATTCTTAAGAAGAAGATTTTAAAAAGATTTTTCCTATATATTCCTATGTAAAACTTTGGTCGGCCATTTTGGCCCCACCCTAGCCCCAGGGGTCATGATTTGAACAAACTTGAATCTACACTAAGGATGATTCCACATGAGTTTCATCTTTCCTGGCCCAGTGGTTCTTGAGAAGAAATTTTCAAAGATTTTTCCTATATATTCCTATGTAAAGCTTTGGTCGGCCATTTTGGCCCCACCCTATAGTCATGATTTGGAAATTGAATCTACACTACCTGAGGACAGATTCCACATGAGTTTCATCTTTCCTGGCCCAGTGGTTCTTAAGAAGAAGATTTTTAAAGATTTTTCCTATATATTCCTATGTAAAAGCCAGCCCCACCCTGACATGATTTGAAAAAACTTGAATTACAACCTGAGTATGATTAGATTTCATCTTTCCTGGCCCAGTGGTTCTTGAGAAGAAGATTTTCAAAGATTTTTCCTATATATTCCTATGTAAAAATTTGGTGGGCCATTTTGGCCCCACCCTATAATAGTCATGATTTGAACAAACTTGAATCTACACTACCTGAGGATGATTCCACATGAGTTTCATCTTTCCTGGCCCAGTGGTTCTTGAGAAGAATATTTTTAAAAATGCTATTATTTTTTCACTAATTCATAATTATCTCTCAAGAGGGCGTGGCCCAGTGAACAAAATCCCCTTCAAAGATACTTTGTGCCAAGTTTGGTTGAAATTGGCCCAGTGGTTCTTGAGAAGAAGATGAAAATGTGAAAAGTTTACGACAACGACAACAACGCCAACGACAACGACAAACGGACAAATTTTGATCAGAAAAGCTCACTTGAGCCTTCGGCTCAGGTGAGCTAAAAAGGGTTTTCTGTCAGAGATATTAGTGAAAATATATGCAACTTAATACAGATGCATTTACTGGTACATAATGTATCAAAAAGTAAAAAGAAGTACAAGGGATTTAAAATTAATTTTAGTGTTTCATATCAGTTCTTATAATACCTTAGTTTCTATTGGTCCAGGAGCTATACAGTTAAACCTCAGTCCATATCTGCCCCACTCAGCAGCCAAAGACCTAAGAATCCACAGCAACACTTTATTGATAAAACTTCATTTGTTTTTCCATTTATTTATCATATTGATTGCAAAGACTTTTGTAAGGTATGCTTTCCTTTCATATTATAGTAAGTAATCACTAATGCATCTTAAAGGAATCCCTGTTCTTGCTGCTTTATTCAATTAAGTACAAAATAACAGTAATATGATCCTGTTTGTGATATTTTTGCTGACTTTAAAATCATATTCTCTATGTAATGAATCAGATTGACAAAAGCCCATAAATGTGCTTTCTTATAATTACTTTGTCAAGCCTTCCACCCCTGTTTTGGCTGCTGCACTTGGTGTAACAAATCCTGATCCACTCCCAGTATAAATTGTAGTTATAGACAAAAAAGAAGCACCTGAAATACATATACACTGTATATTGTCTACGTATAAATCAAGTAAACTAGAAAATAACTAGACCAAAGGTCAAATTTAAGGCCTTGGAAACCTGAAGAGAACATTGATTCCTATCTTGCCATAAACACCCTATAATGAGAGAAAAACTGGAAGGGCACAAATTTTGATGGTCAATGTGTGAACAAAAATCCCACATGTACTAGCTACAATATGTTACCCTGTTTTGCTTTGATGAGCCTTTTTCCCAGTTCTAAGGTGACAATAGCTGTTCCATTGAGTACAATGTCCACCACAGTTCTGAAGGCATTAGGGGACAGTCTCTCTGTGGGGGATATGAAGTTTCCCGCGGCGTTGTTGATAACAATGCTGGGTAATCCAAACTCCTGCTCACAGCGATCTACGGCGGCCTTCACACTGTCTGGATCACGGACATCTGCCGCCACCGCTAGAACCTACAGGTAATTAGGTTCAAACAATGAAAGAGAAGAGGTAGCTAAAAAATGAATAGATTCTGAAATATTACCAGTATTTATAGAACTAGATCCCATAGGGTTCTCCTTAAGACCCGGGGACCAGGGATATTCCCAACCTATAATGATGTAATACCCCAGTATTTTGGTATTCCTCCTAAACTCTCCATTTGGAACTGAACCCCAGATCCCATCCTACTTTTTAAATTCCCCTTCTATTTCAATTCTTAGGAACAGCCCTGTTTTTCTAGGTTTTTTTATTTCAGAAACATTCTTTCATTCCATTTAAAAATTAAGTATATATTTTTGAAAGAAAAATAAATGTAACACTTACTTTGTTCCCTGTAACACTACTTATTTCTTCAGCTGTTTGTTCTAGTACTGGCAATTTTCTACAAAACATAAAATTAAAAAAAAAAATTTTTAAAGGTATGCATCTGACTAAATAAGCTGTTATAATCTAAATATACTACCAAATATAACCTTTTCATGAGATCGATCTATTGATATATTGACTTCACAGAAAGTATATTGACTAGGCATGAAGAGCTAGGTCTCCATGTATATGCTTTTCAGTGAAGTCAATAAATTATATTGATTGATTGACAGAATGAAAGGGCTACATTTGCATTGCTATTTTTTTTTACAGATACTGACCAAAAAAATTGAAAATAATGGAAGAAATTTGTATTCTTTCTTGTCATTTTTAAACACATGAGAATTAAAGATCAAAATAAATGAAGCTGTTTATGTAATTGCATTTTCTTTATACTAATAGAGAAATTTAACAGAAAATGTAATAATTTAAAAGACAACAATACATAATGGTTATTTCATTATATTTTTATATAAAGAATATCCTTATATCAAGGCATTGTTATATCTTACCAATTATTACAGGGCATATAATTATAAATAGGAAGTATACATTTTTATCAATATTGTTGTTGTTTTATATAAACATCAATTGAATATACATTTCTTATAGAAACACAATTGTCTAATCTTATATACTTGACTATGTGATGAAGTTTGAGCAAATTAGAAAGCATTAGGGCTGCCACGAATCAGAAAATTTTCGAATCGATTCGGTTCAAACAAAAACCTCGATTTTCAAATAATTTCGGTTCGATTATAAGAAATACATATTTTTTTTAATTTTTGTATAAAATCTGTAATCTTTGATCATCATAATCATAAGACATTCTTTAATAAATAATGATTCATACTTTTATAAGGTTTATTATAAAATAGAAGAAGAAAACAAAGAAAATACCTAATGTTCTAATTAAAAAGTATGACTTAAGAATAAAATGTCGGAAATCCAAATTAATAAAAATACTGGTCATTGGTTTTAAAAGATGAAACATGCGAACAAATCTTTCAAACAAAACCAATGATTTCATATTAATTATTATGCTAAACATAAAAGTATTGGTGATCTGCTCACAAAGGCTGTTTGGCCACAATAGGAAACGGTAAGATTCCTGCTGTGATTTGAATTTTTGATTCACCAATACGATATCAAACCACGTAACTGTCATAACAAGAATGTCTATAATTACTTCACATTCAAAACGATCTCAATATTAAAAAGAAATAAGGAAATTCGCAGCACTGTGTCGGTTCCTCTAAATTCAGAATTACGTGGCTGATGGGTGTTGCCTTTTAGTAAATCTATTTGTCCTTTGTGCCATCTTTCTGTCGAAAATAGAACTTGGAAGTAGTCCCCCGTCGACTTCTTCGCACCATTTCCATGTTTTTGTTTACTTTAACATGATTTGCCATTATTTCTTCCCATTAACCAATCGGAATGCGCGTAACAACAGCAAGTGTTAGTATGAAAAAATCAAATGAAGAATCGAAATCTCGAACCGAAAGATTGTGAAGCAAATCGTTAGAAAGCATGGAATGATAGAAATATAATATAGATATATATGTGCATGCCTGCTTGTAATGACAACCTGGGCTCCTAGTTGTGAGAGTGCTGTGGTCATTCCTTTCCCTAGCCCAGTACCCCCACCTGTGATAAAGGCTGTCTTGCCTTTAAATGTATCTTTGGGTAGCATGGGTGTTGACACAGCAGGAAAGAAATGAGCCTGTGGTCCAACTTTGTCTTTTCTGTGACTCGCAACAGAAAAATTGCGGATGAAACTCCCATGGCCAGTTATCTGCAAAAAATGTACAACGGTGCATTATATTGTTACATGCAAGTTAATTTAAGATAATTTAATTACTTCAAACTAGATCATGAAAAACAGACTTGATCCTATTTTGAGTGTTATTTGTATTATTCCAATTGGCAAAAATGTAAATAAAGTAACAAGATTAGGAGTAAAATGTATGGTATAATAAAAGATACCATGCCTATGTGTGGGGAACACTGTCACATATTTATATTATTACTTGGATGTATAGCTCTCCAATTTGACAGGCCAAGTTTTCTCAATCAGAGAGCCACATTTTTTCAGTTACATTGAAACTTTTATTTTACTCAAGGCCTCTTGTGAGGCATAAGACTATTAAAGAGTAAGAGTACAAACTTAAATACATTTTTTAAACAGATAAACAAGTCTAAAAAACAGGAATGATAGGAAAAAACTAATTTACAAGAGATTGCAGATGTTGGGAGTTAATATACAGAAAGCTGTCATGCACAAAGGAAATTCGAACGTAAAACTGATCAAAGTCCACTCCATGAAATGTCACCTCTCTCAAACTCAAATTAGATATAAACTCGTGAGTTCTACGTGATCAACTTAATTCTTATCAATGAATACTTTAATTTTCAGAGAAAATTTTGAGGGAAAAACGATTAAAACTCACAAACTGGATCCTGTTTTTCTGCAGCGATCGGCATATGGAGGCCGCCATGTTTATTGTGTTTACGTTGGGGAGCAGTTATTTTAGTGACCAATTTCTCAATCTCTTTAAAATTTAACATAACTCAACATGCTCAGTACAGCATGTAACCTATGTTTATTTTATAAAGGTTTTTAATGACGTAAAATTATTCTAGGAAAAGGGATTGTTAAGTTGTCTTATTTTCTAATTTTATTTAAAAAAATAGCTGCTCCCCTTCAAGGTCAAGTTTACTTTCAGTTTCGTTTTAATCAAGGACACGGCGTGAAGTGATTAAATAACGTTAAATTGCAGTATCATCATGCTCAGGCTTTTTCGTGGTGTAAAACAAGTAAGAATTGAGACTCTATAGATTTCTTTGTGTATTGTTTCAAGGATAACATAACATGGAATGTCATGACTAATTAATTAATTAAACTGAAATTGATTTGTAAAATATCTCTCCATGTGTGTGTTCTTCTTGACATGTTATTGTTCAAATCGGAATGAAAGTTAATTTGTTGTAGTACCTACCAGCGATTGCAAGGAGAGGGTACTGTGAGGCAAATACGGAGTTCACTGAAGGAGAAAAGAAGATTATATCTATACTCAAGTCAAAGTTCCCATCAGCCAAAGTAGAGGCTCAGGATATATCAGGTTTCATACTAATGCATCTAATAAATAGTCTATCGTAAAAATATACTAGAGGTCTAAAGAATTTCAGCAATTAATATCTTTACATTCTGTTGAATACTGGGTTTTCAAAAGGTAAAACTAAAAGAGCATGCCCCAAAACCAGAGACATTATAAATAACATTTATTTATGTCTGCCTAGACATTCTGAATTCGAAAGTTCGGCAAGGGATGCTCAGTTGTTAACAAAAAAAGTGTACGTTGTAGAGCGTCTCTGGGGCCAGAAACTTCACACAAGCTCATTTTCTATCTCATTCTCATTTTCCATTTAGATATGAATTGCTTTGTTAAAGTGGGGTTGAGATCATTGATAAGTAAGCTAAGTTTTATGGTCCCATGCAGAGCCTGCACATTTTTCAATTGCTAAACTGCAATGTTATGTTGAGTAGTAGCAGTTAGTAAGATGTAACTATTTTCACACATAATTGGAATTAATGAAGCAAATCATAATGCTTTATTTATCCACTTCACTCAGAGTAAAATATTTACCTTGCCCCTATGGAATCTGTGAGTATAATACTCCTTTATTAGTTTAATCAGCATATTGACCTTATAAACAGCAGTAATTTTATAGTTTAACATTGTTGAAAATGTAATAAAAATGTGTATTTTACAATTTTAATTTTTGTTCAAGATTTTTTCTGTACAATAATGTATGATTATTATTGCATGTAGTATATATAACCAATACATGTATATTATATTACATGTAATTAAGGGGTATATATATACCTATAAATAATATTATAATAACATACCAGAGATGTATTCATTTAATAGCTCACCTATAAGTCGGACATAGAGTTTTGGGCCAGAGATTAACTCCCAAAAATCCGACTTATAGGCAAGTATATACTGTACATGTAAAAAGTAAAAGGGTTTCTGGGATTCCTTCTCTATCATGGAATAAAAATCTGAATAGAGGAGGAATACCCACCCCACCCCTCCCAAAAAAATGGAATTACGTCATTATAGGCAGGAAGTTTTTTTGGCCCCAGAGCTAGGGGTTAATGCTGTCAATTTATATAATTTTCATGTTTATTTGTGTATATAAAATTATTTATAATGTCTAGGCGGGTGTGGTGCCATGTACACAGTCTTTGTAGAGGCAGAAGAATTCCGAGGGCAGAGAACTCTAAAACAACATCGTATGGTGAATGAGGTAAGTGTTTATCATAATTACCCCCAAAATTTTTTGACAATTATAACAATCTCTCAGTCTGAAAAAATCCTTATCTTTATAAAGAAGTAAACCAAATACTGATCTAATTTTATAATTGTTTAATTATCTCCCCTGGGCAGAAAACTAACTATGGGGCAATTCTTTGTATTAGCACATTTTGTAATGCCATATTTGAGTAAGAATTGTGCAAAGCAGTTATTCTGCACATTTAAGATATTATTTGGCATATAGATATAGATAAAGATTTAATGACTTAATTTCATTGTCAAATATTTACATTTCCAATAAATTTCCCCTATGATTCTTTACAAAATAAAATGCAGTATATTTTCTCATGAACTACATTAGGTATGTATCACGAATAAGCATGAATATCTCCGTTGTTACGTCATAATACCGCTCTTGACGTCAAAAAGTCAAAAAATATAGTGCACCCTAATTTGTTTTAAAAATGACAGTTGAACGGCGTAAATTTATGGCAAGTCATCAGTAAAATAATGTAAATATAAGAAATGAATTTAATTTTTTGAAGATTCATGAAGTTATGAACTACGACGCTTCACGCCGACATATTTATCATGAAGCGCTAAAGCGCTTCATGAAATATGCTGGCGTGAAGCGTTGTAGTTCATAACCTCATGAATCTTCAAAAATTAAATTCATTTCTTAATTGTAATTTATGTTTACTATTTCAGGCATTAAAAGAGGAAATTCGAGACATGCATGGATTAAGGATAACTACTGGGGTGCCAAGAGGAAAAGGCTGAATTTGATTAAAAACTTGTATAGTGGATTAATATACATTTGTTCTTTCTTTAAGAGAGAAATCTTTATTCTGGGTTATATTAAACCTGTTGGAGAGACTGCAATAAGATATGATGATATATAATTATTAAAAGTTGCATGTGTTTACTTGGAGTTCTTTTTTTTTTTATTTATTTCAATTTTAAATATTGATTTTATTATTTAATTAAGCTTGATGATACCTGTAATGAGCATTAAAACATGTAAACAAAAATTAAGGATAATATAAGAGTTGGAAACAAAGCAAAGATTTTCATATTGTATGTACATGTCTGCAGTCAACTCGTCTAAAACTCGAGAGGACCCAAATGAATTCAAGATAATGAGATTTTATAAAAGCAAAGTATTGGGTATATATTGTTTTGACTGCTTAGTGCTAAATCACTTTACCTTATCCCTCATTTTCAAGATTTCTAAGTTTAAATCTAAAATTATAAACTTTTTAAGATTTATAGCGAGCGCAGCGAGCTCAATAGACTAACGTGTAAGAACAGAGGAAATTCGGATTGAAATATGTACATACGTCAGCCAAATTTCTCTGTGCAACATTCCCAGAATTCCTGCACAACCCAATGTCCTTTGCGCGAATAAATAAATAAATAAATAACGTAAAGCATGAAAGGCTATCAGTTTGTAGATATTTTTCAAATTAACGAAAAATAAACTCTGCAATGTTTTTCGACTAAAATTGCACTAAGTCTATATAGTTTCAACCAGACGCTCGGCTGTCTCCGTGAGCTCCGACAAACTCCGTGACGTCGTGTGACGTCACAGCTAGTCGAGACGTCTCGTGCGGCTTGATGTTCGAAGTGGCTGATCATATTTTTTCAAGTGTTTTGATGCTACAACTGCGCTCGCCCCAACGGTCACACCGTAAAACATATTATGCTTAAAACTACACAATAATGTACATAAAACATAAAATTGGTAATACATGTACTGTCAAAGTGAATCTCTAAATAATATCGTAAATCCAGCATTTCAGAGCGATTCTTTAAAGGTTGTTATAGAGGATCCAGGATTCCTGTGAATAAAAATTAATGAGCACAGGGTTTCAGATAAATTCTGTTACATGTATCTTGTAAATGTGATAGACAAGAGAGGCACATGGGAAGGAATTTCATTGGAGAGAGATCTGTGACCTGTCATTCTGAGCAAAGGCGCTCCCCATGTAATTCTGTAAATGACGTATGATAAGTACTGTAGATCACTTAATTTTTGCGACACCTTATTTTCGCGAGATAGTCATTGACTCTTTATTAGCGAGACAAAATTTTCACAAATTGTGGTCATTAATTGCTTTATATTATCTTAAGGAATTCTATTATACGCGAGAATGAAATTTTCGCGAGCATACCGTCTCGCGTAATTATGCGAAAATAAAGTTCTCGCAAATAAAAAGTGATTTACAGTATATATATAGGTCTACCCCTCTATACTATAAAATAACCTTATTGTATAGAGGGGTAGACCTATATATATACTTATCATACATCATTTACAGAATTACATGGGGAGCCCCTATGATTCTGAGGAGGCAAGTTATAATGCAGTTTTTAGCTCACCTGAGTTAGAAGCTCAACTGGAACAATTTTAACCAAACTTGTACAAAGCATCCTTAAGTAAAAGGGAGTTTAATTTGTTGTAATGAAGGACAAAGTCCCCATGCAAGGGGAGATAATCATGAAGATGTAAAACTAGTGTGGGGTCATTAAATATCTTCTCAAGAACCACTGGTCCAGAAAAACGAACTTATGTGGAAGAACCCTTGGGTAGTGTAGATTCTAAATTGTTAAAATCATGATCCCTAGTGGTAGGTCACAATAGGTATGATAATGAGGAAAGAACAGCAAGCATGACTAAAGTGTCACTCAGGTGAGCAATGTGGCCCATTGGCCTCTTGTTTTTTTTGTTTTGTATTTTTTTTTTAATCTAACAGAGTAAAATAGCATTAGTTTGCATATATTCAATATTGTGACCAAAAATGTCAGCATCAACATAATTCATTAAGTCATATGAGATACGTATTTTTTATGGATACAAACGACTGATCACTCCCGTCACGAATAGCTTTCAGCACGAGTTATCTTATACCAACTACGAAATCGTAAGACCTCGGAAGTTTTCCACCGGAGTCGATGCAAAGGCCCGAAACATGTGGGAAAGGAGAAATTGAATGCAATTTTGCCGATTATTTAGACCAGGCCTAACAGCAAATGGTACTGTAAACTGGCTCTTGATAATTTTTAGGGGAAAGACATATGTAGTAATTGATTATGAAGTTGATTTTCTAATTCATCTGTAGCAGATGTGTAGAACTGCAGGCCGTCATGTGAAAGTTGCAGAACTATTTTAGCTTTTCAAGTTTATGAAGTTATTGTTTGTTGTCCTTTTCAGTTTTTATGTTCTGGTGATGACAATATGTAATAAGATTCATGAGTTGTTTGTTTGTAAATGCCAATCAAAAATTTCAATAGCATGTATAATGTTTGCGTGTTTTCACTATTAATTTAATAATTCCCCTTTTTCCAAAGTATTGGCTTTTTTAATTTTGAATTGAAAAAATTGAAAGAATACACTTGTGGTACTGATACTTGATAAAATGTTAGGCACAGGAGGTTATGGTAGGCAGACATCTTGGCCCATCACGTTTGACACCTCAACCCTGACAGGTCGGCCCAAGATGATTGATTGACACATCATCCCATATAATAGACACCTTTGCCTATGTATTAATATGTTAGACGGTGTGACCGTTAGTGAGGGCGGAGCCATGAAGAGAAAATTGCTACCTTTTATTGTTTAATGACAAATCAGTTAAATTCTGAAATTGTATGTCAGTGTCAGAGAATCATAACAAAGAACTCAGTTCTTAAAAAAACTTTTCATTCAAATACATGTAATAAATCTAAGAACTAACTAAGATATTTCATCATGAGACAAAGGGTTTTCTAGCCAGAGCACTAAACGTCGAAGAATGTAGTGGGGAAAGGGAGCGGCATGCACTGGACCAGTAAGGGATTCAACATACTGAGGTCCAAGAAATGTGATACACCTCGGCCCAACGACACCTCAAACTTTAATGCATGTAACAGTAAACTTGTTCCCAAATATATCCTACAATAATCAACTCATAAACTTTTCTGAGCATTATTTCTTTGTCTTTCACTACTTTTAATTCATATGCTTATTTAACAACACTGATCTGGAAACCTCAAGTCATTTCTCAACTGTTATTACTCCCATTACATTATCATAGTTATGACGTCATCTAAAGTAAGAACAATATTGTCAAGACTGAGATCAGAAGACGAACTCAGAGGACCTAAAATACAGACAGATGGTCTACTTCCTGGATGAATCTCATAAATTTGACTGTGTTACTATCACGAAGGTTGAAAATATAACAGCATCACAACTTTTATGAGAAAAAAAATTTGCAACGGATGCATGATTAGGGACAATTATTAGGTCCCTTTTGTGATATATCTTTTTAAAGTTTCTTCTTATTTATTTCTTTTTATTTTACATTAATTGGTAACCCTTTAATTTAATTATAATGATTATTTTCTTTATTTTAACAAAAAATGTATATTTCAATTTTAAGGGTTTTTTTTTTTTTTTTTTTTTTTTTTTTGCTGATGTTGTTAAAACAAATCTGATTTAAATAGTCTTTCGAATTTTCTAAATCTAACATTAACACAATCGTTTTGAAAACAGTTATACTTTTTAATTATCTGAAGAAAAAAACCTCGAAATTAAAAGTAATTTTTCTGGTATCTTTGTCGTTTAAGACTTGGTTAATCATATAATTTCAAAACCAAAACTTGTGAATAGTAGGGTACACTTCTGAGAAGTTTAAATTGAATATTTAACTTTATTGATGTCAAACAAAAATTCTGAATATTTGCTTCATGTTTTAAAAAGTTTTAAAGCACATTTATTAGGATAGAAAACTATATTGATATGCTTGATGTGTTTTACATTAACAGCATGCACTGCAACATTGAAGTCATATAACTTCGTGACTGTATATTTACATGCATTTACTGATACATGCAGACTGAACAACTACCTCTCCAGACTGTACATCATACATTGTCTAACTTAGTTTTTCCTAATTTTAGACTTTACACTGTATATATGTAATTCCAATTGTCTAAAAAAATCTTTTCTATATTTTTAAAATTCATATATATCAATTAAGATTTTTGTTTTGATTATTATATTTAAGATACTGAAATTTTGTCATTTGAAAAACGTCATAAAATGAAATATTGAATTTTAAAAATCACAACAAAAATGAGACTCAGACTTCCATCTGCTAAATATTTATATATCTATGTACAAGTAGATATTCATAAACAATTTGGATACCTAAAAATTTTTTTTTTTAAAAATATTCCACACATTTATTAAGTCCCTATATTTAGACTTTTCACAGGGTATTAAATTTTAAATATAACTTTTAAAACATATTTAACTGTTCAAAAAAATTGTACAGTATGTCTAAAAAAAATACTATATTTCTAGCTTGGTATGTATTGACAATAATCCTGAAGACATTCGTTATTATTAAATTTTATTAACAAATAAATAAGGATTATTTTCCTTCTACAGTCTAGTGAAAGGCGCCACATATAGATCCGCTCCTCAATAGAGCAGACAACAGCGCCGCCTATAGGGAATTTCTAACCAATCAAATGCCGTTATACTTGTGAAGCGCGAACTATAAATAAATCTAAATGTCTAAATCGAAAGTTGGAAGATGGATTTGATTTTAAGTAAAAAACCATTACTACTAATTATCCTTGATTAAATGGTTTTCACTTTGATGAAAGTCTCATTAACAACGAGAATTTGCGCGTGAATCAAAACGGCGCCATTTTACAGGACGCCATATTGGCGACAAGAATCTCAGTTCCATAGGTATTGTAATTGACATATAGTTTGCAATAGATTTCTTTTATTTTTCATATACATACGTCTTACCTATAGGGAGAGCTTCGCTCTCACGGGCCCTTCGGGCCCGTGAGAGGGCTCCGCCCTCTATTAATAGCATGAAGAAAAGATAAATCCAGTGCCTGATATTATTATAGATATAATTATTCTTTCTGATGATTAAACATTTTTCTTCATAACAATCTATATGTAATAGCTAGATCATTGGTTCATTACCAAAATCAGATAAAACCTTGCATCTCTCTCTTGTGGAAAATATGGGTTGCCTATAATATATTATTATATGTGCCAAGTTACTTGCTTTGTAGTTTATTTATTAGTTGCAAATTGGAAATCTAATATATTTCAGAAAGAAATTTTTGGGCCTAGATGTCTTATAGATGGGCCAACCTGTCAAAATCTTGGGCCACCTGTCTGAGCAGAGGGTGTCAATCGGCCAAGATGTCAATGTGCAGAGGTGTCTAGTCATTCACGGCCTGATTGCAGAAGCTAGAATATCCCTCCATTCTAATTCAATATTTAATATGTATACACATATTTAATATAAAAAGTAAAAAGGGTAATTATAGACCAACAAAAAGCATTTTTCAAAAAATAAGTCCTAAAACTGTCGGTTACCAAACTGTCTTACACACGTTCTTTGAATCACAGCCATGAGTTGGCATGGAGGAAGGCGTGGTAGGAGATATTACCATGATGACGGGGACAGAAACAATTACGGTCACGGGGCTCGAGGGTTTAGGGAGGACGATGATGGGAGGTATGGCAGAGATAGGGACGCAGATTACAGGGAACAGGACGACGGCCCTCAGGGTCATGACAGGTGGAGGAACAGAGGGGGAAGAGGAAGACAAGATTACAGGAGAGGTCAGGGGAGAGGCGGTGAAGGTCAAGGTGAGAACAGCACTCGTAATATACCATTCAGTTATCTCTGGATGCTCACATCCATAACTCAAATGCAGGACTGCATCCTTCAGGTGTAATCTGATTTTGTTATGATAGTTGATGAATTGTTTGTTGTATACACTAGGTGAAAGGCGTGGAAGACCTCCATTTGGACTGAGGGGCAGAGACATTGGAATGTTTTATGCTGCTCGAAGCAAGGCCAAAAAAGAAAGAAGGGAGATTGAAGAGGTAGTAATTGTTCATCAAAAGTTAGAAATAAAGGTGTTCATTATATGATGACATCTTTCAATTTTGTTTAGTAATAATTTTCTATTTACATGTATATCAGTGTAATTGAGAAGAGTACCTTCCTTGCAGAGTACATGTACTCTTTTTACGTTTACTTGGTGTGCAGAGCAGAATAAGTTATATTTTATTTTAAATTAATAAATACTGCATTCAGCATGGAATAGGTACTTTAGAATGAGTATGATTACTGAAATATCTCCTTGTAATCTAATGGTATTTTAGAGACCTTTGGTTGCCATGGAAAGCAGTGACATGAATAAGATAAAGAAAGTATTAGATTCTATGAAGGAAGGTCCAGAAGAAAGGTAAATTACAGCTGTTTCAGTATAGATCATACTCATAGGAATAGTGAACAAGGATTTTTCAGTATCAGTTATTTGTAATGTTCAACTTGTTTAAATAAACTGAAATATATTTGTCTGTAAATTTTGCAGGGACTACACCAAAACAGAGAAATCGAGACCAAAAACAGCACCAAGTTTATCAAGAGCAACAGGTGCCACAGGTTCTAGCAAGGATAGCGCTCCAGGTAGACATGCCTCGGCAGTCAGCACTGACAAAACCTTCACAGGGGCTAGTAACCTGGAGGCAGACATGGGGGGTAGTGATTTGGGGGAGGAACTCTCTGGGTGGGGGGCATCAGCCTCTCCGGAAAAGAAGAGGGTCAAGAAACAGAGAGGATTTAAAACGGAACCAGAGGAAGACTGTACTGTAAGCAGTCAAAAAATAGCCTCCTCCAGTGTCAAGGAGGAAGAGAACGTGGAGACGGAATTCCCTGATGTGGAAGAAATTAAGGAGTTTTCTGAAGATCTGGATCAAATTTTACCTGAAGGAAGCTCTGATTTAGGCATGTTCATCAATCATATTCATATTAAGCATTTTAAAAATATTACATGTAGTGTTACATGTAACTCATGATCATTGCCAAATTAAATATGAATTTACTTAGTGTGATAAATATAGACTCAGAAATGGTATTTAAATGATTGCTGTGTTGAATTTTGTTTTGTATGTCGTTATTTGATTGCAGAGTTTGATCAAGAGATATCCCGCCTACCTGATCTTGATGATCAATTCAAGGAAGAATTAGAGGAAAAATCATTGAATCCCAAGTATAAGAAGATGTTGTTATGTAGGCAACGTTTACCTGCTTATAAGCAGCAAAAGGTAAAAAAAAAATTCTGAATTGATATATAATACTTGTTAAACTGCTTTTTCTACAGAGAGATATCTACCTTTGCAAGCACCAAAACAATAATTTTTGTAACAATTTTTAGATTACACAAGTACTGTATATAGGGAAAATTTTGCCCCCATTTTATTTTCGCCATTTTTGCCCTGTACAGAGTTGGGCGAATTTAGAAAGGGGTTAATTCAAAGAACATAGCATGATTTCTTAAACAGAACCATGACTGGGTGAATTTAAGACGGGGCAAAACTGTTTGCAAGTGCAAAAGGGCGAAAATAACCCTGTATACAGTAGTTGTATGTTTTTTGACAGAAGTTGATCTTTAGATTATTAAAGTTTTTCAATTCTTGTTTGTTTGTCTCAAGAATCTAATACTGAGAATAAACAACCTTTTATCTTCTTAGGAAGTCGTGGAACTTATCAACTCGAACCAAATAATTGTATTGAGTGGTGAAACAGGGTGTGGAAAGACAACTCAGGTGAGTTTCTTCTTACACCTCTACTGGCTCTAGTGTTTAAATTGTTCATTAATGGGAACAGTTTGAATTTGATTGCTTTTCTAACAGAACTTATTAAACTTTATTTTTGATTCCAGGTACCACAGTTCATTCTAGATCACTTCATTGAGCGAGGTATGGGATCCATGTGCAATATTATCTGTACTCAACCTAGGAGGATTTCTGCAATTTCAGTTTGTATTTCAATTGCTTTTGCATAATTATACATGTACAGTGAAACTGCATTATCTCGAACCTGATTCCAGGGCTGAGAAAAAACTTTAAGATATCCAATAATTCAAGATTTTGAGGGTAAATTAAAAATACTTTAAGAATATGTGGTTGGAACTTCCACATCACTTTGACATATACTTGGTATTCGAGATATCGGAGTTCGAGATACCAAAGTTCAACTGTACATTAAAGACGACAAGATTGGTTTAGTTTTGGACTCTGCTTTGGAAAAATTTAATAATGCAAAGGAGGAAGATAATTAATGTTTTGTAAATGCTTTAGGTTGCAGAGCGTGTGGCAGATGAGAGGGCAGAAAAATGTTCCCAGTTTGATAGAAGTTCCTCTGTGGGATATTCAATTAGATTAGAAAAGTAAGCGTATACTCGAAATATAAAATCTTTGTACCTGTAAATAGCTTTGTATGTGTACATACCAAATCTGTCATATTTTGTCATAGTATTATACATGTACAAAGATTGAACATTTAGTTTCACTATTAAAATTTTTTATACAGCCGTCTTCCCAGAAAGAGGGGCTCCATTTTATTTTGCACTACAGGAATTATTTTGAGAAGATTGGAGTCTGATCCGTAAGTTTTGTATTGAAAGTAATATAGTTTATCTGTCTCTGAAGAGCAGCATAAATTGACAGAAAATAAAAATGACATGAACATTTTCTTATTTAATCATATTAGAAAAAATTACAGTAAAAACTAGATTATAACAAAGTCACTTAAACTTATGATATTACTTTGCTATATCCGTAATTTGGTATATTTGTATAAGGATTTGTTAAATTTATACAGCTGGGGATCCAAGATAACTTTGCTATATCTGTGAATTTGCAATATTCATGTTTATACTAAACAAGTTTTACTGTATTACCTTTTCTATGTTATTTCCATGTAGAACTCTGAAGTCTGTTTCACATATCATCATTGATGAGGTTCACGAGCGAGACTTGCTGTGCGATTTTCTGATGGTGGTTGTGAAGGATTTAGTGGCTGTCCGTGCAGATCTCAGAGTTATTCTCATGAGTGCCACACTTAATGCTGAGAAATTCTCCAAATATTTTAGTAAGTTTGAAATATAAAACAATTTTTTTTTATTTTCATTTTAATATTGCACATAAACATTGTAACAAAGATTTACTTAAAAAATAAATTTTATCTCCCTAATGACTGTAAACATTCTTTATCTTAAAGGGCTTGATTATTTTTTTAGATAATTGTCCACATATCAACATTCCTGGATTCACCTATCCTGTTAAAGAATATTTCCTTGAAGATGCGGTGCAACTTACAGGGTTAGTTTTTATCAATTTGTCACTTTAGATTCTGTATTAAAATGTAAATGCTTTAAACTCTTCAAACATTAGCAAAAGTCACTGATACTCGTCCTTTGCACGTACAACAATATGTGGAACTGTTGATGTGTATTTTTGTGTACCTGTATGTATTTCTAATAAAATATGGTTGTGAATATCAATCATATTGTATTTGTGAAAAGGAATGAATGTTTACCTAAGGCTAAGAATTCTGACATCCATACAGAAGAGTTTTACATTTTTTTAACTCACCTGACCAAGCTTAAGTGAGCTTTTCTGATCACTCGTTGTCCATCGTCGGTCCGCCCGTCTGTCTGAAAACTTTTCACATTTTTACTTCTTCTCAAGAACCACTCGGCCAATTTTAACCAAACTTGGTACAAAACATCCTTGGGGAAAGATGAGTTTAAATTTTTTAAATGAAGGGCCAAGTCCCCTTCCAAGGGGAGATAATAAAAAAAAGATAAACTAGGGTGGGGGTAACTAAAAAGTCTTGTCAAGAAGCACTGGGCCAGAAAAACTGAAACGTTTAAAACTTATGGGGAAGCATCCAGGGGTAGTGTAGATTCTAAATTATTCAAATAATGACCCCTTGGGATGGGGGTGGGGGTCACAATGGGTATAACAAGGAGGGAATCTGGTAAAGAACACATTGCCAAAGTTACTCAGATAAGTGATGTGGCCCATGGGCCTCTTTTAAAAATGTTTATAAATTAAAATCTTCTCAAGGTTTAAAGCACAATAAGACATTAATTTTCTAAAATCATTTCCATTGCATTAACATATTATTTATGAAAGAGTAACAATTGATTTTAATGACCAGGTATTATCCTGAGCAGTCAGCTCAACCCAGAAGAAAAGGAAGATGGGGAGGAAAATGGAGGAAACAACAGATGATGGAAGAGGAAGAAGAGAAGTGGAAGATGGATGCCTGGGCAAGAAATCTTCCCGCCAACAAGTAAGTGGGCCAGCTAGGGAATGGGGAAAGATATCCAAAATATTGGATGCATGTTATCTACCAATTGGTAGAAGGTCTGAATGTTTTGTGTGTCAGCGAATGTTTTATTTTTTTGCAGCAACATCTGTGTATTGAGATAACTGGAGGGAGTGTTTTATAATGAGTTTTTAGAAAATCATGTTATTTCATTGTCAGATTTGGCATGTTTCAGTTTGTGAATTCAAATTTATTAGATATTCATTTTAATTTTGATTAAAATTTTATTTATTTTACAAAATTTTTTCCTTCTGTTATGTAAAAGATGCCATCATAACATTTTTTGGGAAATGTCATATAAATTATAACTTATAATTTACTTTTGTAGATACTCCCGAGACACAATATCAGCATTAGAACGTATGGACTTGAAGAAAATAGATCTAGATCTAGTCATGGAAGTTTTGCGTCACATTGTGAACAATATGGAGGTACAGTGTGTCAAAAGCTGCAAATTCTTATGTTGTAAATTTGGAATGCTTCTTCCTGACAATAAAGCTTTTGAGTTTTGATTCATGTAAATATTATTTTTAATTATAAGATGCAGTCAAATTTAAAGACAGTTGCATTTATCCTTTTTATGTTGCTGTATATAAAGGCCTGTATCTTCTGTATTCATATGAAATTTAATATTACAAAAAAAGTAATGTCATGTTAATAGATCAAAATACATGTAATTCAACTGTACTGTAGATTCCTAATTATATGCGAGGAATTAATTTTCACCTAATTTCACTCGCAAAATAATATTACCCTTATTTTTAAGGTGCTGAAATCCATTTAAATTCTATTGACCAACTTCCCGTTGGAATTATTGTTCTCGCGATTTGACATTAAAGAGCCTGTAGGTGATAAAAGTACTCACGAAAAAAAGGAATCTTCAGTATTCATTTCTTCAAGATGCTTAATTTTCTTGATTAGGATGGGGCAGTTTTGGTATTTGTTCCTGGATGGAAAGAAATATCTGATCTAAATAAGATGCTAGAGAAAGATTCCAGAATGAATAGCAAGTATTTAGAGAAATCAAACTACACTAGTAGCACTGTACTGTACCAATTGTAAGGCTGTTTCCTTGTTGCTTGTATATGTGACAGTAAATCTTTTCAGACGGAAAGCTTCGAATTGTCCCATTACATTCCTTGATGCCCACAGTGAATCAGAGGGAAGTCTTTGACAGACCACCTCCAGGGATTCGTAAAATTGTTATAGCAACCAATATAGCAGAAACAAGGTATTATTTATACAAATTATAGAAATTATCCGAAAAATTGTTTTGGTTGTAGATTGATAAGTAACTTGCTTTTTGATTTTGAAAATATTGAATAAATTAGTTTGAAATTAGAAATGTTCAGTTAATCTAGTAAATATGAAAACCTTGAAAGGTGTCCAGTCAACTGGTACATACCGGTAACCAACTGGTACACAAACCAAGTTGTACACGTCAAGGAGTCAACTGGTACACAAAACTGAAATGCATGGTTTGTGTACAGGTCGGGTTGTGTACAGAATTATTTTTACTTGTTATATTGCTAGCGTTCCTTGCAACTCTTTTTCAGTATAACAATTATTATAAGTGTAACAGTTATTTTTCAGTATAACAATAGATGACATTGTGTATGTTGTGGATTGTGGGTTTATAAAGGTCAAAGACTTCCAGCCAGATACAGGATTGTTGTCTCTGGACAGTCACCCAGTCTCTAGAGCGAACGCTCAGCAGCGCAAAGGCAGGGCTGGAAGGTAGACAATTTCATCAGAGGCACTGATATACTGTATAGGGGGAAAATAACTCGCGGTGTTAATATTCGCTATATTCACGGTGTTGATGAAACCGTGAATTCAAGAAACAGTGAATAAGTTTTCAATAGGTATAGATAAGGGAGGAAAATTTTATTATATTCCAATTCCGCGAATTCAAGAAACCGCGACAGTGTCAGAGAAGAGAAAAACGTGAAAATTACAACCCGTGAAATTAATCCCCTATACAGTAGTTATGTTGCTGACAAAAGTTGTTAAAATTAAATGGTCACATCTGAAAAATTATTTGTTCATAGCTTAAATGTTACAACATTTGTACATCTATATCATCATTACTTGTTTCTTGGCCTTTTTGTCAAAATAAAAGTTTAAAGCATGAATGGTAAATTAAGACATATCTATTTACACGTACTTAAGGTTTTAAACATTCAATATTTCAAGAAATAGTTTTAAGTAAATAGTTGATGAGGTACTAAACCAATTAAGTTTTAGTATAATTTTTTGTTAACAATATTTATATCATGGTAATATTTTTTTTTTCTAGAGTTCAAGCAGGTCATTGCTTCCATCTGTTTACGAGTCTCCAGTATGAGGAAATGAAGGAATATCTGGCCCCGGAGATCCTGAGGACAAGGCTGGAGGAGTTGTGTTTGATGATTAAGGTGAATCCTCGTTATTTACTGTGTGGTAATCAGTTGTGAAATTAAAAAAAAATTATCTTATTTATCAATATTAAAAAATCATATGCTTTCCATGCATCAATTTTTATTGCATTATGGATTGGATACCATAAATAGATGTTGAAGTTAGGGAAGATTGAACCCTTTGTCAGCAAGGCTTTGGATGTTCCTTCAGCCGAATCTGTGAGAGCTGCCATTGTACTACTACGGAATCTAGTAAGTCAAAAAAAAAAAAACCAAGCTTAAAATAGAAAAAAGGATGATAACTGAATGAATTTTGTTCTATCTGTGTAATATTCATTTTGTTAAAACATTTTGATCATCGAAAGTTCTGAATGTTTCATAACCTCTCTCTGATCCTCATATTTTCCAATCATCAAAATTTTTCAGAACCCTTTAATGGCTGGCATAAACAAGTTTTACTGTATATTAATTTTTCAATATCAGTTTACTATTTAGAGAAGAATATTTTGATTAAATTTAGTAAACTTAATATTTTATCACTTTCAGCAAGCCCTGGATGATGATGAAGAGTTACTTCCCCTAGGCTATCACTTGGCCCGACTCCCACTAGACCCTCACACTGGTAAAATGATTCTGTTTGCCGCCATTTTTGGCTGTCTAGATCCTGTATGTCTGGTGGCAGCGTGTCTCAGTTTCAAGTCACCCTTCTTTCACACCTCTGGTAAGCAAAGCCAAACATCTTTTCCCCAGTTGTAAAGACGTGATATAAACTCACTGATAGCTCAAGTAAAGTGGAACACTCTCAAAAGAACGAGTGACAGTGATGATTGCATGTAGCGTGTCTGTAGAAAAATTTGGAGACTTATTGATGACCTCCTTTCTTCTATTGTTTTGCGTGCACTATGTGCAATTCGAATTACTGGGGTACTTCCCTTTGTGTCACTAGTTTATAACAATAGAAAATTTTGGTCCATTATTTCATTATAAAATATGAAATTAATTAACGCATAGAGTTTTATTTTAAATTGACTAAATATTCAAATTCATAAGTTTTTAAAGAAAGACATGAATTAGGAATCTGTTCCCAACAACATACTATTTACAGCTACAATGAGGTTTTGGAGTGTGTCTAAAACATTGAACAATTTTCAATTCAAATGGCCATTAGTGATTACAATCTGCTATTGAATTTAAAAAACTTGAACAGAAATACATGTATGAGTGTTTGCTTGTTGTTTTTTTTTTCAAATTATATTAAGCTATCATTAAGAAATAAAAACCTGGTGCCAGATTAGACAAGTTTTAATGTGCACTGTACTCTATAATTAAAATGATTCTCACAAAACTGGTAAATTCATGTCTGACTCACTGGAGAAGAGTTTCAGTCCAGGATGGGACAGAGTTGCTCCTGGCTGGAAAGAAATCTTAACATGCAGGGGACTCAAAAAATCACTGAGTATCATGTTTTTCTTTGAAGGGAAAAGAATCACAAGCAGATCGATGCAGAAAAGAACTTGCAGGGAGGAGCAAGAGTGACCACATGATGCTAATAAAAGCTTTTAAGGTCTTTGAATTCTTAAATTCAATTATTGACATTACCGGGTAAATTGAATTATTCTTTTTCTAAAAAGTCTGAAGTATTTTTTGGGAGGAAGAGGGTTAGTATGTAAATAAATTTACAAGTTTATGAAATATTATTGGTAAAAACTTGATTTTTGATTACCGGGTATTTTTTTATCCTTTAGGGATGGGAGAAGGCTACACGAAATGGAAATGGTGGAAAGTTCTGTTACGATAATTTTATGTCGGAAGCAACACTCAGGGTTTGTGAAGATAAATCATATGTTACAAGATTCTTTGAAACTCCATTTTTGTCATCGATATATTATAATGAATATTTATAATAAAATACATGTATGTCTCATAAATAAGTGCTTTATGTACCCATATTTCCATCTTTTTTTATTTAATTGTAATCTGTTTTTGTCTTGCAGTTGTTAAAGAAAATGAAGAAACAATTTGCAGAGCTGTTATTTGATATAGGATTTGTAAACTCTTCTGACCCAGAGAACAGAAAATCCAATGTTCACTCAGGTAAATCATACCTGTAAATCTTATCTTTTTTTCTTTAACTTAGTACAATGTATTTAATAGCTGTATTGATTCAACTTTAATTCAAAAGTTAGGATTTGTAATGTCTTTCATATGTATATTTCCTCTGCCAAAAATGTAATTCCAAAATCTTGTCTATTTCTATTGCTAAAAATTTTGCCTAATCTGGAATGTTGCATAATCTGAAGAATTTCTATGTAACCAGTGATGTTCAGATTAAACAAGGTTGACAGTACAGTATTAATAAAATGTGTTCAAATTTAACTTTTTCTTTTTAGGTAATGAGAACTTGATAACAGCTGTTGTGTGTGCTGGCCTTTATCCTAACATCGCCAAGGTCACAAAGGAAGCCATTCCAGGAAAAAGGTAGTTTAATACTGGTACTTAAAACACGGAGATCAAAAGCAGCACATCCTCTTACACTTCTGGCATGTTTGAAAGCCTCACTTGTAATGCATTATTCCAAGAAAAAATGAGGCATCTCTAAAAGCCTATTTTGTAATGCATTATTCCAAGAAAAAATGGGGCATCTTTGAAAGTTTCACTTGCAATGCATTATTCTGAGAACAAATATTTTTAGATTTCCATGACATAAGAACCACACTATGGTTTTGTGTCTACAGTTCTGTACCAATACCCACTCATGTACATGCACCTTCAAACTTGAGACTTGTTTTTACTTGCGTTTGGTCACTTAGTGTCTTACCATATCGACTTTATCAACAACATTTGAATAGTGTTGGCTGATGAGTTATTGTTTCAGAAAAAGAGAATTTTGAATATTGAAGATAAACATATGTACATGTGTAAAAGATGTATTTTATATTTAAAAGCTTGTCGATTACTTGTTTATCTGTTCTGTATAGGATTGATCAGGTAGTTGTATTTTATTTAGGTCTGTAAGTGTACAACTTCAGAATGGAGGAAAGGCTTTTGTCCACAAGCAGTCGGTTAATTCTTATGTGACATTTTTCCCATCCAAGTGGTTAATTTACCACAAAATCATGAAGACACAGACGGTAATATTCCATCTCTCAGTAGATATTGGGGGGGGGGGGGGGGAGAAAGTATAAAGGAAAAAATACAAATTTTGTGTGAATTAAAACATGACTGGGCATAAGAAATATTGATTTACTTGTAAAACAAATTAAATTTTATTGGTTTGGTATCACAGTTAATTGTTGCTTATTCCAGGTGAATGTGTATGACTGCAGTATGGTGTCCCCCTACCCTCTGTTGTTCTTTGGAGGAAAGATCTCTTACTCTGTATCTCCTGTAGTAAGTAGTCTGGTTACATCAGCATTGATTATGACGTAATGTTGATATGTAAGCAAACATCATCAAGTAGTCAATATTGCAGATTTAGGTTTGTCCAAAACAAATCCCTCCAAGGAAGGGGTCCCAGAAAAACCAGGGGTTAAATGGGACAAAGTTACTTTATCTTTGTTCATTAAAATCTACGAGAGGCTAATGTAAGATGGGTAAACCAATACTGATAAAAAAAAAACTTCTGATTTGTTTAGGCTGCATAGGTATAGTGAAAAATGGCGGAAAGGACAGGCAAGTACTGTAAACCAACTATTATTTGCATCATCTTTTATTTTGGATTCATCAGTTTGAAATCATTTCATGACGATTAACTGAGGAAACATTCTCTACTAATATGAAGCAAAAGAAACGGTTTGTGGCGATGAATATTTGCAAATAAAAGTAGGTCTTGAAACTTGGGGATATTTCTGGCACACAAATAAAAGTTGGTTTACAGTAAATAAATGAAAGATCCTATTTCTCATTCTTTTGGGCAACACAGCTAATTTTCTTTTATGTTCAATCTTTGGCATTTACAGTGTTACATTATACAGTGGTGACCTTCAAGGCGTTGGGGCCACTTGTTTAAAAGTACACTTTTAAGCATGCCTAATATTTACAGTAACATGATCCCTATGATTTTTACAGAAAGGCAGGGACAGAGAGTGTATAAAGGTTGACGACTGGATCACATTCTGGACAGACAAGGCAACCTTTGATCTAGTTAAGGTAGATAACCTGTGACAAACATTTTTTTTCTTACAATTGCTCTCACTAAATTAAAAAGGTGTCTACCAAATGTTGAGTTATGACTTTCATCAAGGATAAACACCTAACAAACCTAGAGGATGTTTTGTAGGCCTCTTATCATTAATATAAATTAAAAGCATGTATTTAACTTGATATGAAATTTATGTTTCTTACAAGTACATTGAAACTTGTCCAATACTTATGTATTCTGAAATCTTGCATAATACAATGGAACATTTGTCCCTTTTAGTAAATTCAATTGTTAAAAATGTTGTCTAATCAGACTAATCAAGCCAATTTATATGGAACCAGTGATGTTTGGATTTTGCAAGTTTTACAATACATGTAATAATAATTTAATAAATTTTGTTGTTGCTTTGTATTCTAGAACCATCAAGTGTAGAAAAATCAATAATTTAAAGTATATTTTATGATGAGGTGCTGATTGTACACTTATTTTCTAGGACCTGAGGAGGCAGCTAGACAGGATCCTGGAGGACAGAATCGTGTCCCCCAAGGCCTTCGATTTAACGGTCGAGTCCAGAGACCAGGTCATCATTAATGCTATAGTAGACCTCATTTGTAAAGAGGAAGTCAACTTCCACAACTTCAGAGATGAGGATTTTGATGAGTTCAGTTGAGGACACTTCGCCTAGGAAAGTTTAGAGAAATTTGAATGCTTCATACAAAGAAAGTAGCTTCATGTATGTGAACAATTTCTAGCCATGAAACTATCTTTGCACTAGACATTTTGAGATGAAAAAAAAGCTAAATCTAATATAATGAAGGATTTTTAAAAATGTAGAGAAGCAGAGTTGAATTTTTAAGAATGCATTTATTGGATTTTCTTTGATGCAGTAAATACACCAAAAAGAGATGCCACAGAAAGTCAAGGGATGTTGTGTCAGCCATGACAAAAACGTAGCGATTTCTTTCATTCTTGTTTCAGGGATAAATCAATATATGTATTGTTTTGTTGCTGATTTTATTGCTGTTATATTTTACCCTTTGAAATAAATTTATACAAGTCTATTTAGTTTGTTTCTGTAAATTAACAATACCTACAACTTCTATTCTCACTAAACAGAGGGTATTTTATGATGGACTAATCTAGTATTGCAAACAGAAAGGAAAACAACAATTTCTTTTCAAGTGAATATATCATGAATTAATGAAATTAATGATGAGTGAAAATGCAGACCAATAGAATTGGGGGGGGTGCTTATTTCTTCCCCATCATTTGCTTTTGTAATAGACAATTGGACATTGGCAAATTCTAGCAATTGAAAGAGATATGTACAAGAAAGTGTAGAAAGATCTTCCTTGAAATAAAATTTTTGAGTTTGTTATTTCAATTTTGCTGTCAAATTATTTTAGCCCCTCCCCCTCCTTTCCCACCTTTGAAACACTGTTTTACCTGTATAATTTAGTTACATCATCATGCATTTGACTTTTTTATGATTTTCTTTTTAATTAATGGTGGTTTTGTTCTTTTCAAGCTAGATTCAAAGGTACTCCAGCAAGCTAGAAGTTCACGTCCAGATACTTTTGACTTGGCTTTGCGTAACCTCTATTGTTAAAATTCTCGACGCTGAAACCCCAAGCGGAAATGAATTATTTAATTAGAAATTAAGGCTTTGAATATTAACGAATGACACGAAACAATCATAGGCGCTCCCCATGTATTTCTGTAAAAGACGACAGAGAAGTATACTTTTGAAAAACTTTACTTAACTTCCAAGTCATTGGTGTTACAGCTTTCATATTTCAAAGTATATACCTTGTGAAATGCATTTTGTAGATTTTTGAACCTGGTCTGCACTTGGAAAAACATTAAAATTAGCCATGAGGTGCCAAACAATGGTATCATAGGCGCTTCCCATGTAATTCTGTAAATGACGAAAGCTAAGTAAATATATGTGAATAGTCCAAGTTGAAAAATGTCTCGTGTTCACATCAATAAGCACTTCAGTTGGTCCATTCTCCGACAATTGAAGTGTAACCGTGGTTTCAAAATTAGCCGATTTATCTACAGCAAAACTGGAAATTGGGTAATGAGATTCTTATATTGGTTGACAAATCATACATGACCTTAGAATTTTGAAGAATATAAAATGATTTGCACTGGGAATAACTACCAAAATAATCAAAACAAACCTTCTTGAGATTGCTTATGCCTAAGTCAAATGTCAAGATCATGAGATGAAAAATGTTGGCAATCCAAAAAAAAGGTCACAAGAAGATTTTTAAAGAGGGTAGATTAAAGTCTCTAGTAACAGTGGTTCAAAATTTAGGCCTAAAACTTTCGGTAAAGAAGATTTTTCAAGAGTAGGTTAACCTCAAGGTCATGATGTCAGAATTGTTGGTATTAAAAGAAAAGCCTTGTCACAAGAATACACATGTGAAGATTGCTATGAAACAAATAACAATCCTACAAAATTAAAATTCAAGAATAACGTTTTTGCTGACAGACACACGGATAGACAAAAAAACTATATGCCCCAAAATCTTCAATTACATGTATGAGGGCATAGAAATACTTTTAACAAGCTAATTCAGAGAATTTGAGGTGTTCTCCGTTGAAAGAAAAAAAGAGAGAATGTCATGGAATGTGCTGACCCGGGAGGGTCGAGGGGGTGGGGCACTTTAAAAAGAGCGGGAGGGGCATAGAGAGTTATGATATAAAATTTAATTGAAAAAACTTCTTGAGCCATCGCCCGGAAGTGGAAGTTTTACACACACATGCAGAGAATGTATGAATATACGACTTTGACCTTTAGACATCAAAATAAATAGGGTCTTCCTTAGGCCATAGGGAGTTGTGGTATAAAATGTCATGCAAAAGTTAAACGCTTCTTGCGATAGCGCAAAGAAACGAAAGTGTTAAAACACACAGAATGTTTGAATTTATTACCTTGACCTTTGACCTGTTGACCTAAAAATCAATAAGGATATTCCTTAAGCCACTGGGAGTTGTAGAATAAAATGTCATTGCAAAAGCTCAAACACTTCTCTAGATATCGAAACGAAAGTGTTAAAAAGGACAGAATTTTTTTATTTATGACCGTGACCTTTGATCTTTTGACCTCAGAATCATTCCTTAGGCCATAGGGAGTTATTGTGTAAAATTCACTACAAAAAGTCCAAAGGCTTCTCGAGATATCGCGTGGAAACGAAAACGAAAGCGTTACAGACAGAACTACAGACGGACAGACAAAAATTAATATCTCTCACTTTCAGCGGATGACAACAAAAGTAAATGGAACGAACACACTGTAACTAATTAAACAAAGAAGTTATAGATTGTAAACCGTCAGCAACGGTAGAAATTAAACATCTGAAACGGATTGTTGTCCAAAAGGAAAGACAGGGTTTGGTGGACTAACTGCTTAATAAAAAAAAGTAAGAAATGGATCTAGAACAGCATTTCGTTGACTCTATCCGTAAGAGAAGGTAACAAAGGTTAAATGTACTGTGCATAGTAGAATACTATTGGGGACTTAAACCGTAATTAAAAGCAACAAACGGTGCACCTCTTTTAGAGGGTACATACACATATAACTATAGAGCACAAACACATTGCACAGATGTATATTGATATAATCATTCCTTGGTTCAGAATTTCAATTTTTGTATTCATCATTTCAAAAGGCATTTGCTGTGTGAAAACACGTCTACATTAAACGTGTCATGAATTGTAAACTCACTAGGCTGCTCTCGAACTTGTTAAAAAGAAAGAAGTTAAGACAGTGGACGACAAAAATTACTATAGCTATAAAATTTATATGCATGTCTAGTAGATAAACAAAATGATGTATTTTAATAACCAGAAGTCTCTGTCGAGCTCTACTGGTTTGTACTTATCAAAAACCATTGCACTATTTTATGTATCTTTGTGTAGTCTACTTGTGTACTAAGTTATACTGAAATCAGACAAAAACTGTAGAAGGAGTAGTGTTTTAAAGGAATTTCACAGAGAATTCTATTTTTAGTAACTATGGCAACACCGTTCACCGAAATCAAAAACCGATGCACTATTCTAAGTATCTTAGTGTAGTCTACTTGTGTGCCAAGTTATACTGAAATCAGACCAAAACTGTAGAAGGACATACACACGTTTTAAAGGAATTTCACAGAAAATTCTATTTTTAGTAACCATGGCAACACCGTTCATCGAAATCAAAAACCGATGCACTGTTCTATGTATCTTAGTGTAGTCTATTTTTGTGCCAAGTTATATTGAAATCGGACAAAAACTGTAGAAGGAGTAGTGTTTTTAAGGAATTTCACAGAAAATTCTATTTTTAGTAACCATGGCAACACCGTTCATCGAAATCAAAAACCGATGCACTATTCTATGTATCTTAGTGTAGTCTAGTTGTGTGCCAACTTATATTGAAATCAGACCAAAACTGTAGAAGGAGTAGCGTTTTAAAGGAATTTCACAGAAAATTCTATTTTTAGTAACCATGGCAACACCGTTCATCGAAATCAAAAATCGATGCACTCTTCTATGTATCTTAGTGTAGTCTACTTGTGTGCCAAGTTATATTGAAATCAGACAAAAACTTTAGAAGGAGTAGCGTTTTTAAGGAATTTCACAGAAAATTCTATTTTCAGTAACCATGGCAACACTGTTCATTGAAATCAAAAACCGATGCACTATTCTATGTATCTTAGTGTAGTCTACTTGTGTGCCAAGTAATATTGAAATCAGACTAAAATTGTAGGAGGAGTAGCGTTTTGAAAAATTGTTTACAGACAGACGGACAGACAGACAGACAGACGGACGGATTCACATTTCCTATAGCATAAGCTCTTCTGGTCTCTGAACAAAATGATATATTTTAATAAAAACGAATAACTGTAAAATTGCATTTTATATTTTCCCTATCAGAAGTTACTAGTATTCGAAAATATAATCGCACCAAAGCCCATTTTTTGGATAAAAAGAAATTAAAGTCCGTCACACAATTTTAGATTAAAATCCTCATCATGTTCTATACGGTATAGACTATACCGAATGTGGCCTCTCTGATTACCCAATAGCACATCACGACAATCAAGTGGAAAAATCAAATGCTCTTCAAATCAAGTACTAATAAAAGTATCAAAGTACTTGATCGACCTAATACTGTAATATTGACAAGACTATGAAACATTCACTCTCAGAAAAAAATGAATTTCTTCATATATTCATTTTTAATTTTAATAAATCTTATGTCATTGTAAATCAAACCATCAAACATTCAGAAATTGGCGGGAATCGGGACTAGCATCTCGCGAAGTCTTAACGCGACTTCTGTTTCCAGATCTGGGCGAGGAATTGGCACTCTTTAGCAATGTTGTGCCTGTATTATTACTTTCCTTTAACAACGGCAAGTTAGGGGTATACATTTTATAAAATGCTTCCCGAAACTGGCTACTCATGAAGAAGAAGATCCAAGAATTGATATTATAGACCAGAAGCCAAATAACCACACCGACTGTGTCCCATGCCTTGTCCGCTTCTTCTGAGAGGACGCCTCTTCTGTTATTTGTTGCAATTTCGTGCACGTATATAAAAAAAGCAACGCAATCCTGTAGCTCTGAAGCCAGGAACAAGAACAAAATTACAAATAACATTATAGTTGCTCGGTATATTTTCTTGTCTGTGAACGATGAGTTTTGACTTCCTTCAGAAATGGTCTTACCTTTGCACAACAATTTGAAGGTTAAAACGCAAGTAGTTACGGAGAGAACGATACAGGGCAACAGTCGAGAAAACACCTCTGTGACAATATAGTTTGTGATTACTGAAGATCCGAGGTCATCCGAAGATTCCTTAAACCAGTGCGCAAAATCTCTGAGACAACTGTCTGGAAGTTTTGTAATTCCATCCTCTGCTAGAACCTCGAGTGGCGAAATATCGATGATCACAGCCTCACATATGAAAATGACAAACGCTGCAAGAAATATCACAACGATACTAATGCAAGTATTTCGCATCGAACAGTACCTTTTGGCTTGAAACGGGAAAAGCACAATTATACTTCGCTGGATGCCCAGAAGCGCCACCAACCAGTTGGAGGATGTTCTAGACATTTGATGAGCTATATACAGAATATGTCTTACAACACACCAGTGATAGGGTAAATACTGTTTATGGTTTCCCTTGATGTAGAGATGGTAAGCTGAAGGCATAATTGTGGCACATATTATTGTATTAGATACAGCTAACGCTAGAAGGACAACGGAGGTTGGGGTCCTGATTCTTTTCCAAATAAACACAGCAAATACCAGACAGTTTATGACGATTGTCAACAAAGACAGAAGAAAGTATACGTATCCTAATATAACGTTCTGCCAAGAGGCAAAAACATCTACTTTATACGGTAATGCAACAGTGTCATAGTAGTAGTAGTAGTAATATTCCGAAGAATTAGTGTCATTTACAGAGGACGAGCTTCCATTTATGTGAAAATGAGAGGTGTTATCCGCTTTTGACGAAAAGTTTCCTAAAGTAACACCACTGGTCATGTTGAAATCCATTTTCAATCTTCGAGTCTCCAATAATGGAAAAATATGCCATTTCCTCCCTTTTATATCCATCTCATTATCGTTTATTTTTCAATAGGTCGACCCTTGCCACGACAAGAGGACTCGATCAAAAGACAACATGAAACCGCTATCAGAAGGTCAACTTTTGCTTGTTTGCTATAGATTATGACTCTGAGGTTGGCGTGAAAGGTATCGATGATGACGAAGTGATAATCGGAAACAGAAGTGAAGTGGAATGTTCTCCTCAGACGAGTTGTCAGGGCTTAATCACCGTGCCCTTATCATCGTGTGTTGAACCGCTATCTGCGGGCTCTGTCAAGCTCTTGACTTAAATCTCTAAGTAATTTGACTAATTTATGTTTCTGATCGAACGGTTAAAACGATAGTGTTTTTAATAAAGCTCTAAGAAAGTTTAATAAATGAACATAAGATTTATTCACGAAAACCACCGTATAACCCCACATTCAGGGGTGCGGATTATGAAGCGGAATTTGTAAGGCACACGGGAAGTTGACTGATCAGTTTTCCTAGAGTAATTGATTTGAAAGTAATCCTATATCAACTTACGGCGGAACAGTGATATCCCAGCTTACTGTTACTCGTTTCCCAGCTCGGGATTCGTCCTAGAAATACACGATCACTTCTGCAATATTTGGTAAAAGCATGCGGGAACGCAAATTTGACCGTTTCATGGTGCCTGATTCAACTTCATTTGACTCATGTGAGAGACTTGTAGATATTTAATGTTTCCTAGAATTCCACAGGGTTTCAAATGAAGGGGAGTCCGACAGATTCCAGTTTCATTTTGCAGCACTCGGGGGTACAAATTTAAGTGGAGGCCGGACGAAGTAATAAATCTCCAACTAATAGAAATGAATTGTTTCTGTAAACTATTGATTATTGTAAGTAATGGATTAATTGCTACAATCAATTTATTAACTCTGTAACGTTTTCGTCGTTATGAGTTCGTAAGATAAGATAAATATTTTTATTAATTACTAAATATGGTATTTACTAGTATAAGCCTGGTCGCCGCTAATATCTGGTCTTAAAATTTCTGGTAGCGGAATATGAATAAACCTGGTAGCGGTTTTTACGAAAGAAATCAACAAAAAGATAATAATAAAGTTATCAAAAATTATATTCTGATATAATTATATTTAACAAAATTAACAACAATTTATATTTAAAAGTATGGTCGCACAACGTTACTTGCTATATTTACTGGACCCCGAATTTCAGATTATGTTAAAGTTAATAAATAGAATAAATGATTTTTAAAAATGGCATTTTTTTTATATTCTAAGTATTTAATTTCAAAAAATTACTTATTCTCATGGACCTCAACGCATTCTTCATTAATTAATTACTGTATGGTAATTACATTTTTGAAAATTTACCTTGGTATATCCTTTTCTACTCCAAACTTGAATCAATTTCAGAGTATTGAATACAGAGTGGATAATTAAGGTTAGAAAATTATGTCCTAATATGGGTCGGATAACCCCGGCCCATTTGGTCTTTTGGCTAAAACATATGTGAATGGAATTCAACAGCAAATTTTATCTATGTCTTTTTTGTTTAAATTAAAATGGTATCGGTTATATAACTTATGTGAATATAAATTGTCTTTAGCGAGATTTTTGAATAATTATACAAAAAGTAACAGAAATGTGGTGAAGAATCAATTTATTTTACGAAATTTTGGAACACCAGATACTATTTGAAATAAAATAAATACTTATTACAGTACACAGTTTTCTTTATATCATCATACTAGGCAGTCTTAAATAATAACTACGTGCATGTAAGACTTAATTTATAAAACGTTCGTAGCACGAAAAAGTTTTGAACTCTTTTAAAATATAAAGTTATAAATTTATTTCACCTTTGAAGATTTATAAAATGCGTAGTCTAATTATATATTTGAAATCAACTTTTGATTTTCTTGGTGGGAGTCGAGCGGTCAATCTCTGACGCCACGGCAGCCTCCTCCTCCTCTTTTTCTCGTTTGATGGCTGCCCAAATATCGTAATTCGTGACGTCAGAATGTGCATGAATCCCCGGATTTTGACCTGCTTCCTTGATCATATTTTCGAGAGCTTCAATATTATGTTTGGATAATCTTAAGTAACCACAGGATAACATCTCCTTGGGGTCGAATTTGGTGGCGGAATGTCTGCTGAGTTTTTCTAAAATACCCTCGATGTGTTCAAGTCGCTTTCTCTGCATACGACTTTGCGCATGATATCCATGCTCTTCCTCTGAAGTTTTTCTAAGGAGAATGATTTTTAAGGAATGTACCATTAATTGAGGTTTTCAAATAAAGCAATATACCAGTGTCATAACGCAAAATGTAACAAGGGTAACACAAGGCATCGATCATTCGATGTCTACCCCGATGCAAATTACGTCACTTCCGTTCTGCATAGAATTAACTCACTCACCCACAAACGGACACACAAGGTTGCGTTATTACTAGAATATCCCCTCCAGCTGCGTTGCGAGGGGATAATAACGAAGCAAAATATTATGAACTGAAATTTTTCATTGCATTAAGAAGCTTAGGTCTAAATCGTCGCAGAATGTTGGAACGCAGAATGTTATAACATACTTTTAGGGTTATTACATTTTGCACGCGAAATCAATGCAGAATGTAATAAGGCATGCAAACTATAAAAATCCAAAAAGTTTTATTTCCACTGGGCGTTATTAAATTCTGCGTTAAGTAATGGCGAAAAATATAATAATTGCATGGTTTGTTATTATATTTTCAATTAATTATTACATTTTGCAGTGATCTCGACGCAAAATATAATATCTCAGTTTATAACATTTGGTGTTGTCATTACATTTTGTATTGTTACATACCTGTCTCTGTATATCCGCACTTCTTTCAGAAGCTCTTCGAGATCTTCCATCGCAGACTTGTCCAACATACTCAGATTAGGCAAGTGATCAGGAAGCGTCAACTGGGATGTCTATCAAATAAATTCATGTAATTTTACAACAGCAGTTAAATTGTGCCACCTAACTGACGATTGTTTATGATAACCATCATATCATCATACATATGTACTACTTACCTTGTCAGCAGAAATAGATCCTCTCCTTTCTCCGGGAAGTGATCCTCGCCTTTCCCCCGGTAAAGACCCCCGCCTCCCATGAGCACCTGGCATCGTATGCCTGTGAGCTTCTGCTACAGACTGAATCGCTAACTCGTACAAATTTTGTGCTTCCTCCAAATTGTCCTCTTGAGCAATGACACGGGCTCCGAGAGATGATCTTCTGTGCTCAACAAGACTGTGTCTCCTGCCTTCCCTGGGTGAATGTTTGTGATGGTCGTGGTCATGCTTTGAATCCCTGTGTGACGCCAGACCACTCTGTGAATCGTAATGATCCTGTAATACACGACGTACACCGTGATGCTGAGGCTCATGTGGCACATGGCGTTCATGATGCCCTCCATGTGCCCCATGATGTCCACGATGATCACGTTCTCCGTGATGGTCATGTGACCCAGTGCGTTCGATGTGCATATGTTTCGCACGTGCCCCATGAGCGTGCGCTCCATGTTGATGATGATCGTGAGGATCATGCTTCTTGCGCGCACCTTGATGTCCGTGGTGATGATGCGCTTCTTTAGAATCCTGAGAATGATCATGTTTATCAGACGGGGAATCTTTTTTGATATTTTCACGAGGGGAAGGGTTATGTTCGCGGAATCCCTGTTTAGATGGATGCTCTTGACCAGATGGTGCAGAATTTTCTTTATTTGCGCTCTCATTCTTTATTCCTTGTTTGGTATTTAAGGGATCCACGTTTTGTTTTGCATTAGGAGGGAGATAAAGGACGCTAGATTTCTTACAATCCTCTTCGGTTAGGACGATCGATGGGATCTGACCGATAGGCAGGGCTATTTTAAATAAGACTTTTGAAATGTTATTTTTTTTTTAAACTTCTATCTTATATAAAATATTTATATTCATCGAATTGATTTTTTAAAATTTTAATTTACAGATAAAAGGATTAACATACGTTTATCGATGTCAGAGCTGGTTGAACTTTTATGAGAAATGGACAATTTCCTCACTGAAAGAGAAAGAAAAAAAGATAAAGATAAATCAAGAAGTACTGTATACAGGGTCATTTTTGTCCTTTCACACTTGCAAACAATTTTGTCCCGCTTTAAATTTGCACAGTAAAATTTTGTTTAAGAAATTACATATGCACACGTAAATTGTGTTCCTTTAATGTTTTCCCATTTTAAATTTTCCACATGTGAATAGGGAGAAAGGGGAGGAAATCGAGACGGGACACAAATTTCCCTGTATACAATAATGTACTCATTTAGAAAAATATATATATACATATCTGGCGATACTATTGCTCTAGTTGCGGTTGGCATGTATTTATAATTTCATATATAACAGTTTAACTTTGAATGTTGGATTTCAATAGAAAGTAACAAGATCAAATAGATTTATCTTGAATTCTTGATTAAGCCTCTACCTGTCTACATACTTCAATAAATCAAAGTACTCAGAAGTACAGAGAGCCGGGCTCATTTACAGAGTAGAATGGATTTCTTACATGAATCACGTTTATATTCTGATGAAAAATTATTTTAAAGCTATCAGTATAAATGATAAGACACTGGCAGTGAGTTTTTCAATCCTAATACCACGGTCCGATTTTGTCAGAATCAGAATTAATCTGGTACCGCAGCTGAATGCAAACAAACAGGCCAGTCTGGTTCCCTCTCCTGCTTTACCTCGTATGTGTAGAGAACTACGGTAACACTGATTATCAAAAATCCTTCCGCTAATGAACTATGTTCTTTGACTTATGAAGTTTTCAAAGTCATTACTACTAATGTTTATTTTATATAGATAAAACTTCTTTTTATTTTTGTTGCTTTATTTAGCGTTTGTATTATCTCAAAAGCGGTTGAGAGTAAAAACTATATTTTTGCACGTAACTTTAAAATGGCGACTATGGGGTCAACATCCTGCCTTGAACAGGATCACATAAGCCGGCAATTGCTCTTTGAGCAATAAGCCCGGCTAAAAATGGTAAATTCATAGTGACGTCATAACCGATCGACGTTATTAACACATTCAATTTATATCGTTGAGTTTTGAAGAAGAAAAAATTATGGATTAAAAATTTACCTAAGTACCTTACTATTTGTAATAAATCAGTCACAAATGTAAATATACGTAATAAGGTATCGTTTTTGGAGTTTTATTGGGGTGTAAAACGGGTTGGCACATGACCAAACCTTCCATAAAGTCCTTCGGGCATTCTGGGATTTGATCACGTGACCAACCCGCTTTTCATCCCAATAAAACTCAAAAAATAATACCTTAGTTCTTAAGTAATGTCAGGTGCCTGCGGGTAAACCTAGTACTAGTGGAAACATTTGAGATTTAATTTTCCTTTTCTTCAATTTTCAATAGTTTTCAATTTTACTGTTGTAAGTGAAGAATAAAATAAACTCACTGGGGCCGGGTAGGGACAGAGAATTGCTGCGCTGTCGTCCGTGGTGATGGTGCTCATGGCTGTGATCCGATATCTTGGCTAATTAAACAAGTAATTAATTCATGCAAAATTCATATCTTAGACTTTTCGGTATGGGGTGCTGTTTTAGTATTTTTGAGGTATTTTCTGATATCAAATATATTCTTGATATAAATAATTCATTTTTTTACATAAAAAAAATTTTGTATCAAAATTCAAAAATGTAATTCTTTGTGTAAAGAATTTGAATTTTTGAAACCTGGTTCTCAGAAAATACTTTGAATTATTAAAAGGCGTCTAATTTTTCTGACTACTCGTTTAAACATCAAAAGAAATTTATTTCGGCGAAAAGTTTCCTTGTTTAAAATTATTTTAAAGAATTTAAATCAAGATCTTGGATAAATCTGGTTAGCAATTTTACACAATGTGACTATCTTTTCTCTTTTTTTTCAATGAATAGTGTACATTGTAGTAAATATACTGATCCTTTTATTCCATTCAGTGTTTGCTAGGAAAAGCTATAAAAAGCCATATAATAGTCTATTGAAAAGATAAGGAAACAGGATTCTTAAAAAATATCAAAGCGTAAGCGTCACACGTACCCTGGTCAGTTGACCTCCGTGACGAGGTACGTTTGAGGTCCAGAGAGGTGGCCCCAGCTTCCTGTAACTGACGGCGACTGCGCGATTGAACTTTGACCTCATATCCACTGAGAGGGCGACTGCTGCTACGGCTGAAAATTGACAAATCAAAGCGGGTAATACATTATATTTGGTGCCATAGATTCTTTTACTATTTCGAAACCTTTGAACTTGATATAAAATTACCTGTGTGCTCTTTCATCCAGGCTGGATATTGGAGGTTGCTAAATAAAAATATATATATAGTTCTGTGAGAAAAAATTCTATCATACAAATAGTTATCAGTCTGGCAATTTTATACTTATTCATATGTATATAATAGTATATACTTATACTATAGCTAACGTTTATGATCATGCCTTGAATCATTTATCATATGAATTTTCAAGAAAGTATCATCCCTTCATACAACTTGTATTTCAATAGAAATTCTTTCCCACGACTGAAATTTATAGCGACTTATGTGCAATTTAATATGATTCATGGATTTTCTTTTTTTTTTTTAATTCTGATTTTATTTTTTCAATTTCATAATTATCTTCCGTTGAAAGAGTGCTCGGCTTGTATATAATGAATCCCACACAGCCAATGATGATTTTATAGCAACTTGCTTGAAATGTTGAAAATCGGAAAAATTTACAGATTATTGTGGAATCATCATTGTTCGTGGGGGACCAATGTTCGTGGATATCGTGGGTCACTCTTATCCACGAATTTACATCCCCACAAACATTTATTTTATAAACATATTTATTTTTTGAATCTTCTGTTTATATATGTTACCCACGAAATTACGTCCCCACGAATCAACAAAATTTTGCTTACCCACGAACATTGACCCCCAAGAAATAAAATGATTCCACAGTACCTAAAACTGACGGCGGAAATTCTTTGTTTCACTTCAAAGCTTAATTGTTTCTTTTGGTTATTTTTTTTCTTTTATTATACGTACACCTCTGTGGGAATCGTGTTCTTTGTAGATTTTTTTCTTGTCGTGTTCGAGTTTTTCTAAGCACTTTCTCATCCTCTCTTGGTCCTTTCTGCAGTGTACAAAAAGTATAGATTAACTAGTGTTAATTGTAACAGGGACCGTTACAGATGTTCTCCAAACGCTCCCCAAATCGCAGCAAATGTACAAAAAGTATAGATTTTAAAATAACTATGACATCAAAAAAAATTAAGACAAAAACAATTTCAACTTTCTCAAAATTTTCTTACCTTCATCTTTGAATTCTATTTTAACATTTTTTAAAAAATTATTACTAGTATTTATATAAACCGCACCGTGTTTATTTCATCAAATTAGAATTAATACAAATCGGTGGGGCAATTCAGAAGTGTCACGAATTTCTTGGGGTCTTTTATGACCATGAAATATGGAGATAAAGAATAGTAATCAAGCTCATATGCACATTGAAACAAAACGGATACACAGAAAACAGCAGTCTCCAAAACATCAAAGCTGGGATTAGGTGTCATAGAGAAAAAATCATCCCATATCAAACGGTTACACCTGCTCTGTGTTCCTTGTCATGATCATCCAAATGGCACTAGAAAATCTATGTTCGTACAGACATTCACAATCAGTGTGTAAAATGATAATGTCTTCAAGTTGTCAATTAGTATGAAAATGTCAGGCAGCATTCGCTTTAATGATAGATTGTTTTCACTGAAAAGGTCATTACATCATTCTTGCGAAATTATGAATGAGACAATACTGTTGATATCATTGCATCATTAACTTGTTTGTCAATATCTCGTTTAAAAAAATTATCCTTACGTTAGAGCACTATCAAAATTGCTTATTGAATTAGGAACTATAGTGTATATTGCTACATATAAGTGTCATAGTATGTCATTGTGCGCTTAAAATGAGCTTGAAAGTTGACGTGCAACGTGCACGTGTATTTTTATTATACCGTATTCATTCCATTCTTTAAACATGAGAAAAAGTAAAATCTACTTGCAAAGAACAGCATTTTTAAACATGAGAAAAAGTAAAATCTACTTGCATAGAACGGCATATAGATGTGTTTGTTGGGGAAATTATATATTTTTGAGATATTATATACTCTTACTTTTTTTCAATAAAAAAAATTAGGAGGGGCTATTATCCACACTTCAGGTGTTGTGTCAGAAGTTGAGAGAGAATGAACATTTAAAAATGAGACCAGGTGTTAGATTGTTATGATGAATCAACACAGCACAGTAAGCTACTAAAACAACTCTACTATGGCCTCATATTCAGATTTAAAAAATATAAGAAGAGATCGAAAGGGACCCGAGTCAGACCAAAGACATATGAAAGAAGCAAGGCGTCAATGGTATTTCTGTCCTGGGGACATACATTTTTTTCAATTATATGTCTCTTTACTTATAATGACCATCAAATTAAATATTTTTTATTCATTTAGAGTTTTTCCTTACCCCATTTCACGGGTGCACACATTCTCTCCCTTGTCGATCAGCTTATGCTCTTTAACCAGCTGAACTTGGATGGCATAACTTTGACATTTTTTGGATTTCCGACTGTGCGTGCTGGTAAATCCGTCTGGAACAATATTATCCATTTTATCCATTTGTCAAGCCTTAAAGTCACGGTTCTTTACTATTTTGTCTTACATTATGTATCGATTTCCATTGTGTACTGTATCCAACAAGACTATGTTTATGACGTCACATATTGTGATGTCATTGTTATAAAATGCCGATCCCGATTTTAAATCTATACAAACACTATAATAAAATGATAGATTCAGCAAATCTGGAAAATTGTCATAATTAGGTAATAAAATGAATTAACTTGAACAATAAAGCTTTATTTCGAGAACAGAGAAAGACTGTAGAGGCGAGCTGTAGCAATAAACAAAGTGCAATAGCCGCTTGATTTCATTCAGCGCGAAACTCATATCAAAATTTAGGAACGAGGTCAGACGGGATTTCTTTAACCACACATAGCTCCATTATAATCGTAGTGTTATTTCTATTTTACTCTTTCCGCGTCTCTACTTGAGCAAAGTAGTAATGAGAACAAAGACCTTTTTGCTATTTGTTTTCTCAAAATAAAGCAGCGAGGTAATTTGCTGAGGTTTCTATGCCCCCTTTTTATTTTTGTGAGAATGTACAGATCGAGACTTGGCCTGGTGCATAAAAAAATAAAACTCAAAATATGATTGTTTACATCTAAGTTTACAAAAGAAATTTTACAAGAAACAGATTTAAAAAAAAAAAAAATAGGGAAAAGTTGACTTAACTCGAAAATAATACTTCATAGGAGGATAGGAAGATGAAAGGTTGCTACAAAAAATCTGGGCAACCAGTCTTTCATTGAACAATTTCAAAAGTAAAAGATTTTGTTCGAAAAAAAAAATCCTCTCTATACTACCGTCCGTATATCATTTTAGCTGAAAGTGTATTTTCCTATAAACGATGTAGAGTACCCGGCTACTTAACAAGGTTATGTGAATACATTTCTCTCATTATTAAGTCTATTTCATATTGCGGAAGAAACGTTTTGTTATAAAATAAGGAGAAAAGGCAAATTTGTATGTCCCCCTCTTAAATAAAGTAAAAAAAAATGCCGGAAAAAATATTTAAATGTACAGGAAGTATGATCCGAGGAATATTTCTCATTTGGATCGTCGAAAATATAAAATATAAACATCTTTTAATGAACAGTTCAACACGTTTATAAATATAAATATTGTTTGTAAATAGAATCCTATAATTATAATCCTAAAATATTGAAACTGCTATGCCAAATAAAAATGTTTATAAAATCGTCGCACAAAATTCCTGATTAAATACATGTGTTCCCTTTATTGTTTTGACCTTGAATGTTTGTTGAGCTATGCAGGATATATAAAGGGATGTTACAATCAATACTCGCAATCATTGCTTGGGATCCGTCAGTACACGTGCTGAAAGGTAGGGCTATTATGTCTGTGATATTCCTTATAGTTTTCTCTACAAATGACAGTGTATACATTTTTCTTAAATTTTCTTTTCTCTTCCTTTTAGTTTGTCTCACTATTAAGAATCCACCCACTTCTAACTATTGGTTAACGGAAGATAAAGGAGCGAGGCGGATCTTATATAACACGACGAGGAAGACTATGCTTTCATGGGACAAATAGTTCATCGTTTGTCCTGAAAATACTAGCTGCTATTGTCACGGCCCTCCCACTTAAATGACGCGGGAAATATATAATAGGTGCACATGATGAAGTTTGGTGCAGATAACTGTTTCGTAACAGCGTTCAGTAAGGATGCTTCTAGAATTTTTCGTCACATGCTGCTTTGTCTCAATCGTTCCGTTCCTTACTTTTGTAATTTGGACATTACTAATCAGAAAGAAACATAGGGTGCCCTGCATACCCGGTGGATGGCCCATCATCGGCAATGCCCTTCAGTTATCTATGGACCGGTGCCATCTTGTTTTTGCCGAGTGGGCAAAGCGTTTCGGAAGCGTGTTCGAAGTGAAATTGTTTAACGAGAAAATAATTGTTCTAAACGACTACAACAGTATCCACCAGGCGTTAGTGCAGTCAGGAACAGACTTTGCAGGTCGGCCCAAGATGCATCGGACGGACCAAAAGGCGCGATGCAAAAAGTCTATCGTATGGCAAACATACAACCCAAAACTTATCCTTTTACGAAAAGAAGTACTCAAGTCCTTAAAGATGTACGGACCAGGGCTTCGTACTTTGCAGGACATTTGTGAACCAGACCTATTGGCTTTAGTGGATCGAATTCAAGAAATGGATGGGAAGCTATTTGATCCTAGCCGTGTTCTCTTCGATTCAATATGCAATATAATGTTATTCTTCGTAAGTATCAATTAAAAGATTCTATACAACAATAAAAACTTAAATCATACTTACAGTACCTAGCCATACCTACATGATAGGTTTATTTTCAAACATTTTAATTATCAACCATCTACATATCTGTTTTCGTTGTTGGAGGAAGTCGATTTCTTTTTAAGAAAATAAAAAGTACATATTATATAATTGATATGGTGCAGGGATATAACTACTCCATCTGTTCAAAAATATTGCAAAAGTTTGTAGGAAGATAAGTGCAATATGTCAAACTTTTAATGCAAGTACCCACATGAAGTGTAGATTTTATTGTTCAGATTGTTGTCTGATAAAAAGCAAAAATTCTGATCTTTGACTTTGACCTTGCAGTTTGACCTTTTGAAAAACTTCCCCCAATCATATCTGCTAGATATTCATATTTCACATGTGTATTCCTTGTGAAAAGTTCTTCCCTTAAATACCAATAGTTTTGATCTTTTGGCTTAGACCTTGGCTTTTGATCTTTTGAGAACCTTTATCTGTGGCCTTATTTTTAATTGGTTATTGCTAGGGCTTTCATAAATATGTTACTTGTTAATATCTTAATATTTTGACCTTAAATTTTTGACCCTTATTTTGAACAGATTTGTCATTTGATTAGTAGGTGCTAGGACTTTTGTAGTTTCTATGTGCATTCCTTTTGAGCTTGGGGTAAACCTTCTTTTGAAAAACATTAACCTTGGACATAACCGTTGGTGCTAGGTGTAAACCTGTAGGGTTTCAGACAATTAATTTAGTCATGAAAATAAAAATAAGCCAATTAAAATGTACTCATGATAGAGTGCACTGACCTATAATCCAATCGGGATATGAAAGTGTAATACCTTTCCGTAAAAATTAAAAAACTTGGTAATCGCATTAAGGACAGTGTAACCTACCAGGATGTTTATCTATCTTCGGACATCGATACAGGAACAGTAAAACAATGCAAAAACTTACTTTAACATTATATTAACTTTTGCACAATACCAGGGCACTGAACTGAAGCTTATGTTTATAATTTATTTTATAAAGTTCTTGGATTTAGACCCAATTTATTGTATAACTTGTTTACTTAAATTTGATTTGTTTGTTTCGTATGTAAATGAGTATTATATATTGTACATTATAAAAATGACAGTCTAACTTTACCAAGCGCTCTCATCTGGGCCGCACATCGCATAGCGGGGCTCTTCGGAGCAACGTTCTAGGAGGGAGAGACACTAAACGATCACGAGCCATTTACGGTGTTCACTGTCTTCGCCCACTATACGATCACTAATTGTTTTCATTATAAATTTGATTAAACCAAAATAAACTTTTACAAGAACAAATTTTCCTTGTCATTGGTTCACATAGGGCTTTCATATTTCACAGATGTAATTCTTATTACCTTGGGTACCAACATATTTTATCTTTTGACCTCGACCTTGGAATTTGACCTGTGTTTACCTTCGCCATCAGCTGCTGCACGGGGACATCAGTGTAACAAAAAACGTCTTGTTTTTATTGTAGCTTTTAAGACTACGCTTTGAGTATAACGGACCAGAAATTGAAACAATAAGAGAAATGAGCAACTTATTTAACGAAACCTATGGATCAGGAGACGGGAAGTGGCTAGATATTATTCCCTGGCTCAGGTTCGGACAGAATAAAGAGACACGGCGTCTGGAACGTGCTCTGGATATGAGAGATCGGTTATGGACGTCTCTCATTGAACAAAATGGGACGGTACGTATCCTTTGATTCGCGCATATACATCGCATGTGTAGCGGACGTCCGCGTTAATTAGTTTAAAGCCCATTTAATTCATTCATAAGCGCTCCCTAGAATAAAAAAAAGTTGATTTTATAGTATTGAGGGGTAAACCTCGTAGTATATAGACTATCATTTCGTCATTTGTACAAGATTACATGGCGGCGCTTTTGATTTCATTACCTTAAGGGTTTTGACTGTACTTCAGCTATACATTTTGAGTCAAGATTACCAATATTAATGTTCTGTGTTCTCAAAATTTATTTAATTAAAGTCTTTGATTAATAGTTTACAGAAGAAAGTGTTGTTGGCCACTTGCAAAGTCTGAAGAAAGACAATTCCGACATCGATGATGATACCATCAAAGAGTGTTTTACCAATCTAGTATTAGCAGGTACGAAGTATAGATGTTTCCTCAAAATTGTTCGAATTATCGATGGGAAAAATGTTTATGATATCCTACGCATTCATTAATTTAATTTAATGTATTTTCTTTTAATAATTATGTACATGTATTTAATTAATGGAGTTTTATTCCAAAACTTTTGAAATAAACAATCTTTTGATTTGATTTACATCGAATCTCTTATTTTAACGTGTTGATTACTTATGTACGTTTAATCTTTAGGGGTGGACACGACAGCTACCGCCCTGACCTGTTTAGTTCTGGTTTTATTACACAATCAAGACTTCCAGAAGAAGATCCAGGAAGAAATCGATCGAGTTTTCCCGGACGGCGCTTTTCCCGCGCTTTCTGGCCGACAACAAACACCGTTCACGGAGGCCGCCATATTAGAGCTCCTACGCTTTATATCTCATGTCCCCCTAGCAGTTCCTCATTCCACGACAGAAAATTCTAAATTATGTGGTTATGATATAGATGCCAATTCCACGGTGATTTATTTAGCGGTTCATTCATCCTCACAACTATGTAACTCGTTGCTGTGGGGATTTCATTCTGTGCTTCTCTCATTTAGAATGAACAACTCGTTGCTGTGGGAGAGATAGGAAAAACAATCAAGGTTTTCGATTTTCCTGAAATTGGTCTGACAAATTTCATTCAATTTTATTCGGCGTTGCTTCTCTCATTTAGAATGAACAATCAAATTGAAGTACACAGATCATAAACAGAAATGAGACAGTTAAATACACGTGTAAAACATTGTTTATCACTAACAAGCTTAATGAATGGTTGAGAGATAGGAAAAACAATCAAGGTTTTTGATTTTCCAGAAAGATGCCGATGCCAACAGCCCTTAAGCTATCCAATGAAATTTGCAAAGGGTCCCAAGGCAACTCAGAACCCTTGACGTCGTGCGGATGTAGTTCATCTAGTTTTGACTTTTTAAAAATCTAATTATGTATTGAATTTTTCCAAAGTGGGGACGAGATTCTTGGTGTTGATTTTTTTTTTTTTTTGTATAAAGTTAAGAAGAAATAACATTTTATATAATTAATTTAGGTATATATAAATTTATGGGCATTGCACCATGACGAAAATATCTGGTCAAATCCGTGGAAGTTTGACCCTTCACGTTTCCTAGACGACGATGGTAGAATCCATAGTCCACAGCATCCCAATCGGAAAAGGTTCGTGTTTTTGCTTTTACTCATGTAGAACGTGGCGGTTGTGTGCGGTTATTTAAAAAAAAAGATTTTATTTGATAGTTTGGCATTCATATTTTTCACATGTATTTCTTGGGACAAGACTCTCCTTTGCCACCATTAATCTTGACCTTGACTTTTTGAAAAACTTTTCGATGGTTGGTGCTAGGGCTTTCATATTTCAAAGGCCTATTCCCAAAGATGACCGTTTCTTTGGGTACCAAAAATTTTGAATTCTTGACCTTGAGTTTGACCTGCATTTAAGAAACTTTTCCAATCGTCTTAAACTGCCATATAAATACATCAGTGTTTCACAAACACAACTTGTTTTTTTTTATCTTGTTCAGTCTTTATTTGCCATTTTGTTTTATTTTACATCAGTGTAATACTAATATTTCTTAATTTTCCCCTAATTTTAAGGTTGTTGGTGTTTGGTGCTGGCAGAAGAGTTTGCCTAGGGGAGGCTTTTGCAAGGAACCGGCTGTATTTATTTGTGACAATGCTCCTTCAGCATTTTACTTTTGTGCCAGACAGCACAGAGCAGCTACCGGAAGTTGATCCTCGATCATATGATCTTGGACTTGTTCTACATCCAAAGCCATTCAAAGTCAGAGCAATCAACCGTCATCAAATGGCAGCAATTTGACTGAATCAAATTTAGTCCTATAAAATAATAATATAGATTTTTTTTATTTTTAATTTTATATATTCCGTCTGTCTGTAACGGTTTTGTTTAAAAGTATCCTTTGAGCTTACGCTGTTAGATTTTACCAGTGATAAAATTATTCGATTTCTTAGATTATCTAATGAGAAGATCTTTCTTAAATTGTCTCATCTTAATTTTCCCATGGTACAACTATGTATCAATGTATCACCATACTCGTACCCCTATGCAAGAAAAAATGTATTATTTCTAAGGACTGTAACACTTTAGATGCTTTATCAATATTAATTTTTCTTTCATTTTATCAAATGTCTGTAAATGTCTAAGAATTAAAATGTGCTTCTTTTTCTTTAAACAGTGGCCGATATTGTAGTTTGTCACAATTTAAACTTTTAGATTTATTTATTAGCAGTATGAAGATGATAGTTGATCAATGAGTCTCTCCCTGAAGACTGAGTACATTTTAAAAATGTTTTGCACATTTTCATGCTTTAATATTTAATAAATACTCATACAAAGTATGACAAACTCATATCAGTACACTTTTGTTTTCTTTTAATAGCACTATACAGTGTATTTAATCTTTGATAAAATACTTCTTTATAGAGATTAGGCTACCAGTACTTAGAAAATTAATTTTTTTAATGCAATGTTCATTCAGCTCTTCTTTTCCAACAAATGTATACTTACATTCCATTTATAGTATTCTTAATATGTTAATAGGTACCCAGTCATAATATGTATGGGGGGGATTCAAAGGTTAAATTGTCTCGGATTTTAACATTGCAAATGCAGAACACCACATCACATACATGTAAGTGCATTGCATGAACGAAAATCAAAATTAATGCACACATTGATAAGCGATGGCTGCTTCCTTAATTTAACTATACAAATGCAAAGTGTATCATTTAAACATGGTATCTTGTCAAACTACAATGAAACCAATAAAAATATAAATAAAAGATTGAGCTGTAAAATTTGACAGATGTTCACCTTGCTGATGTGCAGACAAATTGTCATATTTATGTGCATCATTCAATTTGTTAGCACAGCCATCTGTATTATGAAATAATGAAGCTCAAAATTTACAAACCAGTGTTTAAATCAAAATGATCTTTATCTGAAGTCATTAAAACAATATTATGATAAAAAAAAATTCAGCTTTGCTTGAGTTAGAATTTAACACAAATCAAGAGATATCAATCAAATATGTTAATATTAAAGCAATATGATTAATGTATAATAATAATTTTACATCACGTTTCTGCATATAAAGTCTTGGTACACAAAAACTGAAAATATTTAATACTAAAATCTGTTGTAGCAAGTTCTACCCCTGCTTGGTTTAAAAATACACATGCATTACCGGTATTTAAGTAATTGACACATATACAGCAATACTTGTTTATGGACTTAAACATACATGTAAACAACAATGAAACAAATATTCAAATTTTAGGTTTTGTTCAGAACAACTTTGGCATATTAGTGATGAGCAATGTAAACACCTCCATTACCCCAAAAATATATATTTGAAAGAAATGATGATTATAACAAAAAATGTAGTCTAAATTCTTCTTTGACAGAAATAAAACTAAAATGCTTGGCATATTCCCATAAAAAAAATATGTTTATGAGGTGTAAGATCACTTCAAAAGCCCCATCTCAGCTTCTCAAAAAAAAACCCCAAACAAACAAAAAAACTTTCATTCTAACATAACTTTAAACATACAGATAAGTACAGAGATAAACTAGAAATTGTAATACTCAACATACACATACCCTTGGTATTTACCTCAATTAAAAACCATACACACACTTTTCTGGATCCATAATTGTACATCTGCATTCCCAAGTTCTTAAAATGATAAACAATTTAATATTGAAGGAGTTTAAAAAATTCACTTTTAAAGGATGTAAAACATCAGTGCTTATTTAATTAATCTTTGCACTTAATGTGCCAAATGCCACTCAGGTGTGCATAGAAATTTTATTGGTTTTTATCTTATTCAATATCTGGGTGATTTATGGCACTGTGAAGCTCACAAATTCTTCCTTAATCTTTTTCAATATAACTTTTCAAGTCATCTTTTAGTCCAAAAAAAAAAAGAGAAAAAAAAATAATTTCAAGGAAACCACAATCTCTGAGATATAAAGAATATACATGTATGTATGATAAATAAAAATATGAAAATGATATATCTCTACAGCATTCAGAATTAATTTAAAGCATACCGGTAATTCTCAGCTTGTCTCAACAAACAAAGATTTGGATAAACAATTATTTGGCACTGGAAACACAAATATGAGAAAAAATGCAAACCACTACATCTTAATTCTGTTGTAAATTAGCAAATATTTCCCCAACTCTTTGTTGAACCCCTGGGAAAAATACATACAGCACAAGGGCCAATGGGAAAACAGTTCGCAGCAAGGTACCAACAGTATTGGAAAGAAATAATGTCACTCCCATTACCATTGTATAGGGCAGCCACAGCAGGATTTCCAAAATAGCAATCGGTGTCCGTAAGATGGCTACGACGATGTCTAAAATCATTAGAATTATAGACATCAAACAATGGAAGGAACAGACCAGTGGTCTAGTCAGACAATATGACAGCACGGACAGGATTTCGGACACTATAGCTAAGGTAGCCTCAAAGACAGGGAGGATTACAGACTTTAGGAGCCCCTCCTGGTTCTGAGCGTCCGCCAGGGTCAGGACACAGATCACAGCTATCAGCAGCATCACTGCTCTCTTCTTATCTTCACTGAAATTGCTCCACTGTGTTCGTAAACTTTCTAAAGGAGAAAAAAAACAAATAATTTGTATCTAGAATGTGTAACAGCAATACACTCAATGTTCAAAGACATCGTTTATATTTTATAAAACATTTAACTGTTCAACGAAAAATTTCTAAATCCTGGTAGTCTCCCTTGGACATGCCAGCTTTTAGTCTTCTGACATGATAATGAGTATTTCTTTCAAAATAAAAAAATAAATATTAAATTTACAGGTACAGAATCTATCATCATTTTTTCTTGCTGCTTCATTACATCTAATTTTTATGCAGAATCAAAGAGAAATTTATTAAAAGAAACCTGATTTCGTGTAGCATTGAAGCCAAAGTGCAAAACTTACCGACTTTAGGATGGCTGACTATTTTGTTCTGAAGTGTGATATAACCTTGTTTGGCACGATTCTTTAACCACTCTATCTGCACTTCTGGGCCACCTTAAAACAGAGGATAATTCTATCTATGAAATTTAATCACAGTCTTATGAACATCAAACAATTTTTATATAAATGTACGTCCATTTACTATTACCATATTTAAATTTAAAAACATATTACATGTACATGTATTCTTATTAAGAGGAGAGGATTTTTAAAAGCTTTCTCTTGATTAGTTAATTACCTTCAACATGTCTGAACTCTGATACAAAGGTCCCTAATTTAGTAACACATGATTTTCCAATATCCCAACTTCTCTGGACCCATGATATGGAAAATACTTTATCTGCAGTGAGATATTTGTTTAGTGATATTACTGTTGTAATTCAATTTTTTTGTTAAATAATTATTTTACAACTGCTGGTAATGCATCGATTCAACCAGTACTATGACCAAATTGTCTAGTGACATCAAAAGTTTCAAAACCAGATGGTGTTATTAAACCATTTAACCAAGCATAAAAGACACATGTATTATCTAAATTTGTTGAATATAAAGCAATATATCTCAATATCTAAATACATGTACTACATATTCACTAGTTTGAGATATTTTTTGTGTACATACTCTGTGCAGTAACACAGGCTTTGCGGAGTTCACTTCTTGACCAGATGTTATAGGCTGATTTTAGGATTGTACTGTAATCATCAGTGGCTTCCCAGGGATCTTCCTCTACTTCTTCACCCTCTGGAATCGCACATCCAATGTTCAAAAAGTTGCAAAAACAATATCTTTCTAAGTTTTGCATTTATATGTGAACAAAAATTTGAATTAAAAGAAAAACTACCTAACCTGCCAATCCTATTTCTTTTTTGCAATTAATAGTAAACAAAAAATTTTTCTTGGGCCTTTACAGTCATTTGATTCACAAATTCAAGTATTAACATTGTACCTTGAACCTCCTGATCATCAAATCTAATTCTTTGTAAGGCATGGATGTCAGCCCGACATTGTGGGCAGCTTCTGTTTTCGTGATATTGATAATTTAAGAGAATATTTCCCATGGAACGTGGGGGTGTGGTCCTCCATCTATGGATACACACATTACAAAACACGTGTCCACACGGCACACAGCAAACCGGGGACTTCAGCCCGTCAAAGCATATAGGACAGACACCCATCCTTTAGCTGTAATATACAAGTGCAGTTTCTTTTACTAATACAATAAGTAAGCATTATTTGGTTTTCTAAGGACAGAAATTGAATCATGATCAAATTTTCAAGAGAATAAATCAAAAGGCAGTCTCATGATCTGATGGAATAGAACTACAGTTTTTAAAAAGCAATTATCTGAATTCTACCTTGAACGACTGAACTCAAAGAGAATATGTGCCACAAAATGTCCTATCAGATGTTCTGGTTTACTCATGATTAATCAACTTAATAACAAGTTAACAACTTATCCTAATTAAAAATAAAATAGTTTCCATCACGATTTTAACTTAAACTAGGTTAATTTCATGACCAAACCTGTGTTTTTCATGTTTATATATAGTTCACTGCATTATTAAAACATCCTTAACTGTGGCTACCGTTACAATTTAATATGGTGGTTAGCCATGGTAAACAATGTCAATATTTCTGCTGTGAAAACAAACATCGGAAATAGGTTTGATTCTTGAACTGAATTCTACCTCTACATAAAAAAGTCTTCATCATATTGTTGAAACCACGGACAGTTAAGACTCAAAAAATTATAAAATCTACATTTTCTACAAAATATACGCTTAATACAAACCTTAGACTATTATAAGACAACACCTAACATCTAACCTTTGACTTTCACTTTGAACAACACAATCTAAAATGCAAATACGAAGACTTATAATTCCGGAATTTAAACGTTACCTTAAAAATTCTTTCCTGTTGATAAAATAAATTTCATTAAAAAAGTCATTAATGTTCTTGTAATCTCTATGCTTTAATATAAATATTATTCTAAATTAATGTTCTGAATGTAATAAAAAAATTTTGCTTCTAAAAAATATCCGGATATAATGACTGTGTTTGAAATGGTTTTAAATGTAGATATTACCTACATCATTGAAAATATTGTTTGCAAAAATAATATTTAATATTTGTTGGCTGTAAATGTCTCTTTTTCTTTCTTAAAAAATATAATTATATTTCATTTTTGAAAATTCACATTTTAAATGATTAGGCATAAAAGATTTATATTTTGATTTATGATTTAAGCGATCCTTATTTTCATCCGGGCACTGTTGCCTGGACAACATTAGAAGCCATATTTGTTGTTTGGTGCAGTCTCAGCAAACATGGTAAGAAATATTGTTAATTTGTATCAGTTGTGTGTCATTTTACCTTAGCATTTGTAATTGAATAAAGCACGTAATTCAATCATAGTTAAATTTTAATCAAATGCAAAGGAGCTGTTTGTTACTACATTTTAATTTTGCAGAAACAAATAGTTCTGTACTTAAAATTTTCTTGTAGACTCTCTTTACATATGTTTATTGCTTTTTAACTTATTGTCAAAAAGGGATCTTTATCCTGTTTCACTCTAAATAATGGTACTACATTTTTTGTCAAGGCATTATAATAATGATTATTCCTAACATTGCCATTTCTATCCATTTGGATAGTTTATTCCAGACACACTTATTTGGAATTTCAAAGTTAAATGTCATCTTACTGTGTCTTTGAACAAGTCTTCACTGACAATTAAATATGCCCCATATTATTGTAATCCAGCAAATTGGGGCAGATTCGCTCTGAGTTGATATAAAAGGAGTACATTGAAGATAATTATATACCAAATAAATCATTACAAATATTTTTTGTTTGACAATTGTGTATACTGTGTGTACTCTTTCCTTTCAAAAATTTATATATATACTATAATATAGGCCCATCATGGCAAGCCATGATTTTTGTGTCCATTTTTTTTTTTTTTTTTTTTTGGTGGAAATAGAACAAAATAAATATCTTTTAATGATGTTATTTTTGTTAAAGGTCAAAATTCAATTTATTGTATGGCTTAAATTTATATGCCACATTGACATTTTTTAGCTCTCTGAAATGCTTGTAGTAAAATTGTAGATTAAGATTATATGACCTTGTTTATTTTACTACAATGACAAGATACAGAACAAATTACCAACACAAAGCAAAAAAATCAATCATAAATGAGGTTGGTAAGATAGTTATTACTTGAGTGAAAGAACATTCTGTCACTGATTTTTACCTGATCTTTCATCATTTGTTGTGACTGCTTTAGCTTGATTTCCTTATTTGGTACCTTAATTCTTAGCTGCAGATTGTAGCTCTCTGCAGCTTGAGAAAATTTCGGACAGATGAAGCAGAGAGCTACAGATCCAAGCATTGTAAAATCCGTCTGTTTACCTAGTTTCTTTTTGTCACTCACTTCGGGAATTATTGTATTGTATTTCATGCTCCCCCTTTAAGATTTAATCATTTACCATCTCACATAAGCAAATAAATTTGTTACCAAAAATATGTGAAAAATGCATGTAAAATTGTTTTGAATTCTTCAAAATAACTGTTTCATTGATGTTAATTTCTTTTCCAGCCTCCAAAGAAGAAAAGTGGAAAGAAGGGAAAGAAGGGGAAGAAGTCTGGGAAGGCAAAAACTCCCACTGTTATAGATGGCATCCCCACAGAAGAGATGACCAAAGAACAGGTGAAGTTTTGTACACTGTTCTACCAATATTATCTGTCAAATTTCTCATTTATGCATTGTTTATTTATCAGAGATACCTAGAGGCTTTTTTCCGGTGATGGATTTATGTACACGATCACAGTTTTTGTGTGGAAATTTGTCACAGCTCATTTTAAATTCATGAAGGACTCTTGTTTTCTACTCTTAACAAATAATCTAAATTCATTTTTTCCCTTTGTGTAGCTTGAAGAACATGTTGTACGTTTAAGAGAAGAATTGGATCGTGAAAGAGAAGAGAGAAACTACTTCCAGTTAGAGAGAGACAAAGTGAACACCTTCTGGGAAATCACAAAGAGACAGCTGGAAGAGAGAAAGGCAGAAATCAGGAACAAAGATAGAGAAATGGAGGATGCTGAGGAAAGGCATCAAGTAGAAATCAAGGTAATATTAAAACAGATATTAAACAGCATGAAATTCAGCTCAAAGTTACCAGTAAACTTGGATTCTTAAGCAGTTGGTAATATTTTTATGTAATTTTAACTTTCTCAGGTTTACAAACAAAAAGTGAAGCACTTGCTGTTTGAACACCAAAACAACATATCGGACCTGAAGGCAGACAATGTGTGTGCTCTAAAACTGGCTCAGGAGGACCACAGGGATGAGGAAAAGAAGTTGAGGAAAGACAAGAGGGCCCTCAAAGTCACCCTCAAAGAGGAGGAGCTGTCCCATGAGGACATCATCAAGAATCTTAAAAAGGTTGGTAATGAACATTTTCCTTATGCATCTTGTCAGTTGTAATTTTTAGAGCATAACTTCAGATGAGAAATTCATTATTTTGATTTAGAATCTTTAGGTATTTTAATATTTATGATTATCACAAAGAAAATTCACAGAGAATATATGCTAATAGTTTTTGTTTTTAATTTAGAAACATGATGAACAGATCACTCAGTTACGAAGCGATTTTGAAAGACAAGCAAGAGAAATTGAGGCCAAATATGAAAAGAAGATGAGGACATTGAGAGATGAACTTGATTTACGTCGCAAAACAGAGATTCATGAAATTGAGGAGAGAAAGAATGGCCAGATCAACGAATTAATGAAGACACATGAGAAAGCCTTTACAGACATCAAAAATTATTACAATGACATCACTCTTAATAATCTGTCTCTCATCAACACACTGAAGGTAAATTTCCAGGATTTTTCACTACAGTCAGGAATTTTAAAATAAATGCAAAAAAGGAAGAAACCTGTAGGCTGTGTATGACAAGGTGTAATGATGTAGCCCTCTCTCACATTTTTTAATGTATTTCAGGAGAGAGCCACATTATTGCAGCTAATAAGCAACATATTCATGAAATACATGTCATAGGCTATATTGGTCACAAGAAATTTGTCATTTAAAAAGAAGTATTGGTACATGCTTTAATTATTCTCCCTACATAGGCTGACATAAGTTTTGTTTTGAACAGGAACAAGTTGAGGAATCAAAGAAGAAGTACGAACACATGGAGAAAGATCGTGCCGAGGTGATGGCGGAGAACAAACGTTTGTTGGAGCCACTCCGAGAGGCCAAAGAACAAGTGGACCTGCTGAGGAAGAAACTGGCCAACTATGAGAAAGACAAGGAAACTCTCAGAGTAAGGATTTCATTTAACATTAATCAAGACTTGTGATAAGATAATTTTTATTTAAAATCTGGTTTTGACAGCTATATTCCAAGTACTGGTATATGACTTTTTGTAAAATATAGGTAATAAGATATGACAAGATTTACATTTGACCTACTTATAAGGAAGTGTTGTCACTTCAGTGTCATAATATTTTTTTTATGATCTCTGTAGATGACAAAGGCAAGGCTAAAGGTCACAGAGGAGGAACAGAGGGCCCTCAAATGGGAGCATGAGGTTCTGGAACAGAGGTTTGAAAAGGTAGGCTGCAAATTTATTCCAATTTATATATTTCTCTATATGATGAATTTTAGTTCATATTCAACATATTGAGATAGAAAAAATGAAGTGTCTACTCGTATAATAAATGTTTTTCATGCAGTCCTTCCATACACTTCATAAAAGTTTCCATATTATTGCACCAAGTTTTATATGCTGCTCCATAATTGTGATGCAATATTTTCATAAGTTGTATACAGAAAAATACTTGTCTTCATTTTCTTCACTATGTGAGAGGGGGACTCAACAGAGACAGAGTTATCTTTCTTTTAACACAGCAATGTCTTTGAAAATTAGAAAAGAGACAAAGTCATTTGCAAGTGTGAAATGTCAAAAAATCACACGAATTGATATGTCAAAAAATCACACGAATAAGTCACCCCCTGTACAATATTCATCTATATACTGAAATTTTTGATAATATTTCAGACCCAGGATGAGAGAGACGACCTGTACAGGAAGTTTGTGAAGGCCATCCATGAGGTTCAGCAGAAGAGTAACTTCAAGAACCTCCTCCTGGAGAAGAAACTGGGAGCTCTGGCCGACACCCTGGAGAAGAAGGAGGCCCAACTCAACGAGGTCCTGTCCGCCTCGAACCTCGATCCCACAGCACTTACTGTTGTCACCAGAAAACTGGAGGTACAGAAACAAGCAATGGGGAAATGTGTGCCAAAAGTTCTAGTATTTCAGTATATGCATGTTAGGACAAAATTTCTTGCATGCATTTTAAAAGTATTCTTTATTATTTAAAAGTATTAAGGAACTTAGATTCAGCATGTTGTTGGATTTTCTTTTTATTATCAAAATAACTTTTGAAAGAAAAAAATGCATTCATTTTTTCCAGGAAGTAAATACTTTAATAGAATTTTATTGAACAAATTGAATACCATGAACATATAATTGCGTGATAATTATCACTGCTATTTATATCGGGAACCCATTTACACGTATATCATGGATCTTGATTTTGTAGGATGTACTTGATTCCAAGAATAGTGCTATCAAGGATCTTCAATATGAACTGGCAAGAGTCTGCAAAGTAAGATACTACTTTATATGAAAAAATGTAATAAAAGGAAATTTTGAAGCTTTATTTTTAAAATTTATTTTTAGTAATTTGTGACCATTTCAATATATGTATATCTATCTTTACAGGCACATAACGATCTACTGAGGACGTACGAAGCCAAACTCACACAGTTCGGAATCCCCACAGAAGAACTAGGCTTCAAACCCCTGGAGAGCACTGTAGGGGGTCAGGCTTTGGGACAGGGGCCTGCTGGACTTGTATCTGCCCCATCCTAGATCTGACAATGTGTCTATTTCCAATCCGTCCACTAAATGTTTTATCCATTTTGATCACATTCTATAAACTATATAAAGTGGATTTTAATAGGAAAAGATAAAACAACAAATAGAAGATGTGGTTTTCATTCAAAAATTGTTTAAAATATTACAAAAGAGGTCTCAACTAAGTTATGAAACAAGACTTAAAGAAGTTATGATTTCTAACTTATTAATAATTCTGTTGGTTTTGTACTGAATCATGTCTGTGATCGAGTTTTCCTTGTATGAATGGAGTGTGTGAAATGAGAGGGATATATAAGTATTTACAAGAATAAACTGTGATAACTCTCTGAAAATGTACAGATATTGTAAATAAATACTAGAAAATTTTAATATTCCTAATTTTATTTTATGTCTTTTTTTTTATGAAACACAAACCAAAAGGAAGATATTGTATTATAATTTTAATATTTCAATGCCATAACAATGAGGTCGATTAGGTACATATAGTGTATAAAGTGGGTTAATTAAAAAAAAATATATCTAAATGAACAAAATAAAAAGCAGGCCTTGGGTCATTAAGATAAGCAGTATATTTTATGTTCAAAATACATTTCAATTTCACAGTCAAAATGCACTCCCTAGAATCCCTGAAAAATAAGTATCAATATGTTTGATACGTACAAACTTGGAATTGATGTTTCCTAACAAAAGTAAATCACTATAATTATAACGGATTTTTAAAATTCATATTTTATATACCAACTACAAATCAGAGACATATATACCAACTACACTACAAAACAGAGAAATTAATTTTTGTGTTTTTAAGTATATATTTGTAAAGCCGGGGTCAATAGGTCAACATATTTTACACACATTGAAAGATCTTGTTGTAGCACCAACTGTTATGGCCAGGGTTTAAGGTTGATATTTTGGAAAGATGGGTCAAAATCCAATGTCAAGAGGTAAAATTAGGTGTTACAAGAGGAAAGGTCTTGCCATCTAGTGGCATCCAAAAATAATGGGCTAGGCTAAAGACTGTCAGACATGGCAAAAACTATATAAAAAAAATCTTTGATTGAAAGTTGGGGGGGGGGGGGGGGGGGGTATTAAGAATATACATTTATCAACTGAGTCAAGGGCAATATGCGTCTCATAACTAAAAACCGATGCCCCAGGCCGAAGGCTGAACTTTATATAGTCCACAAAACTCGCTATGCTCGCGAATACATTTAATAAATGTTTAGTATGCCTTTAACCCCCCCCCCCTCCAAAAAAATCGCAACTTAACGGCAGGTTTTGCATCTCGCTGCAGTCCATCGTCATATTTTGGACCGCTCTATGAACCATTGTAATTTTTAATTTTTTTCATTATTAAAGATTTACAGAAATGTATAAAGGAAACAATTCTTAAGAGTATAACAAAAAGTATTTTATTACGTAGTACGTTTTTTCCTTCGATTAAACTTGGGCATAAATGATATTGTGTGTGACATTATTTTCTGTTAGTAGTGTTTTTTCTTTAACATTTATTAATACTCTATGAATTGAAAAATTATTTTGTGATTTATTTTCAGTGAAATGAATATCGCGATACCGGGAAGAAAAAAATAAAGAGGAAGAGTGTGTACACTGTAAAAAATGCGCTTAGAAAATAAACACTTCCATTACGTGTTTTGACCTAAACATGTATAAGATTGTGTTTAACGGCTAAACACTTGGGTCTAAACATGTGTTAGATTGTGTTTAACGGCTAAACAAATGAAGTAAACGAAAACATTTTTGTTATATCTAAATAATGTCAATTAATTAAATTTTAACACTTTTCACATATATGTTAGTAGATTAATTGAAACATTTTTATGTGAATGAAAAGTTGTATTTTTCAGAAAATGAAAGCATATATATTAAATAATAAATAGAGATTTGGTTAATATGCATACAAAAAGGAAATCCCAATGTTAGGTAAAGAAGATGGATTAAAGGAAGTGAATGCTAATCAAAGTGATAACCATGAAGAGATTGTGAAATGCATTTAAACTGCAACATTACTGCGATAAAAGGTATGTTAACTATTATTTTTATTTTACATAAATTGACCATGATGTGTACGTAAATAGACATGCATTAAATGCACATGAAATACAATTGTGAAATATGAAAGTACCAGGGTTATATTTTTTTCCTGAAATCTAGGAAAGGAGTACATTATATAGGTAACTGGTATCAATAATATCTACAACAGTATCAAAACTTACATAGTGGTTATATAGCCCTGGCCCTAATAAAAGTTATGACCAATATAAAGTAAAAAGCATGTCAAACTCCAAAAAAAAAAAAAAAAGGGTCTTCACACAAATACATGTGTGAAAAAGCATATTTTGTTAAAATTGAAGGTTTTTTTTTATAAGGATATGGTCCACAGGTCAAAAAGCAAGGTTAATGGTATCCAAGAAAGTTCTTGCCACAAAGAATCCACAATGAAGTATAAATATCTTACATTTTTCAAAGTAAAAGTTTGGAATTTTTGTGTTAAAATGTGACAAACTCCAAGGTCATGGTCAAAAGGTCGAATTTGCTGTTCATTAAAGCTTGTCACAACATACACATGTGAAATAAAATATAGGTCTTTAAATCAAAATGAAAGGTAAAGTTTTTACACACAAACAGCGGTCACAGATGAAAACAAATTATACCCCCGAAACGTGTGTTACGGGGGCATAAACAAAAATTTTCCGCGTTATAAGTTAAACTTTCGCGAATACAGAACGCGTAAATAACTGCATTTGCTAATCTGGAGAAATTAAAACCAGCGTGTAAATATATAATGTATATTTTTTTTAAAATTCTTTATAAAAAATCCACTTTTGAATGTTCATTGTTAAATAAAATTTAAAATGTAAACAATTGTTATTTTTTCAAGCTGTTTTTTTTAAATCAAAACTATTAAGTTATACAGCAGAATTTGTACACTTTGAATTAAACATGTATCATAACATGTTTTGTAACGTGTTAAAAGTCTACCGGTATACATGTAAGTGTCCAATGGAGACAAATGAAAATATGCTATCCACAAATGTAGTGGGACATAATAGACATATTTACCTAATTTTGTCAATTTTCTGAGATCTTGATCTTTATAAAATAACTTTATTTCAAATTCTCTAGAGAGCGAGAGAGTGTATAAAAAAGCACATTTTTTTTTTTACGAAAGTGTATTTGAAGTTTCACTTTATAAAAAGCATAAATGCAAACTCAAGCAAAATGATTAAATCAAGAAAAAAAATTGCTTGTGATAGCCAAGATCAAAATAGCCTTTTGCTTAACATTGTAATAAAAAATGATCACAAAATCACAAGCAAGTTCATTTTTTGTTATGCCTTTTTAATTTAGTTTTTTTTATAACGCGAAAGTTACGCGTTTATTCGCGAAAGAACATCAATGAAAATTACGCGTTTATTCGCGAAAGTTTCGGTTCAAAGTTCTTTAACGTGAAAAACGTCATTTTTTTTAATTGAATAGTCATGGGCTTATTGATTACACACTTAACAGTAAACCAAAAAAATCTTTTTATCATTTATACCTGATTATCAAAGCCACGAGATACAGTACCTACGTATTATTCCTAACTCTTAACACCCATCATCAATAAATGTATTCTGTGAGATTACTCTTTTATGAGTTTTATTTGGATTTAATTCATTAAATTTCAAACTTCCTTTAAATATTATTTGTAATCGTTATTGTTTTTACACAAAATATGTGAGACCAATTCTCAGGTTCTAGTCTCCTTTCTACTCCGACTCGTGCACAGTTTTGCTTTATTCGTCTCATTTAGAGTTACGTCTTATATCAGAGAGTCGGTATTGAACCTTAGGATGTTTAGATAAAATTCCGTATAATCCAGCTATTTTTGTCCATTCTGCGTGCATTTTCTTTGGTTCCTCAATTGCAACTTATGTGCATTCATATATATATGTCATGCTGTTTTTTACAACTTTTTAAATGTTAACAAATACAGTACATTATTTACAAAATTAAAACAAATTTTGATTTTGTACATACATCCCTGTATCTAAAGTATCAAAATTGAAAAATACATGCAACATGTGCGTATGTATATTCGAATTTTTCTATCTGCGAAAAATAAATTAAATGTTAATGTCATTTTTATGCAAAACTGTATCTACTTTGTTTCAAGTATGCTTTCCCAACATATAATGAAAAATAATTCAAGCCAACCATACACATCTAATATTCCCATACTAACAAACAAGAAATAAATGAATGAACTTCTTTTACAACACATTTATCTTTAATAGTGCTATATTATTAGAAAGTGAAATTTCTTAACTTTATTATAAAATTATTATTAATGGGGACAAACGCTTGAGTTTACTAAAAGTATAATGTTGTACAGTTTTCAAATCTAAATCACCATAAGAAAAAAAATCTCTTTAAAAAAAAAAAAATGAAAATTCTATATCCGTGTATATACTGCCAGTAAGCGGAGACATTTACCGTGATTTATGTCTCTTTTGTTATTCAATAACTCCAATGATTTTATTTTGCAAACATATATTTTAAAATATAATAAGCTGTACATTGCCCATCTGAAACTGGGCATCTTCATTTACAATCTGAAAGTGCAGCATCAGAATCAAGAACACTTCAAATGCTACGATAAAAGAGGAAATTATTTTATCTAGAATTATTGTTTTTATAATATTATTGAATTGTCCATATCACATGCAAATGGCTCCATGGTTAAAGTATCTTCTTTTTTTCGTTTGATAAAACCACGTGCATCTGTTTATGGTTGCATTTGACACCCGCCCACTGCTGCAGTCTCATTGGTCGTTTATTACAAAGGAGACGGTGATTGGTCAGCGCTGAAAAGCATGTGATCCATTTCTGATTCTAAGTGTATTGCAAGTGTGACAGTGAGTTTAGAACGTTTACAGACGTGCGTTGCAATGCGATTTCGATTTGACGTTTCTTTGTTTTTTCTTGAAGAAAGTTATCATAAATAACCAATATGGCAACAGTCAAAATGTGGTGTCTTATCTCGCAATCAAATTCCGTTGTTCTTGAAGTGGAAGTGGATCAAAGAGCCAATGGACAGGAATGCTTAGAAAAGGTAAATTATTATTTATTAAAATGAATGTTTGGTCAGATTCATTACTTCTAATAAATTTAACAACTTTCTCTATGCATATTTATTAAAATATTAAATGAAAATTAAACTTGATTTGTATGGTAATAGTTAGAAATCTACAGTATGAAAGTTTTAGCGCATGGATGGAGTAGGTCGCCATTTTTTTTTCAGCTCAGGGTCCAAAGTCCAACTCAGCAATGTTGGTGCAATACACTTAACTGACTTTGAAAGATTCGTCATTTTTTGACTTTTAAAAATCAAAATTTAAATTCATATTGAGCATCTTGATTCAAAAAATGTTTTAATTACAGGAAAGCATAAACGCAAAACAGTGCAGAGTTTTTACAGTCAGCTGTTTTGTGTAAACAAATCAATATTGTATAAGTGCTATATTTAGCCTAGGCAGCTCTTTGTTACTGTAGCTCTGCGTATTGAAGAAAAATAAACAGGAAACAAAGTTAATTGATATTCACCTGACATTCTGGTAAAATTCCAATAAAAATATCTTCTGACCATGTTCATAAAGTGAAATCTAGATCATAAACTTATCTCAGAAATGAAACTTCAAAGAAACTTATAGGGCATTTTATATATGAAAGGAGCTATGAAATATATCAAGTATTCCTTAGCACCCTTAAGGCATTAGAATTGGTGTCTCAAATAAAAATGCTCTCCTATCACAACTTAAATAAAATAATCACTAATAAACTAAAAGCTTCATTTACTATACTTTGGACAAAAGTGAAAAGTACTAAGAAGAAACATGTTTCTGGGTGAATATACAGTTGAATTTTGGTATCTCAATAACATGGACATGTCTAAGGGATAGGAAGGTCCAAACCATTTAAACTTTAAGTACCTTTTAAGTGGAAATTGTAGCGAGACGAAAATTTAGCGATTTGTCCTTAAAAACTGGAAATTTATTTTTAGCGAGATGTTATTTTAGTGATTTTAAAATGCACATTAAAGAAGCTATTACAAATAAAAGGTAATTAATTTTTAGCAATTTTCAATTTTAGCAATCTCGGCACCCTTGCTAATAATGCCAAAATTAAATCCTCGCTAAAAATTCTACTTATACAGTATTTTTACCCTTGATATTTCGATTACTTGGTTATCTTGAAAGTTTTTCAATAGTCCCATTGAGTTTTAGATATCGAAAATTTACTGTATTTGCATTAGTATAGGCCTAAAGAAAAAGAGAAAAAGAAACATCTTCCAAATCCTGTCTCACTTGCATATAAAGATACTTCAAAATGCTTTCTGAAGCTGTATACATGTATTGAATATAAAGAGAGACTCTTTAGCATGTTTAATCTTTATAATTCTGAAGATGATACATTTATAAGCATGAAAGTACATGTATATTGTTTACATTGCTCTTAAGCTTTTAACCAATTTAATGAACTTAAGGTAGGTCCGTACTTTCAGAATTTTCTGTCAAACTGATAATTTTTCAATTTGAATACCTTGAACAAGTCAAATACATAAAAGGCATGTCTTTGCATATTATCATACAACATGGGATAAAAACTCAACAGCCAAAATTGAACATAAAAAAGTGTGATACCATATTTCTCTTAGTTATGCACCAAATCACATCATATTTATGTTAAAACTTCTGAAGATCAAAAATATTCATTTGCCAAGAGTATATTTGAAATCTTTACTGCAAAACATTAACAAATTGGTGTTGAATCTGTCCATGTCTTTAAGAAAAAAATCTCAAAATATCTTTAGTTTTTATAATTCTCAAAATCCAAAATGTTTAGATGCCATTTTTTATATAGAAAAACTTTTGAATTAATATAATGTTAACAAAAACAGCTACTTTATTATGGTTGACCAGAGAATTTTAGCAAAACAGTCTTTTGAAGACGTATACCCCCATTTTTGGAATATCAATTTTTTCAATTATTCAATGCAAAATTTTTAAAAACTAAAAATTTAATGGATGATATAGGCTCTAAATCAATAAAAATAGATCTCAGGTTAGTTTGCTTAAAAGAAAATTAGGTCCATAAAAGCAATTAAGAATTTTGTGTCTGTGTATGTACTAAATGACATATAGATCTTATGGACAGAGTGTGAAGTGTTAATTTCCATAAATAATGTATATTAATTGCTTCATATGCACAATAACACTATAAAAAACAAATATATACTTGCTAAATCACTTTCAATCACCCAAAAAGATTTATATCAATAGAAAAGTGAAAATCAGAATTTGATATTGATGTATAAAATTAGAACCGGATCCGTAAAAGTGTGGGCCTTCCTTAATATTAAATTTATAAATTATTTTTTCTGGAAATTCAGAGTGTGGAATTGATAGACTAATGATGGATTACATCTTTGTTCAGTATCTATATATATACTTCTCAATTACAGGTGTGTGAAAATCTAGGAATAGGCTATTCAGAAAAGGATTATTTTGGCCTTCAATACAGAGGAAACAGGGGAGAGAACTTGTGGCTGAATATGCGAAACCGAATAGACCGACAGTTGTCTGGTCCCCAGCCCTTCAGATTCCATCTGAGAGTCAAGTTCTTTGTCCAGCCTCACATGCTGCTGCAAGATACGACCAGGTAAAGTCTATTTTATTGGTAGAACTAGAAGATATACTGCTCCATACAATTGTCACTGCGCTGTCTTTAGTATTCAATGTTGAGTGCTACATGCAATTTTTTGCTTTATTTTCATTTTGTAAAAGCCATTGGCTATGGATGTGTCAATAGCCATATTAAGCAAACTATCAAATATTTGATTTTTCTTCCTATTGAAAACCTGAGTTTTTTTTACACTTCCGCTAAGCTCAACTGATCCCAACCAATATCTCGACCAATCCTGTCAGGGATATTCTTATACAAGTACATTGTATACATGTCCCTGATACTAAAGGAAGAGTGAACACAGTTTAATCATAATAATCATTTTTTGAAGAAGTAATTTTTGCTAGAGTCGTGACAGAAATCCATTTCCTGTTATTTTACCAGAATTTTCCTTAATGAATTTAAAAAACAAATGGATTGCTTGTTTCAGCATCAACATCTATGAATAGGATGTCAACTAGGTGCAGTCTTGCTTTCCTAATTTTCTTAGAGTAAAACTGGGTCAGATGATGCTTGTTTACAAAATTATTAGCTGCCATTTAAACTGAGGTAAAAGCTAGGTCATGATGCACTCTGAAACCGAATTGTAAATGCCTAATAATGTTTGCAGTGTTTATCAATGATATTGAGGAAAGTTGCATATAAACTTTAATAATATGTATGTATTATATATTTCTAAATCACAGCTTTAAAAAACAATATTTTATGGGCGCACATTTATTTTGGAAAATATGATGCATGTACATGTATAACTAAATAAACTCCTGTGCAAATTGACGTAACAATAAAGATTTAAATGATCTGAAGAACATGTGGTTGAAATAATATTTACACCATAGCACTCCTACTCCTAGATCTGTGACTTTTTAAATGGAAGAAAAAAACATCAATAGTATCTTTAGGTTTAGTAAGTTAACTTATATACCAAGAAAAAACAAAAACAGTGGAATCTTTCAGTGTGCTAAGCTAACCCCATGCACTTAGCTAGCAAGTATTTATACAGGGTTGTTTACATGTGATGTTGATCAGGAAAGCTGTGTTGTTCAACAGTTCTGAGGGGTTAGTTCTGTTGTTCAAGATGACCCAACCATCTATAATATAGTCTGTGGCCACTCTAACCCCTTAGGCTGTAAACACTTGTAGAGCTATAGCATATAAAGGTCAGAAGCAGACATTTGGTAGAGAAAACAAACTTAATGGAATAGGAGCAAACAGGAATGTATATCATACCAAACAACATTATGTCAACAAATGGGTGGATTAGGAGAGCAATAAAAGAATTGCCAAGATTAAGCACATATATGCAATTTTTTTTTCTACAGTGATGAACTTAAAAAAATCGCCCAACTGCCATGTTCAACATAGTGACATATTTATTATGTTAGCACAAAGTTCAAAGCCTTGGACTTTAGAATTCTTGAAAAAAAAAAAAAAGATAAGATGCATTATGAGAATGTGATTTAAAATCCACTTTAAACAAAGGATAATTTTCCTGTTGTATGGTCATTAGAAGGTTAAGGTTGGACTTTAACCTGGGTTGGATTGTACAAAGAAGGCAGCTGGGAGCTCACTATGAACAGTTTAGCTGATAGAATATGAGAGCTGGGGCAATTGAACTTTTTACTTCAGAGCCTATTGAGACAAGACCTTTGTGTGGATGGGTTTTTATAACCACTAGAGAGAAATTGAAGAGTAAAGTTACAGCTGATTTTAAATTTTACCCCCACATTTTCAGTTTCCTAGAAAAAAAAAAAATAGTATTCAGTTTATATATGATAGTGTTAATCTTTCTGAATTATACAGATTGCATGTATTAAAATTTGATTGTACCATTTACAAAAATACAACTCCTTAAAATACAGTAATAATTGATCCAGTTACCACTTAATGAAGACTTTGTTTGATAGTAAACAATCATTATTCTTAGACTTCAGAAGCCAGTATTGAGAGGTTCCACTTGTGGCAGTTATTTGGGCCAAGGTCACACTTTAATTATTCTCCCTGATGGCCAGATTTCATTGATATGTTCCGCTACTGTTTGATTTAACTCGCCCAAATTCAATTTGATCATTTAATTATTTTTAGCCTCTGTCTAATCGCTGACTAATATAGATATAAATGCTATTGTGTAGGATATGCATGAGCTAGGTTACTGAATTGGTGTTTAAATATATTACGCTGTAGACATGCTGAATAGGTAACACTTCCTCAATAGGTCATTGCTTTGGGTTTGCATCATTTGATCGTGCATTCATTCCCTCTCTGATCAAATTACTGTACCGATTGTTGACCTGCGAATCTGTGTAATTCTCAACACCAAACTACAGCACCCAATAGGTCCTTCAACTTAAAAAAAAATGTTTGTTGTTTTTAGTGATCAATATATACAATACATGAAGTATACAATTTTATAATGGTATTGATATTTGATACAGGACGTGTCGTAATTGTAAATTAAAAATGCATTTGTAATCTGAATATATTTGACTAAAGACTAAGACTTTTAGTGGTTATTAACCTGTTTTTTCCGCTAGAAAAACAAAAGGAATTTCTTAATTAGTATAACTAAGTGTATTAAGATGGCAACCTTTTCATGTCAAGATTTCATATACATGTAATTGTGTTATGTTTATTAAATTTTAATGATTAATTCAATATTAAAGACAGTATTTCAGTGTTTTGACAAAGTTTGATCAACTTTTAGTATTACTTTGATCACTAAAAGCTTATTCCAACCATAAAATGGCAATTTTATATAAAGAAAAAGAAGTTCTTTGGGAATAAAATTATTTTTTTGTTCAGTTCAAACAAATTGTCCCTTAAATGACTCCAATAAAGTTACACCTGCCTTTAAATGTTTCATTTGTTTCGAAAAGCCAGTTGGAATGCTCCTTACTTTAACTGTCAAAGTGATGAATTGACTCGAAGATATTTAAATGCATCTTTTCGTGAATTGAATAATGTAATGCATTCACAAATTTATATTTAAATTTTTTTTCAGACATCAATTTTACCTACAAGTATACCTTGAGCTAAAGACCAAAAAGCTTTTGGTGTCCGACGAAGAACGTTTGGTCGAAATCCTGGCCCTGATCGCTCAAGCGGAACATGGCGACCAAGCTAACAATGAGCAGCAAGTCCTCTACTACCAAAATCTGATCCAAGGGATTGCCTGTCCTTCCTCCGAGATCCTAACAGATATAGCCTACAAGCATAGCAATTATAGAGGCATGCCAAGGCAGTCTGCGGAATACAGAGTTGTCCAGGAGGCGTCCATTCTCTCAGGCTATGGCATGGAGTATCACGAGGCCAAGAACGTAAATAACGAGGACATTTGTGTCGGCGTTGGACCGGAGGGTGTGGTCATTTATGACACGAACATGACTGAGATTTCCAGGTCAGTTCAAGAACTTAGAACTAAGGATGAATTGGGAAAATCCATCCATAAAACTTATTTTGGAAAATCTATCCATGATTATATATTTTCATAGTGTTTAAATATATACCATCTATTTTTTTATTTTCTATTTTTAGTTTTTGATGAATTTATGTGAATTAAGTACATATGATTTAAATCTAACAAGGAAGAATATTACTAAAAGTATGAAGTTAAACTTAAAAAGGTCAGGGAGGACAGTTTATAATTTTAAAATACAGTAAAACTCGGTTATAGCGAGTTTTGCTGTAACAACATAAAAATTGTTCGTTTCAAAAGCATATAATTATTTTTTTATAGGTTCCCCTACCCCATAGTCCAGAAGGCCATTCACAACAGCAAAAAGTGCCTGCTGTATGTTTTCACAGAAGATGGAGAGGTAACACACGAGGAATTTAAGATGGTCAGCTGTAAGGCTGCCATTTCTCTGTACAGGAGTATCACAGAGATGCACACCTTCTTCAGGTGCGACACCATCAACATGGAGGTGTTCTCTCAAGTCAGTCAGGACCTGAAGGGAGTCCTAGCCTCCATATTCCTCAAAGACAATAACTCTGTCGGTAAGTTTTAAGTTTTCTTGCATTCTAGGTATATCTGCACTACCATTAATTATCAATTCAACTAAGTTCATTTGAAAATATTACCAACAGAATAAAAGAATAGTTGTGTTGTTTTGGTAAAGTCTATGCGATAATGTGATAATTCTGAGTAATTTTAGAAAGTTGATACATGTGCACAATATTCAAATAACAATAAAGAAAAAACATACCATTTCTTTAAGCAGCAAATGTTCATTAAATTTCTTTCATGTGTATGTTTTAATTTATTTTTTTTATAGAGGAGTGATGATGTTTCCTTAATCATGTTAATTGTCATTTTTCTACAGGTATGAATTATGTTTTCGATGTCCAGCACACATTCAGAGAAGTCTATGACAGTACCAAGAGGAAGTTGTTCATGTCTCAGCATAGCCTTGACCATCAAGGTCAAGGTCACTCAGAATCAGATATGGAAACAACCTGTGGTAGAGAAGAAATCTCTGATCATTGTGAAGTAAGTGTTCATAAAATGGGGTCCTATAAAATATTTCATTGTATGCAATTCAATAATGCAGAAGAATGAATCCCTGCTTATAGTGCCTGAACAGAAATTAAACTATAAATCATTAAAAGTATGTCATGGAGAACCTGTTTGCTATTAAGTGCCAGTTTCCAATAAAATCAATAGAGTGCTAAGGATGAATGTACAATTAATAAATGGAAAGCCAACATCAAGTAAATTTTAAGAAGAAAATTTAAATTGCTGCACAGAAACATTCTCGCCTTTCTTCATGCAGTACATGTACTTAAAACTGAAGATATAAAACTTCCTGGAAGTGAATCCTTCTTAACAAATAAATATGTATGATCTATTGTTTACTTGTGTCGATTTAATAGGGCAGAACAGTGTAGTTTCATTCTTGATGATTATTTATTTAAAAATGAGAACATCATACATTTAGATTTTTCTGGTTATGCTTGTGAAAATCAATAACAAGTTTATATGACCACAGTTGCTATTTTTGTCTCCTCCGGTTTTACCTGGGTGGGTAATCTGAGTCCATTTCTTCTTAGAACTGTATGGGCTGATCCTACCTTGATGAACTTAAAAAAACAACCTGAACAATAAGTCATAGAATCATATGTTAATGTAGATAAAATACAACAAATGATAGATGTAAAATGACTTCATTGGTTGGAATTTCCCTTAGAAATCCTGCGTAAACTAGGTCATAATAGGATGTTTTGATATGCAATATGAACACATTTTGTAAAGTGCAGTTAATAATAGCATCTTTTGTCATGGAAATATACATGTATATTTTGTATTGAAAATGAAAGATGTCACAATAAGGATCATATTTGCCTACACTAAAATTAAAAACAAAAATAGTCTTTTTACGTAGATACAAAACTCATTATTATTGATTTTTATGCAAAATTTTAAATTATTCAAACAAGAGTGCCAGGACATTTAAAGTTTTGGGTTACAATTCTTGTGTCAAGTGAACTTGGTAGAAATCTCCACTTTAGAACATTATGATTCATCATTTACTGTTACTTAGGGGCAAAGTCCAGCTTAAGTGAAGTGCTGTTGTATGTTACATCAGTTGCTAAATTAGGGCACATTGAAGTGTGGGTCAATGTTTAAGGAGGTAGTACAAAGTCGAAATAACAATGTCCTGATCATTGTGGAATGACCTATAAACACAATTCTTTTTGCTGCAAAATGTCCCTTATTATTATCATATGTTTTAGGGAGTAAAATTGGTTGTAGTAATGTTGACAGAAGAAAAGTGGAGAAAAAATTGCATGTTCAATTGATCCTTATTTTAAAAAAACAAACAAACAAGGAATTAATTTAATGGCTCTTAATATCCAGATACTTCATATTTTGTTATAACAGAAATAGAACTTGAAAACGATACTAAAAAAAATTTAATGAGATGTTTTTATTTTTAGGATTTTAAGTCACAGTTGAAAAAGATCCAAGAATCTTTTATTTGTCGAGTGTGTATGGACAAGGAAATTTCTACAGCTCTCTGCCCGTGTGGTCACATGATCTGTTGTAAACAGTGTGCAGAAAGACTGGATGAGTGCCCAGTGTGTCGGACTGGTATAAATACAATACAGAACGTGTTCTTCGAAACACCCATTACTGCCACCGGCAGGTAGCAGTGATTGTGGACGGAAACGCAGAGAATGACTGTGATAGGGGGAGGAAAGATTGGTGCGAAAGCAAAAAAACTGCCAGATCAATGCAATAGATATTTTGTGATTTTATCATGTTTAATTTTACCCGGGATGTGTGCATATAAATATGTTCATTTCTTTTCATTTCTTTTTTTTTAAATTCATTTCTTTTTTTCTTGATGTTCATCTTTTTGCCATATTTCATTGAAATCATTCTGTTCATTTTTTTTTTCTCATTTACATTTCATATTTCAAATATACAGCCTATGTATATATCAAATCATACAGTCATAGATGTACATTACATTGAACAGCCTCCTTGATTATTATTTTTAGATGAGAATTTGTAAACTTTATTTTATACATTGTACAATTTGTCTCAAATTTTTTTCTCATCTTGAGCTTCACTTGACATTAACCCGAGGATCTTGGTTTTTGTTTACATGAATATGTTGGAAGGGAACATAACCGATAACCGATAGATTTTTAATTTTATTTGTTGAAAAAAATTAAAAAATTAATTTTTTGCTTCTTCTAAATTTCTAAAATGTCTCGAGCAAATCTTTTATAGGGGAATACAATTTTTTGATTACTGGTACTAGTCTTTCTTTAATTGAGGGAAAGTGTGAAAGAGTGCTTTGGTTTTCAATTTAAATACCTCTAATATCTGGAGAAATTCAAAACAGATTAAAGAAAGTTGATTGCTAAAATACAGTACATATCTAGTGATATTTTCCATTGTATTTTTTTATATATCATTCTCGCAAATTAATTTCATCTCATTTTGTCCCATTCAGGTCGTTCTTTTGAACTCCCTGCTATATATTAATTTAAATTATTAAGTTATTTTCCTGTATTTTTTCCTCTTTATTTTTAACTCTTTACAAGTTATTCTAAAGTCCTAAGAAAGGTGACATTGTAGTTGCCATTATTGTAGCATTCAAATGTCAGAGGAACTTTAGTCCCAACTTGTGTATATTTCTCTGTGTAGTTTACCCGGTAAGTATTTTCTGAATCACAGGGTATACTGCCTATTCATTGTATAATCTTGCGCGATATTAAACGCAATGTATGTACTGATATTGAAGAGCTTTGAAATTTGATATTAAAAATCAAAGTCAGCATTTCAAATAAGATATTTATGAATTCTGATATTTAATCGCACACTATAAACATAGTAAAATGTAACATATACATGTATTTATTTTTCTAAATTTTCCAATCAGAAATTATATGCAGCAGTTAATTTATAAGATATGAAACTCATGCACTAGCACTGTTATTTTATATTTATGCAATAAGTAATTAATTCATCATGATTATGCAATAGAAAATCATAGATTTCCACATTTTCCAACCTTTCACTTCATCTGAAACAAAATTCTGCTTTTCTTATCTGTATGGTTGTAAATGACATGTACAAGAGTATTGTAAATCACATCATATTCATGAAAACTTTATTGCAGTTGAATTTGGTACATGTATCTCAAACATTGATATCTTGAATACTATGAATATGTTGAAGTAAGTTGGAAATCTCAATAATTTTTTCACTTTATTTTATCTTGGCTTCGCAAATTCTCAGATAATTAGGTTATGTGAAATTAAACAAGGGGAAGTAACTCTTATTACAGCTTGTTGATTTCTCATAGGAAAAAAAATATGTGAAATGTGATTAACAGAATTTATCCGCAAATGAGAGCTCTGTATGAAAGTTTTGTTATTACATTGTTGCTTCTGTTTAACAGATTCTTGGTGTGAATGGAGGTTATGTTGAATGAGTTTATATTGACGACTGACAGAATGGCATTATATATACTGTATATAGTGGATGTATCAAGAGAACCTGTAAATAATTAGATCAAAATTTGATGAAAGAGGGCAAAGACTGTTAGCCTGGTGTGAAGAAAAAAATATCAAAACTTCTCTTTTTATGTTTATGGTATTTTTGTTAAAAAAATATCTTCAGATGAAATGCTATTTTTTTTTCTCTCTTTATGTTCATGTATGTTCTTGCCTTCGTTTTGATTTAAAGAAATTATGTCTAATGTGGTAGAAATTTAGTGAATTCCAAATATTTTTCTGTATACGTGTAAATCATATTTCACATCATTTTACATTCAGTTGGTGTTCAGGCTTTTGCTAGATATTTTCATTATCAAAGATACAGTAAATGTACCATCAGGAAAAATAACCAAAGTCGCAGCTAACTGCCATAGATTTCAAAGCTGCCTGAAGTTTTATTTTTTCCCCCCGTTTCACCTTTTGGTGATCAGGCAATATTACAAATAATCAGGTATCAGCTTTTGTTGGAAATACATCCATCATCAAGAAAGATGATTTTCTTTTCTCATTTTTTTCCCATTTTAATTTTGAAAATAAAGACGGAGCAGCCCTTTTTTCAGATTTGCTGGAATGAAATGCAGGACAGATTTTTTAGTTTCATTTTAACGAGTCGAGATATTGATGTTATGAAATTGTTTTGTTATTTTAAAACATCGTGTACATGTAGCATTGCTTTGTAGAGGAAAATGAGTGTCTTTCAATTATGTATACTGTAAGTACAAACCGAAGAAGAAAAAAGTCCACAAAATAAAGTTATTTTAAAACTGATTTTTCTGTATGTTTTTTTTTTCATTGTTGTATCTTATGCAAGCTAGTTTTAAAAATTCGTAATTGAAGTTGACCTTCAGTGCTGAGTACGCTTGTAATAGAAGTTTGTTCGAGTTTGTTCTTAGATGGCTGGTAGAATTTAAATGACATGTCACAGAGTTCATTAGCACCCAATGTAGTTGTGCTTTATATATTCTAAGTACTTGTATATTCCAAATGGCCACTTATATTCCATAAGTGTTTCAAACAAGAGGCCCAAGGGCCACATCGCTCACCTGAGCACATCTACTAGGAAAAAGCACATGTTAGATCAAAACTGAAAGTTTACTGGGGGGGGGGGGGGGGGGGCTTGAATTTTAACCCTCCTGGGTGTCATGATTTGAACAATGTACAATCTACACTACCTGAGGATGATTCCATATAAATAGAAAAATTTCACTAATCATGGCTTTGAAGTACTTGAAAAGAAGATTTTAAAAGGTTTCCCTATATATCCTTATGTACAACTTTGGTCAGCCATTTTGGGCCCAAAACTAGCCCCAGAGGTCATGATTTGAACAAGCTTGAATCTTCACTAACTGAGGATGATTCCACATAAGTTTCGTCTTTCCTGGCCCAAAGGTTCTTGAGAAGAAGATTTTTAAAGTTTTTCCTATATATTCCTATGTAAAACTTTGGTCAGCCATTTTGGCTCCATCCTAGCCCCGGGGGTCATGATTTAAACAAACTTGAATCTACAATACCTGAGGATGATTCCACATGAGTTTCATCTTTCCTGGCATAGTGGTTCTTGAGAAGATTTTTAAAGATTTTTTCTATATATTCCTATGTAAAACTTTGGTCAGCCATTTTGGCCCCACCATAGCCCCGGGGGTCATGATTTGAACAAACTTGAATCTACACTACCTGAGGATAATTTCATTTAAGTTTCATATTTCCTTTCTCAATGATTCTTAAGAAGAAGATTTTTAAAAGATTTTTCCTATATATTCTCATGTAAAACTTTGGTCGGCCATTTTGGCCCCACCCTAGCCCCGGGGGTCATGATTTGAACAAACTTGAATCCACACTACCTGATGATGATTCCACATGAGTTTCATCTTTCCTGGCCCACTGGTTCTTAAGAAGAAGAAGAAAATTTTAAAAGATTTGTTCTATGCATTTCTATGTAACTTTGGTCGGCCATTTTGGCCCCACCCTAGCCCCGGGGGTCATGATTTGAACAAACTTGAATCTACAATACCTGAGGATGATTCCACATGAGTTTCATTTTTCCAATTCCAGTGGTTCTTGAGAAGAAGATTTTTAAAAGATTTTTACCTATATATTCCTATGTAAAACTTTGGTCGGCCATTTTGGCCCCACCCTAGCCCCGGGGGTCATGATTTGAACAAACTTGAATCTACACTACCTGAGGATGATTCCACATGAGTTTCATCTTTCCTGGCCCAGTGGTTCTTAAAAAGAAGATTTTTAAAGATTTTTCCTATATATTCATATGTAAAACTTTGGTCGGCCATTTTGGCCCCACCCTAGCCCCGGGGGTCATGATTTGAACAAACTTGAATCTACACTACCTGAGGATGATTCCACATGAGTTTCATCTTTCCTGGCCCAGTGGTTCTTAAGAAGAAGATTTTTAAAGATTTTTCCTATATATTTCTATGTAAAACTTTGGTCGGCCATTTTGGCCCCACCCTAACCCCGGGGGTCATGATTTGAACAAACTTGAATCTACACTATCTGAGGATGATTACACATGAGTTTCATCTTTCCTGGCCCAGTGGTTCTTGAGAAGAAGATTTTTTTAAAATGCTATTAATTTTTCACTAATTCATAATTATCTCCCCTTGGAAGAGGGCGTGGCCCTTCATTTGAACAATCTTGAATCCCCTTCACCCAAGGATACTTTGTGCCAAGTTTGGTTGAAATTGGCCCAGTGGTTCTTGAGAAAAAGATGAAAATGTGAAAAGTTTACGACAACGACAACGCCAACAACGACAACGACAGACGACGGACAAATTTTGATCAGAAAAGCTCACTTGAGCCTTCGGCTCAGGTGAGCTAAAAATCTCGTTTCCATATTTATGTGAATTTCCGAAAACAAAGAAAGACAACTCTTTTAATTTTAGTAAAATGAAATCAATGGGAAATATTTTTAAACGTACATCTTAATATTTCGTATTACTAGGTATTTCTCAATGATTTAAGATATTTTAAAGAATTTTTAAAATCATCAAACTTTGACAGTTGATACTGTATATCTTTGGAGTGTGTCAACAAGAAAAAGACAGTACAAGTAATAATAAAATGGCAAACTTTACAGGAATGATTTAATCATCAGAAAATCAAATAACAGACATTGTTTAAACAAACAAATCTTATACACAGTTGCTCACTCAGTACATAACATCCTTATAACAAAACTTGCTGTAACGTTCTTTTATTGCCAGTATATAGATTCAACGCATACTGTAAATAATTATAGCTTGAATCAATACATGTATACAACCTATACAGCAAAAAAAAATATTATTACAAATAATCATAGGAACATGAATTGTCTCTGGTTAAAAAACAATGTAACACTAAAACAGCAGTGACTGAGGTATCACATGGATTTTTTTATTACAGGAATAGTTTCACCGAAGAAGGATCACTGGTTAATTTCTTCAACGTTTTGGTGCGGGAATAAAAACTGGTTCTCCGTTCTGATACACAGCTTGTTTTGTGTACAAGTTGACCTCTGCAGGGAATTTCTTCCCAGCAATGGCTATCTCGTACTTGGCTGATTTATCCAGAATAAAGTCATGCATGGCCTTGTGTAAGACCCTCTTTCCCTCACTGTCATAGTCTGTGACAAAACCCAGACACGTCATTCGTTCCAACGTGTGGGCATAACCGGTGGATGTAATGGTACCACAGTATTTGCCATTGCGATAGATTGGTTCCCCACCCCATGGCCACACATCGGTCTCATAATCAAAGTCATTTAAGAAGAATTGAGCAAATCTTTGGCTGATCCCGTTCTCTCTCTGTTTCAGAAGAGCTTCCTTTCCGATGAAATCTCCCTTCTGCAAAAAAGTGTTCAGTTTTGTTTGTATTAAATAAAGCAGTTTAACAATAACTGAATCAATTTTATGTGAATTCTTTATTATAGATTACACAACTGCAGATATCTATTAATTCCATCACATTATTGTGTACATCTTTCAACAAAGTTCACATCTCCACTTAACTTAGTTTAGATAAGAACAGCTATGATCATTTTTTTTTGAGTGGGTGGGATACATACCTCAAATGCTACCCTGAATTCTCTGCCACTCTCCAAGGGGGTGGTGTGGGTTGTGAGGTCAGATCCCCAATAAGCATAGAATTTCTCTATCCGTAGCTCACGGAGTGCGTAATACCCAGCGTCACGAATCCCATAGTCTTTTCCTGCTTTCACCAAGGTTTCATACACATGTAAACCATACTGAAGGTAGATTTAAATACATTTCAAATGAAATAAGAGCTTTATTTTCAAAATCAAAAATACATTTAGAATAAAATTAAATGTAGCTTATTTTTTTCATAATCATTTAGTACATGTACCCAGCATTACCCACAGTAATAATTCAGAAGTTTCACTCAGGTTTTCCAGTATACTGTACAATGAAACACAGTTATAAAGGACATGCATATAATGAATTGATGCTTACAGTTATTAAAACAAATTATGCATATAATAAAGCAAAATTGTCCATCCCTGGCACTGTTATAAGCGTGTTTTACTGTATATGCACTTGATAATACATGCACTTCCATGAACAAGAACATACCTTATAACATCTTTGGCTAATATAACCAGAAGTTTTTTAAGAGAGTATAGCTCCACTGGTTTTTACATACTGTAAACCAAGTATTATACGCGTGCGATAAATATCCGCGAGTTCCGCGAGTAACCTCTGCTCGCGGATATTTATCGTCGCGAACCAGTTGTTCATTTTATTCCCATGAGGTATGATAAGAGTTATTTGTCAGTTTTTGAATACCGATCCCGACGGTTCAATAAGTAATCACGGAAGAACTTTAGTGTACTAGAAGCAGTTGAAATTTCATTACAAACATTCAGAAAAAATATAAATACGAATGACAAATCTAAAACTATTTGTCTACAAATGATTAAAATGTCAATAATTATTTCAGCTTGTTTATTATTGTTCATTTATTGTCACAGACAAGTTCGAGATAGGCTGGTTAATTGTATGTACGACTAATTATGGCCCGGTCTGCTCTGTCCCAACCATTTATAATAATTGCCCTTTGGCTATATTGATCATAGAAAGCGTCGATTACCCAATTAGTATGAGTCACTTTTACAATTGAGAGTTTTAAATCAACTTTAATCTCTTAGATTTTTTCCTGATTTTCATTCGAGCGTCGTGAATAATGCGTAAGAAGTATACTCATGGTAACATTTTTTCCTGATTTTCATTCGAGCGTCGTGAATAATGCATAAGAAGTATACTCATGGTAACATTTTACCCACTTTAGGTGCGGATATAAGATTTTAAATGGACGCAATGCATACAATGTCTTGAATAATGCCTAAGCAGTACTCACGGTAGCATTTTACTTAGTTTATTGGTGGATAAAAAATTTTAATTTGAAAAAAAAAATACTTGTAGAAATAAAAAATGTGACCACTTGTTCGCGGAAATAAATCGTCGTGGATTAGTTCTCTAGCGGTCAGTCGCGAATAAAAAATGACGCGTATAATAATTGGTTTATAGTAAATAGTGGAATAGAAAAGGTTGCAATTGGACTTGACACAATAATTAATTTTACATTACAAAATTGTCTATCAGGTATTCATGATGTTCAACTAAGGTTTATTGAAATCAAACTGAAGGAGTAACATTTTGAAAGATTTTCACAGGTTTTGAATTATGCCCATTTGCACAGTATACTTGTATACAAGCTTTACTGAATTACTGATGATACACATGATTGATACCTCTGATGGAACGTACAGCACAAAGCCATCCTCCCCTGAGTGAGTGAGCCTCATAGCAATGATATTGCTGGCAAAACCAACGTCTATCACCTACAAAATATTTCAAATTACTTTTAACGATTTAATATCCTTCTTAAATCTTGGAAAACAATTGTTCCACTAATCAAGTGATAAATAAAATATATGTATTAAAACAAAAAGTTTTAGAAAACTTTTTTTAGAAATATTTTATAGTAATTTCTTTATGCTTACTTTTAGAAAAGTATGATGGTTTTATTTTAATTTTTTCCATATAACAAATGAATCCTTTACTGATTTCAAAAAAGAGCAGCTCACCTTACAGGTCATCTGTTTGAACTCTTGCCTGGAGGTTTTGACCCCTGACACATCATTTAGCAGCTGAGGAGCATGAGGACCAATCACATTGATCCCTGCATACCCGGAAGTGACATCACGGATTTCTACAGAGCCATCTGCTGGCCGATGTCTCAGTAACCAGTTCAATGACCTGGTCTGTTGAGAAGTTGGTGAGATCATGAAGAACCTGTAAACAACAACACTAAACATTAGAATTATTGTAATGCTTAGATATTTTGTTTAATTTCAATACTAAGAAGTAGCTGTTGGTTTTAGAACCACTTTAGTTTTCTAAATTTTTGCGACACCCTAATTTTGTTAGATAGACATTTATTTTTATTAGCAAAACAAAATTTTCACAAATTGTCGTAACTGCTCAATATAATCTTTATGAATATCAATATTCGTGAGCTATATTTTTGCAAGCACACTGTTTCACGTAATTCTGCAAAAAATTTGGTTCTTGGGAATAAAAAGTGATTTACGGTATTAGGAAAAAAAAAATCTTATTCATGTGTATATATAGTGTACTTCTAAGACAGATCTCTTTGATTTAGGATGTGTATAAACATGCAATATCTTACGTATTATTCTCCATAGGAACAATGGTGCAGTCATTTTCATACCCTCCAAATTTATTTTGCATACCGGTGTGTATAATGGTACCAATAGGCTGTTCAATGTTGTTTGAACTCAGGTACTGCAGAAATTGCAGAGCTTCTGGTCCCTTGGACTATGAATTTAAGAGTTGATATTGATTATGCAAGGGATTTTCTTTCCTAATTAAAATATTTTGTAGTGACAACAAAGGAAATTCAAATAGTTATGAAAACATCCTGTTACTACGTTAATCTCTTCTTGAAGATAGATGAAACATATGGAGATAACAAACAGCAATAATTGTATTATATTCAAGATCAAAAGTCCATAAAACAATACAAAATAGAAGCAGAGCAAACACGGACCTCCAAAAATCAGAGGTGGGATCATGGAAGAGTGAGCATCCCCTGCTGACCGGTCACACCCACCGTGTGTTCCTTGTCAAGATTGGGAAATAATATAACAGAAAAAATCCGTCGTCAATTCAGTGTATAAATAATGGACTAACAATTAGTATGAAAATGTCAGTCAGCATTTGACTCAATGATAATTTGTATTTGCTGACAAGGTCATTGTATCTACCTTAGAACTTACAAAATGATGACTCTAAACAAAACTGCTGATATTCCTGTTTCATCAACTTGTTTGTCAACTAGGGCTGGGTATTGGTCAGAGATTTCGTATTGCGATATATTGTAATATTTTTAACTGTATTGCGATATGTATTGCAATATTTTCAATGTAATAAAAATGGTCTTACTATATTTACTTTAATTTACATGCAGAATGTACATAACTATGATAAGTAACCAACACGGAAAAAAAATATTGTTGATTTCTTTTAAGTTATGCTCTGAAATGTTCCCACAAAACAACTTTCGACTTACTATTTGGCTTAATAACAAACTTTCTTAAGTCCATTTTTATATTTAATGACATAATTCCTTAATCTAAGCATATTGCCAATATATCGATATTACAAAATCGTATTGCGATACAATATTTTTTGTCATTGTATTGCAATATATTGAAATATCGATTGCCCAGCCCTATTGTCAATAATTTACCATGTTTTAGAAATTGTTCATCTGTAGAGCATGCTCTTGCGTATCGAATCACCTGAGATATATAAACTCCATATGCAGGTGATGAAGGTATATTGCTGCATAAGTAAGGGAAGTTGAAGATAGAAAAGATAAATTCATCTCGTTTATCAAAGAGCATGGTTGATAGATTACCATTAATGTCTTTTTCAAGTAATATATCCAAGTATGAAACAGATGTGTCAGACTCTGTGGTATCTTTTATTTCAAGCTCGCCAGGATATATGGCATCGACATAGGAATGGAAATTACCATTGTTAATTGACAATATGTCGTCGATATATCTAAATGTTGAGTTGAAGGCCACAGCAAGTGTTTTCTTCTTTCATGCATAAAATTTTGCACAAATTCTGCTTCATATGAATACAAAAATAGGTCTGCTAATAAAGGAGTGCAATTGGTACTCAAGGGTAGATTTTATTTCTAAATAGGACAATATTTAAGAAAAAACGTATTGTTGATAGGGATGTGCGACTTTATCGGTATATCGGTTTATCGCGATTTTTTGTTGCGTGATACGTATCATGATACGGAGACCTAAATACCGGTCTTTAGGTACGTATTATAAAGCCCAGAAATTATTCATTTATTTATTCAATCTTTCAAATAACAATTACAGAAAGTATAAAAAATGTTGTAAAAAGTGAAAAGAACGGCATCTTACCGTCCAAACATAATTGATTTTATATACATAAAAATTTCAAGAAAGTAAAATTTTGTTTTTCTAGCTTTTTTTTTTTTTTTTTTTTTTGAAAAATAATTACTTTTCATATAAAATCATTGTAAAAACTGCTTCTAAAAATACAGTCAAACTTGTCATAGCGGTCACCTTTATCCAGCGGTCACTTGTCCTATGCGGTCATTTTATTTCCTCCCAATGAAATTTCCTATATAAAGTAACTCTATTTAGCGGTCACCTGTGTAACGCAGTCAGCGGTCACCTAATTTCAAACGAAATCGCCACTTTTCCCTGTCTTTAGCAGCCATTTTGTCCAATCACGTGACCTGATCTGGAGTCAGCTGATTCCCAATTTTTGTTACTATTAAATGTAAATTGCGGGATTGTGAATAAAAATTAATAAATGGAGCAATTATCTTAGTGGATAGGCATATTCAAGAATCATTTACAAACTAACTGCTTCTATATTTTACAAAACTCGAACAACTATGCTTATGACGAAAAACGTTAACAGAAAAAAAAAAACGAATAATAGTCATGCTAGTATTATCGATAACTGATTATCAGGGTCTTATAACTTCTGGATTTTTAATTAAGTTTTAAAAAAGAACAACATATGAACTAAATTAATCTATTAATGACTATGATGTTTTTGTTTACTATTTACAGTGTCGATATCGCGCCCAACTCTGCATGATCTGAATTAAAGTTGTAAATGTATTACGCTTGATAGGCATTTTAATTTTCACACCTAGGAAACTTGCATCATTTGTTGAAGCCATAATTACAGTTTATATACTCATTGTGGCTTGGGTATGTTGTGAATTTCACAAAGGAAACGACCGTCAGGGATTAGTAACGCTTTGAAAACATTGCTCAGGACACCTGTGCACCTGTTGATCAACTGAGAGTACGTCTGAGAGTTTATTATATAACAAATCATGTACAATTGTGTACATGTATTTAAAAAAATCCATGTACAGAGGTTAATTTTATGAATCAAGTTTAGATAAAATAATTTTTAACTGATTTTATTCATTCCTTACACAAAGGAAAAATTGTTTTGATGGGGGATATAATGCAACACCCTGTAAGTGTTAGATTCAGTATACAGGTATTTTATTAATTTTCTTGGATTCATTAAATTTAGTTTGAATTCATCCATAAAACTTAAAAGTAATGCATCTCCTAAATTAAAAAAAAAAAAATAATTTAAGTGAGATCACTAATGTCCAATACCTAACTTTCTTGTATATTTTGTGGCGAAAAACATAATATAAACACAAAACCGAAACATTAAAATCGTAAATAAATTCTTTTTAAAAAAGATGAACCTCTTTTCAAAGGTCACCTCTCTATAAAGGTCACTTTTGATGGATCCCGTAGGTGACTGCTTAATACAAGTTTCACTGTATCATGATATTATCGTGATATTGTGGGGGGAAAATCGTGATATATCCCGATACGAAAATTTTGGCGATACCCATCCCTAATTGTTGATGCCAGTGCATTATGGTAAAATGGTTATACTCTGTACAAGAAAGCAGCAAATAGGAAAACTTAAGAAAATGCACTGCCTTGTACACAGAATCTTAAAAATGTCATGGCTTTGTGATTTCATTCCACTTTCTGTGTAGAAGAACTACATAATCTAATAGATTATAAATAGAAACTATAAATAGACATTATAAATTATCATTTTGAGACACTGTTGACCTTACCTTGACCTCTGTTTTGGTGAAGGATGACATGTCAATCAGACAGACATTTTCCTTACAAGCCCAGTACTCATCCCTCACATTGTCAAAACAAGATGGCTTCCCAAAAGTTCTATTCCCCTTCTCTATGTTGTACTGATCATGGAGGTAGTCATCTGTAAATCAGAGTTAAACCAAATTCTCATATCTATATAAAATATAACATATTTCTTAATCATTACACATACTGAGCGCAATATAATCATCCCTGAAACATAATAAATTTATCATTATAATGATTATTAAGTTTGTTACACACTAAAATGTTTTTACCATTTGAATTTGTGAACCACATGGGTCTCTCGTAGGCATTGGTTTCTCCAAAGCAAGCACCTTGTACTTCCAATCTTGTGTGTAATGGTGATGTTCTGAGTTTTCTTCCTCTGTAACGCTGCTCATTGGGGTATCTCAGAGTGTACATACCTGTTACAAATATTCGATATTAGTTTAAAATCATCAGCACTGTATTGCTGGACACTTGATCAAGGAAAATCTAATAAAAATCATACCTTTTTAATATTTTAACCATATTGGCTATTAACCTATTTTATAAGATGTATAGATTGTATTCCTCACTGAAGATGGAATTTTCAGAAATAAATTACAGTCTGTAATAGACATCAAACTAAAGATTTTTTTTTGAAATAGTAAAAATGAATTTCAGGCTAACTTGTTCTTTATCAAAAGACTAGAAAATGTAGGTACACTGTACAAGCTGCAATAGACTAAAAACACCACATTTTTTTCATGCATTAAACAGACAAATAATCTAAAAAATACATTAAAGCTGAAAAATAATTCTACCATTTCAATTTGTATCACACCTTTGGTCCTATAACTTCTTATAAAACAAAATTACTCAGTGTTTCTTTGACCCTCTCTGCCAGGAACTTGGGATTGTTGTGATGTGGGACGTGTCTGAGGATATCGTGACTTGACAGGTCTATACTGGGCATTCCCTCCATGATCCATTCTGTCATGTACTTCCCGATCCCGCCAGATCCCGCGATTCCCATGGAACACATCCCAGCAGCTACATAGTAATTATTGATCTGAAAATCATATACCGGTAACTTTTTAAACTTATGTATATCGCATGAATAATTAGGCATGGAGAAACTGGAACATGAAAATTTCTTTTCTTCTACACAAGTTGCAGAGGATTTATCATCTCAAAGATATACAATGTATAAGTAAATGCAGACATCTTAATTCAACATCAGAATTATAGATAAATGATTATCTTGATGTAGTATTATTTGAGGTTCTGAGAAGTCTAAATAAAGAGCATAGCAATTTCTCGAGTTTTAGTCAACATTTTTATCAATAAATGCATATTTGATGTGGTTTTACAAGAAATTGATAAACATAGGTAATCAGAGATTACAGAGCTCACCTCAACGAATGTTGTCTTTAAGTAAGGCAAAGTCACACAATTAACCAACAAAAAGTGTACATTCCAAAAATGAAAATATTTAAGCAATTTTGATCTGATACTTTGAAATAGACCTACATAAAAAATCTAAACTAGTTCTTCTTCATGAAAATGTAATCAAAATCCAGCATCTGAAGCAAATTTGAGAGTTTTCATCTCTTGATGCAACATTTGTGCAAGTTTGGTTTATACAATGTTATATAAGCCTTATAGTTTTTTGGTAATAGACCTGCACCCATAACTTTTACCTGGTCTATTAACTGAAAAATGTATGTCGAATTCAGCATCCGAAGCAAGTCCATTAGTGTGCATCCTAAGATGTATCGTCCATGCAAGTTTGGTCAATATAGAGCTCATAGTTACTTGGAAATGAAACCTACACCAAAAACTTTAACCTGTTCACTCAACCAGAAAATGATGGTCAGATTCAGCATCCAAAGCAAGCCTGGTAGTATGCATCCTTAGATGTATCATCCATGCAAGTTTGGTCAACATAGGGCTTATAGTTACTTGGAAATGAAACCTGCACTAAAAACTTTGACCTGTTCACTCAACCGGAAAATGTAGGTCAGATTCAGCATCCGAAGCAAGCCTGGTAGTATGCATCCTTAGATGTATCATCCATGCAAGTTTGGTCAACATAGGGCTTATAGTTACTTGGAAATGAAACCTGCACCAAAAACTTTGACCTGTTCACTCAACCGGAAAATGTAGGTCAGATTCAGCATCCGAAGCAAGCCTGGTAGTATGCATCCTTAGATGTATCATCCATGCAAGTTTGGTCAACATAGGGCTTATAGTTACTTGGAAATGAAACCTGCACCAAAAACTTTAACCTGTTCACTCAACCAGAAAATGTAGGTCAGATTCAGCATCTGAAGCAAGCCCAGTAGTATGCATCCTTATATGTATCATCCATGCAAGTTTGGTCAATATAGAGCTTATAGTTACTTGGAAATGAAACCTACACCAAAAACTTTAACCTGTTCACTCAACCGGAAAATGTAGGTCAGATTCAGCATCTGAAGCAAGCCCAGTAGTATGCATCCTTAGATGTACCATCCATACAAGTTTGGTCAACATAGGGCTTATAGTTACTTGGAAATGAAACCTGCACCAAAAACTTTAACCTGTTCACTCAACCGGAAAATGTAGGTCAGATTCAGCATCCGAAGCAAGCCTGTTAGTATGCATCCTTAGATGTACCATCCATGCAAGTTTGGTCAACATAGGGCTAATAGTTACTTGGAAATGAAACCTACACCAAAAACTGCACCAAAAATGTTAACCTGCTCCAGAAACATTAACCTGGTCATTCCTTCGCTGAAATTGCAGCATCTGAAACTTTGACTGGTACAATGAAACACACTAGAACCATCTTCCATGCATGTCTAATCAATATAGGACATAGAAGTACTTAAAAGGAAAACTGCTCCAAAAAACTTAACCTGGGACGCCGACGCCGACACCGAAGCCGACGCCGACACCGAGGGTTTTACATAAGCTCCCCCAACTTCGTTGAGGTGAGCTAAAAACATACTTCTTTTTTGAAACAAATTTGATTATGGACAAATACGCATTGTACTTATATGCTCAGGAATCTTTACATAAAAATAATTACCAAGAAGTATCAATGTTATATGTATTCAACAGAATACATTTTACACCAGACAGATCCTTGGTAGACATTTTACTCTATGTCTATTTATAGACATGACCTAATTGTTGTTTTAGTGCCTGTTCACACCTCACTAGCAGCCCCTAGGTTCCAGTGGCCATCTGGTGTAAAACTCTCAGGACCGTTGAACATCTTATGGACATTTGCATCTTCCATCACAGGCATGCGGTGAAGGATGGGATCCAACAGCACCTCTGTTAAAAAGAAGAAAAGATTGAAAAGTGCCAAAGTACTCAGTTGACTCTTTCCACAGTAGTGTGATTTTTTTTTTTATCAAAAAAATATTAATGTGGAAAAAATATTCCACCCTTAACTAAAGAGAAACACTAGAGGTGTTGGAATGTTCTTTTCTGAATTATTTTTTAAGATAAAAACTGCAGACTCCTGTGTTCTTTCTAACTATGCACCTCCTTTTAATATGATAAATGTCTTATGTGAAGGGAACTTACGGAAATGATCCCAGTCATCAGGAAGTAGCCCAAACTGGAAATCTTTTGGAATGCCATTAAGGAATGCTGGTTTTGCCACAGGTTCAAAGCCCCCTGCTAGAATCCCTCCACTCCACTCCCTAAAGTAGGTCAGTCCATCATAATCCCGCACCACTGAAAGAGATTTTATGTTTCATGTAATTCTAGCTGTTTATTATCTGTACATCTAGTTATGCAAGAGGCACATGAGCCACATTGCTCATGTTTGCCTCAGGTGAGCTAGAGTGAATTTTCAAGAAAAATAAGATTTCTAAATGCTAAACATGTCTGTACCTGGCATCATGGGATCCATGCCCTCTATAGGTTTGGTCGTGATGTAGAAATGCTCACAGGGATGGAGAGGGACTTTGACTTCAGGTTTAGATTTCTTCCCAAGACTATGAGCCCACTAGTCAAACATTCATAAAAGCAAATCACCAATGCCATCCTACCATAATCTCAAAAATTTACAAAAACCACAACATATGATTTTAGAGCTCTTAATTTTCATCATTTAAATCACTTTCTTAAACCTGCATCATGTAAACTCACCATTCCCCCACAGTTGACAAAGTATTCACAGTCAATTTTACCAGCAGAGGTTTCCACATGGGAGACAACTCTCTTATTGGCCACAACTTTATCCACAGCTACCCTCTCAAATACCTTCACACCTAACAGAAATTCAAATGGTAGCACTAGTAACAAAATGTCTCCCAAAATATGAGACTTTTGTACAGGATGATTTTAGGAAAACTTCAGACAGATTTGTTCAAATTTCATTTATAGCTAAGGAATGGAATACATTTGTCGACACATAATACATGTAATATATTGATACATAAAAAATGCAGAAAAGAAGATGAACATTTACAGTTTTGCCTCTATAGACAATGGTTTTATATCCTAATGTAATTAAGAACTACATAATATGTACAATATCCTATTGTTAATAACTGCAAAAAATTGCGACTCAATCATAACTTGTTTGATTGATCATGAATTATTATTGATTCATATATGACATGATTACATCTGATTACAGTTAATTTGAAAAAGTTTCTTAAATTAAGATTACTAGTAAAATTGCTTATTAGAAAACTGACACAATCAGAGAAGGCCTCACTAAAGACTATTAAAGGACATAGATTTTGGTTGGTTGGTTGTTTAAAGTCCTTTAATTCGAGAATCTTTCTCTCATACAGAGACACCGCCCTTTGCCGGTAGACGTACATACAGTCAAAGTGATATGACCCTTAGTTTTATAACATCCTTTCTGAAAACTTATATAATCTCACCCAATTCCTTTGCAATGGAAGCATAAGTCAGGGCCAAATCTGGGGCAGTTAGAGCACCATCCTCTGGTATCCATAAAGCCCCCTATATGAAAAGAGTTCTCATTTCTAATAACAAAAATAAATGTCAGAAACCATTCTTATATCCTCGATAATCCAAATAAATCTTTACCTCCAAGTCATCAATTCTTATCAAAGGACAAATTTTCTTGGCCTCTTGAGGTGTAATAATGTGACTTTCATTCCCAGCGGCTCTATAGATGTAGAAAAAAATCATTTTAGGTATTTCCATTTTATTACTGAAGGAATAAATAAAACAAATTATCATGTGAGAAAATAAATTATTATAATTTCAAGAAAACAAACTTACATAGCAATCTGACTCCTACGCTGTAGATATATCAGTCGGTCTTTTGTCTGTGCCAACATTAAACTACCACACTGCTTAAAACCTACACAAAAATAAAGAAATTTTACCATGAATTTGTAATTCTCATCTTCCATGCTGGTAAATGCATTCAAGTAATCATCTATTAAGAGGAGGAACATTTAATTTGATAGTTTTGCCTACTGAGATTGTGGCCCTCTGCCTCCAGCTCTTGGTACAGTTTTCTGCCGTATCTCATGAGTTTGGAGGTGGATACGTCCTCTCTGGCCTGAGATATCAGTCCAGCTGAATGCCATGTGGTCCCTCCCGTCAACCTATTAGGGAAAAAAATAAAGGTTTTAAAATTGGTTTATTTCATGCATATTTTTTTTAGTACAGTTGTCCTATTTTCTCTTCATGTTTTTAGAATCTTTCTCCTATACATGTACATGTATTATAAAGTACTTTTTACATTACACCACAGAAATTATTTTTGAAGTACATTTATGCATTGCATATATATGAAAAGCTTGAATGCCTGATATTGCATAATTAAATAAATCAAGATCTACAGTAAAATAATGACTTACTGTCCCTGCTCCAATAGCACCACATCTGTCCATCCTGCCTTGGCCAGGTGATAGGCCACTGATGTCCCAATCACACCCCCTCCACAAACCACCACCCTGGCACTAGAGGGCAGAGCTAGGGGTGCATCCAAGGTTGTCTCTGAGTAATTCCTCCAATCTCTCCCCCCTAACACTGCCAGAAATTTGTTCTGTCCCCCATTAGTCCAACCTCCCTGAGCAAGCAGAGTCCTTCGGCCCAGGGACAGGTTCCTAACACATTGCAACACTGACATTTTGTCAATCCTCTAATGCCTCCTCCTTTTTTTTTCACCTGTTGCATCTGCTGCACAGGTAAGTCTAATTAATTATTATCACAGGTAACGAAGATAAAGCTCATATCTGCCTGTCTCTGTTTTGGACGTACAAATGTCAACACTGGTGTTCTAGATATCTCTGGGAAGTGTTTGTTCTAGGGACTATTTCTGTGTCATTGCTGTTTAACATATGAGACATATTCTGCAAAAAAATAAGAACTTTTACATACAAGTAGAGCACAATGCTAAACATGGTGAATCCTATCACTGCAAGCTTGTCATGGACCAATAAATATTAACGTACATATTAAGGTTAATATATAATTATGTACATAACAACACAAGAATTTGAAGTACTCTTTCAAGCTAAATGGTCATTTAAATTTTTTTTACTTGTGAGCTTTAAATTCATTTTAATTCATGCCACATACATTTTCACTTCATAAATTTTACATCTATTCATTTCAAACAGTGTTATGCACATGTTAATAATCTTTTTGTTGTTGTTGTAACTTTGCATGGATGCTGATCTTTCAATCTATTTTCCATCAAGTTTTTGAATATCAAAGGAGTTGAGGGTTCACAATAATACAAATTAACAAACAAATGCTATATCTAGCCACCAGAAACAAAACACATTTGAATTTTTTTTTTAGTAGAAATAGACAAACTATATACTGTTCATTGTTTTATTATATTTATAGAATTTCAAAAAATTCTACATAGAGGATTTGGTCATAGCTGATTGTCCTAACTTAACTATTGTATTAAGACAAGTTATTTCAAACATATTTAGGGGTACAGACATGTTTAATTTAAGTCTGATAAGAAATCTTATCTGTCTAGTTTGTATCCTACATTTGAGCAATTTATGTAACTTATGTCTACTACCTCAGATCAACTATCCTGCAAAGGTTAGTCAACCAAACACATGTATAGTAAATTTTCTTTGCAATTCTTTTCTTGCAAGTTTGTTAGCTTTCAAGATGCAAAAAAAAAAAAAGTAATCAGAGATTACCAAACTTACCTCAATGAATGTTATTTAAAAGTAAGGCAAATCTCAATACATAATTTATTTAGTTAGTGTGTAAATCAATATCAGGCAAACTTGGTTTAAGTAGAACCTATAGGTACTTGGAAATAGACCTGTGGTCCAAAGCTTTAACCTGTTCAATAATAAAACGTCCATCAGATCCAGCATCCAAAGCAAGTCAGGAAATGCCCATCCTCTATCGATTGAGCTACCATGATGGTTCCAGAAGCCGAAGCAAGTCTGGTAGTATCTATTCTTTGATGTCCATGCAAGTTTAATCATAACAAACCATAAAATTATAGTTCTAGCTTCTACGAAAATATTACTCTGGTCACACATCTGCAAAATATAGGTCATATTCAGCATCCAAAGCTGGCATGGAAGTGTCCATCCCTAGATACATCATCCATGCTAATTTGATTAAGTATGGTTAAAATTCACTCAACTGGAAAACATAAGTCAGACCCAGCATCCATTCAGCAGGTTATGAACACCCTTAGATGCATCATCCATGAAAGTTAGGTCCAGGTAGGTCTTACACATGTATTAACATAGGAATGAATATGCTCTAAAAACTCTATAAACAAGATGTGTTTGTAAAGCACAGATGCCACCGTATGGCAACATAGCGAAGGTTAAGCTTTCTCAAATGCAGATCAAATATGTTGGTACCAAAGTAAGGTCTCCTAACAAGAAATACAAATGTAAAATATACAACCCTTGTACCACCTGTTTAAAGGTTATGACCAAGGTTAATGTTTTTAAAGGTAGGACAAACTACGGGGTCAAGGTCAAAGGGTCAAGGCTGTTGGTTTCTAAAAAAGGCTTTGTCTCAAAAATTACATATGGGAAGTATGAAAGACCTGGCCCTTACCATTCAAAAGTTATGGCCAAGAATAAAGTTTGTAAAAAGTAGGTCAAACTCCAAGGTCAAAGTCAAAGGTTCAAAGTTGTTGATATCCAATGAAAGGTCTTCTCACAAGGAATACTCAGTATATATGTGAAGTATGAAAGCCCTAGCCTTTACTGTTCAAAAGATATGGCCAAGGTTAAAGATTTTCTTAAGTACAGAATTCTCCAAGGTCAAGGTCAAAAGTGTTGATTTCAAATGAAAGGTCTTCCCACAAAGAATTGATATTTGAAATATGAAATTCCAAGTATCTACCATTAAAAAATTAGGGCCAAAATAAAAGTTTGGATTTTTTGTGTAAAAATGGGTCAAACTCTAAGGTCAAGGTCAAAGGGTCAAGGATCTTACTATCAAATGAAAGGCCTTGTCACAAGGATTAAATATTTGAAGTACCACAAAAAAAAATGAAGTATAAAAGTCCTGGTATCTACTGTTCAAAAGATATGACCAAAGTAAAAGTTAAGAATATTTGTGTAAAAGTGGGTCAAACTCCAAGGTCAAGTCAAATTTGGTGGTACCCAAAGAAAGGTCTTGTCACAAGAAATACTGTAAATCACTTTTTATTAGCGAGAACTTTATTTTCGCGTAATTACGCGAAACAATGTACTCGCGAAAATTTAATTCTGGCGTATAATAGTATTCCTTAGGATAATATTGAGCAAGAACCACAATTCGTGAAAATTTTGTCTCGCTTATCAAGAGTCAATGACTATCTCGCGAAAATAAGGTGTCGCGAAAATTTAGTGATCTACAGTACACAAGTGAAATATGAAAGTCATAGCTCCACTAAATCAAAAGTTACAGGCAAGGTTAAAGTTTTACCAGACAAACAGACAGACAGCCAGCTAGACAGACATGACAAAAACTATATACCCCTGAAACTTTGTTTACAGAGGCATAAAAATTGTGCCAATTACTACAGCTTTTTAAAGTCTAATCTGAAAGACCTGCAACTTTCACTTCAAAGTGCCGAGTGCTTGGCAAAGAAACTGTTGCTACCAATTTTCAACTTAGGTCAGTTGCAAACATCACTTGAACATAAGACCTTCTGATCACGGAGGTAGTGCTCCACTAACTGAGCTACCATGATGCTTCCAGCATCAAAAGTAAGTCTGGCAGTATCCATCCTTAGATGTATCATCCATGCAAGTTTAATATTATGAAGGGGTTATACAGTTGCTTGAAAATGGACCTCTAAAAATTTTAACCTGGATGTTCATCTGGTAAATGACGGTCAGATCCAGCAACTGAAGCAACTCTGGAAGAATGTGCATGGATCAATAAATGTATCTTCGGTCAGCAAAGGGTAATCTGTACTTTTAAAAAAAACTGTTCCAGAAACTTTAACCTGGTCAATGATATGAAAAATTTAGGTCAAACTGAGCATATGAAACAAGTCTAGTAGTGGATAGATACACATATCCTATAAGCGTCCTATAAGCATGGTTACGCCTAGTTTGCAAGGAATCAGGACCCACTCAGGACACTGTATGAAAATTTTTAAAATGCTTTGCAGATTTCTCTGCTATTTATTGAAGTTTGAATTGAATCGTACCAGATATTAACCTGCTTAAGTTAAGACATCAACAAAAATGTAAACATAACAAAGAACGCAATTTTATTACCTTTCTCCTCTACTGTAGCTTCTTGTGTATTCTTTCTAAGCCATGTTTACTCTAACAAAACGCAAGAATGATCAAGCGCAGAAACCAGGGAGAAGTTATTATTTAAGAACTATTAACCCACACTGAGATGTTAGATGGAGTCAATAAAGTCATTAAGAAAAATTAATAATTTTGTAAAATAATAAGTCTTAATAATTGTTCTTCTTGTACTTAATTATGCATATGGTTTTCAATTTCGAATTCAATTTATGTCAACACACATGGCATCTCCCTATTCAAGATGGCCGCGCCCATGAAAAAATCCACATTGAAAGAAAATCTAAAAATAAACACATTTAACATCGAAAATGAAGCAAAAATAAAATGGATATCAGATCTCAATTACATGAAACATTCCGTGAGTATGTTAAAAATTGTTGTAACTGATAAATGTATTCAAATTAATTTATATTGCATGTTGACAGGTTGATCATGATTAACCCAAGGAAGGCTTGCACAAGTCCAGACACCATGCACTACACTCTTTGGTGAACCTAATTCCTGCACGAGAAGAAATCCTTAAAATAAAATAAATGAAATAAAAACACCCAAGTGCTAGAGCTTCAAGTTTTATTCACAGGCATAGAAAAATATGATCTTGCAATTGATTTTCAAAAGCAGATTTGAAGGTAATTTTTTATAACATGTATAAGTAATTTGTGAAGTAGCCTACATATACATAAATCCTTATTATGTTGAAGACTGAAGGTGATATCTGAGAATTTGAGATGTTGAGGTTACAATTAAAAAAAAATTAATGTTGGTATTTCTACTAATGTTGACAATTATTTATAGTCAGATACAAGCTAGTGCTTTAATGATTTAAGTTTTACATTTTTTTTTTTTTTTGGTCATTACAGATTGGTATAACCATCACACAACAGGAGACATTTCCATCAGACATCAGAGAAATTTGTCTAGCTGAGATATCCTACATTGTTTATAATCTCCCAGTACATGAGCTTATCAGTCCTGATCTTCTGGGGGCTTTCCAGAAGAAAGGTATCTAAATTAACCTAACTATTTGCATATTGTCTGCATATTAAAACCCAATTCCTAGATCAGTCAGGGGTGTGACTGAAATCCATTACATTTAAAAATGATTGATAATTGTCATTACTTCTAAGTATATAATGTACATGTTTTTATTATTTTTGTAAATATGAATTCTTTTCAATCATCACATTTCCATTCCCAAGTCAATTTTTCCAACCCATTTACTACATTCATTAATTAGATATAGTACACTATCCATCCATAGACACTTGTTTAGAGAAACATCTTGACAAGTAATTGAAACCAAAATAAATTAGTGCGCCAAGTAAAACTAACAAGATAATTAAGTGTGCCCAGACCTAAAAATTTGATAAAAAATGATGAAATACAGTCATATTTAATATCAGAGGCAACTCTATTTTCTAAAATAAATTTCAAAATAGATATGACTGTTTTTCATCATTATTCTGTGATGAATTTAAGTCATTATTAAAAGTCAATAATAAGATTTGACTAGAAATCATCATTTTTAAAAATGATGGATTTCAGTCACACCCCTAACTGTAGATATAACCAACATTTCAACATGAGTTATTGAAAATTATTTTGTGTCAACTACCAGTGGGAGGAGGAAGTGAAGGGTCATTGTAAAATCCCATGCACAAAAAGTAAAATTAATTTTGTTGTTGTTGTTTTTTGTAAATAAAGTAGACAGCCTTGAACTCTTTCCATTTTCAGTTACAAGCTGGAACACAGCTTTGCCTCTACTGTCTATAAAAAATAATCAAAAATAAAAACATGCCAGGATATAGAAAATCTTAGATTTACATAGCTAAATGAGTCTTAGATTCAACAGAGAAAAACTCTGCCTTCATAACATTGTTTTTGCATATGAATTTATATCAATGTTTAGAAACCATAGATAAATGTAGCGAGTTTTGCCAACTGTTACATATTACAGGGTCCCTGTGTATGCTTTCTCTGGGTACCACGCTAGAGGTTAATGATTGTGTGGCATTTTTACCTACAGGTATGTCATTTAATTTCAATACTGGTATCAGGCTTGGGGTCAATTACTTTGAAATGTAATTAATTACTTTCAAATACATTGATAATTTTGTCAATTACTTGCAATTACAATTACATTGATTTTTTCAAATGTAATTAATTACTTTCAATTACTTTGACAAATGTAATTAAATACATTTCAATTACTTCAAGTTTATTTTTATAAAAAAAAAAAAAAAGATTTTTTTTATTGAGATTTTTTCTAAAGGGATCGAATTCGAACTATTCATTCAGTGGTTTTATTCTTGGGTATGATAGAGGTTCACACCTGGTCAAAATTAGACCTTTACCTTATAATGAGTGTGACACACTGTATAAACAAATTAAACATTATGAGACAATTAATTATTGTACAAACACAGGCCCATGCTACACCAATATGGTGTATGGCAAGATCTTTTTTTGTTACTTTCTCAAATCCATATTTTTGAAGGAAATAAATAATATCTATCACAATTCCATTCATTATTTTCTATCTTAGAATGAATAGAATACAAGTGCTAAATTAATTTTGTTGTTGTTGTTTTTTGTAAATAACATGTATAAGTAATTTGTGAAGGTATCTAAAAGGGGATGTAGTTGTTAGTCTTATTGCTGTTAAACAAATTAACTATTTAAACAATTATTGTTATTTGCAAGTGGGAATAGGGAGAACTGAGATTTATTAAACAACTGAATAAGTAGTATAAACCCACCAGTATAAAGCTATGTATCAGTATAAGACACCTTTTTAAATATAACTTTCATTTTGAAAAAAAGTAATTGCAATGTAATTGAAAAGTAATTGAAAATACATGACATTTTTTGAAATGTATTTAAATACATTCAATTACTTGTAATTGAAGGCTCGCTCAAATACAAATTACTTCCAATTACTTTGAAAAATGTAATTAATTACACTCAATTACAATTACTTTATTCAATTACCCCATCCCTGACTGGTATGTCATATATCTGGTTACTATTTGTTTTATGGTACATGTATTTTCTCTAGACACTATCAGTTGAACATGTATCAAGACAATTCTTACATTATACCATTTTCTTCAAACTTTTTAGGGCATTTAATTCTTCACCTCACAAAAGATTTATACACAAGACTTGGTCTAGATGGAAAGCCATCCCAGTATAACAAATACGGAGGAGAAAAATATGGTAATTATTGTTTCCTGTAGTTTGGTCATTTTCCTGATTTCTTTATACAGTATGTCAGTTACTGTATAATTTCGCCCCATTCGCCCTAGTCCGAATTCAATGTAAACAGTATAATATAAATTCTTTATTTAAAACGGGGCAAACTTGTATGTCGAAAATAACCCTGTATACAGTAATTTATTATTTATTTATTTTTAACAATTTCAGTGGTAGAAATTGATCTTGGATCAACAGCTTTTACACCAGGAAAGAAAAATTATGAAAAAGTCAGGCAATGTCTGTTGCGTGTCAATATGCAGTGTGATTTCTTGGTCTCATGGACACCACAAGGTATAAATTAATGAAAGAATGATGTACATGTATTAAGGGGGCTCAGGTTTTATTGTGTATTACTGAGGTTTTATTGTGTGAAAACTACAAAAGCGAAACTCTTCATTTTTATACCATATATAATTTACATTAACTTCAGTGTACATGCCAAGTTTGGGAGAAATCTACCATCCAGGTATTTTTTAGGGACCATCTCAAAATACAGGTACATTTACTTAGGGATTATTTAAGAAAGTGCCAATTTTTAGCACTTTAAAGCAAATTATACAAATACTGCAACAGCCATTTTGTTCAAACTATAATATATGATGAGTAATACTATATTGTGCATTATATGTAAGGAACACAAAATTCAATCGTCTTGTTACCAGAGGGGGCATCTCAAAATGCCAAAAATTAACAAATTTTCCAGTTTTTATAGAGAACTACAAATATGACCGGCAAAAAGGATTTATATGAAAACATAATAAAATAATGGAGAGATTCTCAAATTTCTATGTTTTAAAATTCAAGAGTATATATTTATTACTTTTTCTTTAATAACATTTTTATTACCCCTTTCCTTTAGAGCTCCAGTTTATCAAAAACACACTAGAACGACGTCAACCTACCTATCAGTTGCAAAATCGGTTAAAAAATCAGTTGTATAAAATTATAATTACATTTTTAAACCTGTAATTTCTCAATTTTGTGTAATTTTATTAATTAAGTGAAAAAAGTTGCTTTAAAACAGTAAATATGCTGCATTTTACTATGATGCACAAATTGTGCAATGAAAACCCCAGTCGGCCCCCTTAATTTAAATTAAACATGTTGAAACAGGTCATATTACTGTAATGTTAGTTGAAGCATAGATAGCTGTGATTAAACATTAATACCTATTCCAATCTTCACATGGCTCTTTTGCTCTAAATAGCAGCACATAACTTTTAATACAGACGGGAGATATCTCTTAAATTTTGACCCAAATTCTTGATGAATAAAAATACATGAAAATACTTTTATTAACACCCAAAAATCCAAATAAAAAACACCGGGGCGGGACAGTTTGAGAGGGGTGGGCGGGGATGAGAATCTAAAGATTAATTTTATCTGGCCTAAGTTAAACTCACAATATTACATGCCATTAAATTCCTCACAAATACCGTATATTAGTAGAATTTTTAGCGAGGATTTAATTTTGGCATTATTAGCGAGGGTGCTGAGATCGCTAAAATTAAATATCGCTAAAAATTAATTGCAATTTTTTTGTTATAACTTCTTTTACATGCATTTCAAAATCGCTAAAATAACATCTCGCTAAAAATAAATTATTTTTTAGCTAAAATTTCCACTTATACGGTAGTTAGCAAATTACAGTCTTATTATAGAGCAAAATGATTTTTTTCAGATTTCTCATAGATCTTTAGCTTATAAAAACTGGATTATGGGCTTGTAGATTTCAGAAGTTAAAGAACACTTTTCTCATGTACAATTGTAAATATTCTTTTGACAATTTCAGATGAAAATTTGTGTCCCAGTTCCATTCACAAGTATTTCAGGATAAAGGATTTTGACTGCATCCATTTGTCTATTTCATCCGTTGGTCACAAATACACAGATATAGAAATACCCGATCTGCAGCATCAGGATGAAGATATCCACCCTCAGGAGGAGCTATATGATTGGCTGGGAGGTGTAGCCAATCAAATTGGACTGTAAGTTATATTTTTGTGTTCAAATATTACATCAGAATTTAAAATAGAACATCAGGCAGATATTTTCAATGAATAATGATGCAGAATTTTTCAATAAAAATGATGTACTCCCAGGTCCAGTGTACATGTATCTGATGAGGCATACAACCCTTTGTCTGAATACTCTGGTCCTACCAGGCTAGGTCACTGCTCTCATCTACAGATCTTTGGATTCTTCTCCAGTGCCACTGTCCAAAATGTGATCCAGGAAGTTAGGTCAGTATCAACATTAGTCATTTTAATCAAAAATACATATTTATACATGTATTATCTTCAGCAGACAATAAAATTATTATCTTCCTTTCTCATTAGAATATTTTCACTTCACTTTAGCTTTGTCTGGAGATGTTCTACTTTTTAACTGATTCATAATTTAAAAAAAATCTAGTTCCTGAAACATGAAAATACTGATGAATCAAATTTACTAATTACAGAAATATGTGTAAATCTTCCGATGCATGGGCCTGTGTGACAACTCATGGATTTACCGATTCACCAACTTCAATAAGAAGTACAGAGAAAAATCCCCACAAGTTGTGTGCTGACAGTGCTTCTCTAGTTATTCTACCAAGTGATAGGTGCTGGTTGTTTACTGATACCTGAATTAAGATTATTGGTTCTCCCCAGTGATAGGTGCTGCTTATATACCAATACCTAAATTAAAACTATCAATTTTACCCAGTAACAGGTGCTGGTCATTTACTGGTACCTGAATTAAGACTATAGGTTCTATCCAGTGACAGGTGCTGGTTATTTACCAATACCTAAATTAAGACTATCAATTGTACCCTGTAACAAGTGCTGGTTGTTTACTGATACCTGAATTAAAATTGTTCATTCTTCCCAGTTATAGGTGCTGGTTGTTTATCAATATTTGAATTTATTGGTTGTACCCAGTGACAGGCTGGTTGTTTATCAATTTATATCTGAATTTTAAAACCTCAAAAAGTATATACATGATTGTATTGTTTAAATTGATGCTGTTTTTATCAAAATTGTGCTAGTTCCCATGATCTCCCCAGATGAGACACACTGATTTATGTAGAAGTAAACTGTCCATCAGGCTATTGACATAAACGTTATCTGATTGTAAACAATTTGGTTTTTGACATTTGTTTTGTATAAAAGAGTTCAGTAAACTTTGGTTTGTCTTTTCACTTATCTTACCTGGTAGTATGTGCTCTGATTAAACACCTCATATGTAGTGTTTTTGTGACTGTGATCTTATGATCATTATGAAACATTGTTCTGGAGAAGTACTCTGTAAAGTGAATAACCTTTTCCAAATAAACATAGCAAGGTCCGTCAAGATAAAGTTACAACTTCTGACCAATCTGGCAACCTTGAAAATAACTTAGGTAGTCATGAAGAACTTGGTTAAGCTTTAGAAACAGAAAAGTTACTAGACTAGTGGGTTTCTAGGTTTAGTGGGGGCTTGTTATTATCATGCTAAAATATCATGCCATTATGCATACTACCAGTATAAGTTCCCAATAAAATCATTAAAACATTGTTTCGAAAGCATAATATTGTAATGGTTTGGGCCGTGGATATCGGCCTGGATAGCTCAGTTGGTAGAGCACCTGACTGGAGATACAGGGGCCCGGGTTCGATTCCCGGTCCAGCCATACATTTTCTCCTTTCCTGTTACATATTTGGTGCCGTTAACCACCCCTGGAATTGCAGGTGAAAGTCCTGCCAGGGGCTAACAAGAACTTGGGTTGTGTCTTTGAGGGTGAAGACCATTTAAGGAGGAAGGAATGTAATGGTTCGGGCCGTGGATATCGGCCTGGATAGCTCAGTTGGTAGAGCACCTGACTGGAGATACAGGGGTCCCGGGTTCGATTCCCGGTCCAGCCATACATTTTCTCCTTTCCTGTTACAGATCTGGTGCCGTTGACCACCCCTGGAATTGCAGGTGAAAGTCCTGCCAGGGGCAATAAGAACTTGAGTTGTGTCTTTGAGGGTGAAGACCATTTAAGGAGGAAGGAATTAATGAAATTCGGGCCGTGGATATCGGCCTGGATAGCTCAGTTGGTATAGCACCTGACTGGAGATATAGGGGTCCCGGGTTCGATTCCCGGTCCAGCCATACATTTTTTCCTTTCCTGTTACAATATGTTATACGTTTCTGTGGTTGTACGTTTTCTATTCTGATTTTTTCTTCAATTTCACATAAAATTGTAGGATTTCAGCTGACCTCTAAGGGAAAGCAAAAAATAATAACCCTGTCCGACAACAGTTTGTCAATGATTCACTTCAGTCAAGTCACTCAAGTGTTCATATTTTTATTTTCAACCATTATAACAAAATCATTATAAGTGAATTAATATAGAAATAAAAAACCTCAATGCTCTTTTTATTAATTTCAAATGTTTGCGCATTAAGGAACTCCCACGCCACATTGAATCTAATTTCTCTATTTTGTAATGAGAGTAAAACGCGGGTCACTTTTCTCAGCATTTAACAGTTCAAAGGTATAAAATTTATACATGCACCTATAATTTGCAACGACATCACACACAACTATCCAGTTATACATGTAAAGCAAATAACTTTATCAAAACATAAGATCATAAGTAAACAAGGTTCACAAATCACTTGTATGTAAAATATTGAACACATAAAAAGTCTTCAGATCAAACTTACATTCTTCATTAAGTTTTACGGATTACCGGTAACATTAAGAAACCAAAAAGAAATGTTTATTCATAATTCTCTTAATCCTTTGTAGTTCAATATCAAGTTTTGGATGTAGATTTAAATCACTTATGCCAACTTTAAAATAGTCTTTGTTTGCCCTCTCTATATACTAGTGGGTGGATGAAAAATAAATTGGGTCAGGTGGTAGATGGGAAATTTATTTTTTCTCAGAAAATAATGAATGAAAATCAATGAAGAATTCCGGAATGAATTAAAACAAAATGGTTGTTTCCTCGAGTTTAAAAAAGTTTTGAATTGGGCGTTCTTTGGTCAGTAGGTCAGGAGAGGGCTACTAAACAATTTTTTAAAGACTACTGTACAATACATGGAGATTTCAAATACTCACAGCCTACATATTATTATTCCTAGGACATATTCTTTTAAGTTGGAGAGACATTGTAATTGACCCTGTTGCATATTACTGTATAGGGGGAAAATAACTCGCGGTGTCAATATTCGCTATATTCTTGGTGTTAATGAATCCGTGAATTCAAGAAACAGTGAATAAGTTTTCAATAGGTATACATAAGGGAGGAAACTTTAAATATATACCAATTCCGCGATTTCAAGAAACCGTGATTGTGCCAAAGAAGAGAAAAATGTGAAAATTACAACCCGTGAAATTAATCCCCTATACAGTATTTCAAAAATCAACCTTTTATAATGTTAGAGATTATGAAGATCACTATACATGCAAAAAAAACAGTAATAAAATGTAAATACATGTACGTGTAATGTGAAATACCTGAACATTTTTATAAATACATATTTACAAAATATGCACATTATAATTGTCGTAATTGGACAAAATGTTGAGAAACATGTTAAAATAAAACCTTTGTAGAGATAACTGTATAACAGCAATGGAAAGAGAAACATTTCAATTATTAACAGGCACCTGAACATCTTATGACAATTTTTTTAAAAATTTTTTTGTACACCTGCTATATCAAATACAATGGTAGAGATAACTGTATAACAGCAATATCCGGATGCTTGACAATTTTTTTAAAAATTTTTTTGTACAGTATCCGGATGCTTGAGATCCGGACGATTTTTCATCGGGACGAAATTTTTAAATGTTACGTACATTGTCTTGTTTAACTGGTGATTCAGATATCCGGACGCTTCACATATCCAGACAAATTGACTAGGAACCAAAGCATCCGGATAAATGAGGCTCCACTGTAAATATTTTTTGACCATATATGTCATAAAGACCAATATTTTGCTAGATATTAAATCTGACATAGCATACAGTAGAGCATACTTATCTAATTACATTTACATAATGAAATGTCCCTTTCAAAAACAAAATAAATTCACAATAATCATCACAAATTTCAGGGACTGGTATCATAGATGGTGAGATATGCATATTTATCTTACAGTGTTCATTAGAAAAACACACTGAACAATATAAATTGCAAAAAACAAGGGCAGATAAGTCTCATGACTAAGAACCACAAAACTCTCATAATTTTGTCAAAGAACAACATTATCTAACTACAGTAACTGTTTTTCACCAGGAGATACATGTATATGGCAATTATGAATATTGATGTTTGTTCTATATATAACTATCTAGGAAACTTTAACATAACTAATATGTTAAACAAAGTTAGAATTGTATCATTAGCACAGACAATTAGAAGTAAATGTACATGACTGTATATGCATTTAATATCAGATTTAATTCAGAGAACAATTAAAAAAAAAAAAATTTGAGTATCAATGATCGCAGTTTTAATTTTTCTGATAAACTAATTCTTTCAGGTTTAATCAAAGCTACCAAAACTTCCTACACTTCCAAAGCTACTTAAAGAACTCCAACTTCCGTGGCGACCTAAGCCCCACCCAAACGGTCCCCCAAATCCATGCCCCATCATTCTGGAGGCTCCGTATCCTAAGGCTGCTCCTCCTATCAGACCTGTAATCAAAATTCATTAAGTGCTTCATAAAATATTGCTTATGTATGATATTTTTGTTTGAACACTTCAGGTGTTCAATTTATGGATTTGATATGACTTATTTGTATTTCACAGTTTTGGTTGAAAGCACTTTCTACTAAATTAGGTACATGCATTATGTCTTTTATACACAACAGAGCACATGCACACATGCATCTTAGCACATACATAAATGTGTTAAATCAAATCTGTGTTAAGTCCTTGAAAAAAAAAAATTCTGCCATATTTTCTTGTGCATGTTAAATATAATATATACTGTAATTTACCATATAACACAAATACACAATGAAAATTCCTTTTTTTTGCAAGTACTTATTATCGCGAAATAGCTCTTTAACGTCAAATCTCGAGAATAATTATTCGTGAATGAACGATTGATCAGGAAAATTTACATGGAATTTAGCACCATAAAAATAAAAGCAAGTAACTTAATATGGCATTAAATGCATCTCCCGAAATTACACGATTATCATAATTAATTCTTCGCTAATAATTAGGAATCTACAGTATACAGAACACTCATCTAATAAATACCTGATGATAGAATGATGTTTTTCAAAAACTGAAGTAATTTAGTAATTGTCTATTTAAGTACAGTGTAAGTGGTTCTACTAACCTGCAGCCATTTTGCCTGTATTACCACCCAGTATTCCTCCACTTTTACTTTTCTTTGGTTGAACAACATATTGCTGCTGATATCCTGGTTGTGCATAACCTATAATCAAAGGAACATTTTCTAAACTTAGAAAGGTTATATCATGAGAAAAACAATCAAGATTTACAACAGAAGTTAGTTTCTCATTTCAAAGCTTTTTTCATAGACCTCAAACACAGGCAGCAATTAATTGTTGAAACTAAATATTACCATATGGTTGTTGGTATTGTTGTTGAGGATACTGTTGATATTGTTGCTGTGGATATTGTTGATAAGGCTGTTGTGGATATTGTTGATAATGTTGTTGTTGGTAAGGTTGTTGGGGGTATTGTTGATAAGACTGTTGGGGGTATGCAGCGGGAGGCTGCTGAGGGTATCCTTGGGGTGGCATGTAAGACTGTGGGGGTGGGGCTTGGGGGTATCCACCAGGTTGTGTTGGGTAGGGTGCAGGTCCTCCTGAATATATAAAACATGTTTATCATGATATTATCTATCATCTGGTATAAAAACAAATGTGTATGTACAAGAAGAGTCAATTTTTATGACAATGATTATTCTAGGATATGCTGTGCTCTGATAAAAGAAACTGACCTGCCAAACCATCGAATCCTATCCCTGGCCCTCCTGGACCCCCAGGTGGTGCCGCACTGTAGGGGGGTGGTGCTGATGGTGAACTATAACTTTGTGGCATACTTCCTGTAGAGCTACTTGGGGGCATTCCTCCTGAGGGCTGCTGCTGACCAGGTTGTGGGAGCTGTCACAAAATCATAGAAAGGCTACAGTAAAACACAGGTATAGTGAACCATTGTCACAAAATTAATTATAAAGGTTACAGTAAAACACAGGTATTAATAGTGAACCATTGTCACAACATTAATTATAAAGATTACAGTAAACACAGGTATAGTGAACCGCTGTAACAAAATCATAGAAAGGTTACAGTAAAACACATATACTGAACCACCGTCACAGAATTAATTATAAAGGTAATACAGTACAATGTCTAGTGAACCAACGTCACTATCATTATAAAGTTTACAGTCAAACATGCATATAAAGAACAGCCTAATGACAATCAGTCTTGTTTATATTACTGCAACTTATACTAAAGAATATTTGTTCACAAGAAGTTCTGGTATGTAAATACATGTAGTACATACAATGTATACTTACCACTTGGCAAATTGCACTCATCCATTCACTGAAATGGAAAATACTTGATTAAAAGCTTTTAAATTCCCTTCTACTTCCAAAGATATATATTAAGTACATGTCCTGGTACACATATTAAGATAAGTAACTTTAACTTTGAAGTACAGCTACTAAGTTAAACAACTTTTGACAACAGAAAAAATCTTCTGTAAAAAAAGTATGATAAGGAGCTACTTCAAGTTATCTCTTTCTTCATCAAATTTAAAAGAAAATAAAAATTAAAAGATAAATAAATTAAATAACTGTTTTTTTTTCCTTACTGGAGATCATTGTTGTCCCGACACAGGAACCAGAACACTTTAGCCTGGCTGTTGTTTTTACTGGGGATGGCCAACACTTGTTCATAAGTCGCTCCTCTCGGAAGATCAGGTCTGTCTGAGAAACTACTTGTGTGTTCTCCAAAGGCAAATCGTTTACAAACATCCTATTCAAGAGAGAGATTTTCTTGTTACTGGTTGGAACATTTAATTTATATCACCATTAGTCTACATTAATAATAGTCAAAGACTTTCAAACAATTAACTTTGGTTTGTGTTTTAAACCAGAGGCCATGAAATTCACCAATAATTATCATGTAAGTATATCTACAAAAGAAAAGTATTGGATTTGCTTTGAAAACAAATTTTTCATCATAAAAGGCACCAGATATTTAGCATTAAATCACAAGTGCCCCCCCCCCCTCCCCCACCCCGACCCAGGGGGCATATAAAATAACCATTGTGTTTAAAAATATATATTTTCATCTCTCAAAGGAAAAGATTTTCAAAGACTTTTACAGTTTCTTAGAACGTAGTGGCTCTCTGGTTTTGATAGTTACACAGCTGATGTACTTAGTTTGTTCATTTAATACCCTAGATTTTCAAAAGAATTAATGACATTTTTTGCATTTTCACAATATCATCATAACCTTGAAATACTTTTGAAATAACCTTTCTACACAAATTGACCAGAAGTCTCTATAGAGACTGTAGTTCTACTGGTTTGTACTTATAACAAAGGGAGGGAAAAGTAGCAGTTAGACTTAAATCTTACAAAATCAGTAAATAGAATAGTGATCCTTGATTTAGTCTCTTTTTGTAAAAAGATTGCAATCAGACTAAAACTGTAGAGGGAATAGCCTTTTTAAAAAATTCACAGAAATTTTTATCTTTAGTTCATAACCTCATTTGGCCCCAGGCCACAAAACTTAATAGACAAGCTCACTTTTGATCTCAGTCTCACTTTTCCTCTATAAATTCCTTTGGTTAAAGCGAGATTGAGATCAAAAGTGAGCTCGTCTAAGTTTAATGGCCCCCAGAGCCTGGTCTTTGACCAGTAGAGCTAAAAATAAGAAATACTTACCTTCATGTGAATTTTAGCTTTAATTTCAAGGTCACCTTGTCTATTGTACATACACAGATCACTGTTATCATACAAAACAACCCAAACATCCTTCCAGCCACCAGAAAACATACTCTCTAAAAAAAAAATAAAATATTAAGAATAAAGTTCTCTTAAGTCATTTAACAATCAGCAATTCCTGTTTAATAAAAGGTATTATATATTACATGTAATGTTTTAATTACTTCAGATACTTCTTTATTAGAAGTTTATAAATGTAGTTCACAACTCTTGTTCTGAAAATCAGAATATGCAGCGTCGGGCAGGTCACCACATTAATCTTGGTGTAGATTTGCTTTGGCTAGATATTTGGTCTGATGCCTCCGAGATTAGTCACCACATTAATCAGGACTGCATGGGGTCCTTTTTTCAACATGCGACCTCAAAAGGGGCGATTTTACTTGTTTATTAAATTATCAGCACTAGCAAATACAAATACAAATATTTTATTGGCACCAACACAATTACAGTAATTGGTAAAGGCCCATAGAAAACATAGTGATAAGCATGAAAATACAGTAGAACACAACTAGAATACAAACAATTGGTGTAGCAAATTATGTATTGTACTCATAAAATACTATATAAATACATACATATGATTCAGTTCAATGTAGTTACTCATTTATAGCTAAAATATTTTTTCTTATATCAGATATTTGACATAAAAATGATGAGAATATTTTAAGAACCTTTTTACAACTAGTTTTCATCAACAGTTTTAACAATTTGTCATTATTATGGATTGTTTGGTTCAAGTTAGGAAAAGTAGATAGTTTTGTTTTGAATATGTTTCTCTGTGATTCATATTTTGGACATAGCAAAATAAAATGTTTTTCATCCTCAATATCAAGGTTTTGACATACTTTACATATCCTATTATTTTTATTAATTTCAACATATCTACCTTTTTCAATTTCTAAGTTGTGTGCACTTAACCTAATTTTTGCTAAAAATGATCTATCATGTAGTGACTCTAGTTTGTCAACATAATGAGCACGTTTATTATCAAGACAAAAGTTCTGATAAAAAGACAGTTTTGAGGAGTTCATTATATTTGCATTTTGTTCTTGTAATATTTGATCATGAATGCGTTGTTTAATAATGCCAAGCACTGGTTTCATTGACATATTAAAATTTGTTAAATAAGAAAATCCTAAGTTATTAAGACAAGTTTTTAGACACATAGACCATGTGTTAGTTTCTTTAGTTTTGATAAAAATTTCATGTGACAATGTATGTTCCATTGAAATTAAATGATCAAGGTATTTGATAGCAAACATAATAATTTTTGATTTGACTGGGAGTCTCCCGAGTTCAGAATAGCAGCCATTATTTGAAGTTTTGCAATGAACTCCTAAGATTTCTTTTAAAAATTTAATATGAAATTTTTCATAAGATGCTGAGCCTGAATTTTTTATGATTAAGTCAATACCATTTATCTAACTGAATAATACAAAATTCATGCAACTTTACTGTGACTTTCACTTCTTAAACTCTAAGTTAATCATAAAAGATCGTCTTATGATCTTATAAAATAATATAGTATCAAACTTACTACTGAAACGTTTCAGGTATCCGGATTTCACAATCCTCAAAGCCATATTTTCCCCCTGAAATGTCAGTATTTTTAAGAGACAACATATCTGCATATATCATAAGACTAACCATAAAATCAATTTTGAATTATGTTAAAAGAATAATTCTTCAAAGTCTTTACATGTATATCATACGTTTTCAATATATGTGAAACTTTTTTTTAACAAAACCAGAATAATTTTCTTGTCCAGTTTTTGTGCATGTCTCGTGCCAAGATCAGATGTGTCAATGTCTTTTTAAAATCAACATTGGCCTGACTCACCTGTATAGTTACACTGGTAGATATAAAACTGAAAGATTAAACAGATCTTAAAGTATCTTTGTGTTTTACTTTAAGGTAGAACTAGGAAATATTTACAACAAAATTCCAATCAGAATGAATCAGACAATCTGTCAAAACAAAACTTCCTCTCAGTAAGAGGCTTGTAAGTAACATTAAAATCTCTTTAGGATAAACGCACATTTGACACAGAAAATTTGAGGTTCCATATGAATATCCCTCAAGACACTTTCAACCTCATGTGATTTTTCGATACTATCGGGAAAAAGTTCTATATAGTTTGAATTTGCAAAACATATCAAAATATATATTAATAATGTTTTTTTTAATTAGGGCCCCGCAAGGATTTGCGGGTGCCCTATAGTAATCACTCTGTCTGTCCGTCTGTCTGTCATTCTTCCGTCCACAAATTTTATGTTTTTTTCTAATAACTTTTTTATGCTTGCCCAATCAAGTTCAAATTTGGTATGGTAGTTCAGTAGGCAAAAATACATATTTTGATGCTAAGTTTGGTTCTCTATGTGTGCTGGTTTGGAGCTGGGGTGGTGGGGTAGATTCCTTATTATGCATAAGAATGAATGGGCAAAGAGAGATAACTGCTGAGAATGTTACCATTGAAAACTGGGAAGGCTGTGAAATTTGTCCTTTGGGATTAATTAAACTTTCACATGAAGAAAATCCTAAACACTATCTTTATCTGTCACATTGAGATTAATAACTGTACCGCCTCTGTCTGCAAATGAACTTTGTTTTGAAGTTAAGGTCAATTTTGAATGATGTATACAGTCTCTGATAATGGATTTAAAATAATGTTCATACTTTATTTTGGTTAAAATACTGTATACAATGATTTATGATAATTTTATTGAATTCCAAGATATATATTAAGATATCATTTTTTATTATTACTATTTTATTTTTTTAATCATTTATTTATTTTTTTTATTTTTGCTGCCTTAATGTTGTTAATTTTAACAGGTAATCAGATAATAACCCCATTCTGTCAGAGCTAAAAAAAAAGTTCTTATTGTAAATTTAGAAGAAAAGGATGAGAGGGCAGTACAATTAATCCCTTGGGATTAATTATCTAGCCTGCTGCAGAAAATTTAGAGGCTTATCTTTATCTGTCACATGAAGATTAATGAACACCTTTGTCTGCAACTGATGTTTGTTTTGAAGTTGAGGTCAACCCTGGGTGATATTTGTATTCATTGAAGGCTTGCATTTTATAAGACACCTGTTTAAGTTTTTTTTAAATGCACATTTAATTTACCGGTAGTTTTTTTAAAAATAAGACATCAGGTTTTTCCCTGTTTTATGTAAATAAAATTTAAGGTTACCATTTACAGGTTTTTTGGACATTCAGGAATTATCTTGGAAATTTAAAAATAGAGTTGTTACTTATAATCTTCACAATTTTTTTTTAAATGGAATCAAGTAAAACTCATTCAGTGAGCTGCACCCTTATATTTCTACCCCTCTGCAGGGCCCTTGCTGACTGGTCAGTTTTCTAGTTTCATTTATCTGATAAAATTTATGTTGTATTTAGTGCTCAAGTTTCACAATAGCTATTTTTATAACTTTAGTTGTTAATTTGGGCATTGAAGTTGATCTACCACAGAAAAAAATACATTACCTGCATAGAAGGTCATTTTATTGTTTATATTTATATCTATACAATATACATAACTTAAAGAAGAATTTAGTGGATGTAACACTGTATTATTGATGGCATGAATTTTACTCTTTTGGAGGAAGTACTTTGCTCGTCATAACTGATCCTCTCTTTATATATTAATATTACCCTAGAGCAGAAAAACTTTCAAAGAAACAAAGCATTTTTACTGTAAAATTACGAAATGTATCTGAGCAACATCTTAACATCAAATCCATGATCCCTTGTGTAGCCATTTGTAGGAGGTATCATTGCTCCTTATCCATTCATGGTTTATAGTTTGAAATGATTCTTATCCAAAGTGCTGTATGTTTTTATCCCTTTACCGGAAAACAAACACAGGTATTTAATTTAATCTATTAAATATTTAGTATCATATCAATATGTATTGTATGATATTGCAAGGTAACCTTTGTTACTTAGGCCGATCACCAACATCGACTAACCGAGTTAATTCTAAGACTGATAAAACAGATAATAAAGGAAAAGATTTTCAATTTCCTAAACATTTATTTTTATTCCTTCATAATGCAGCAAGTAATTCATTTAAATCCAAACTTCCCAACCTTTTCCATGATACATTTTGTAACCCTGGTTCTTAGTTTAGATCTCAAAATGATATGTTTTTACTTGCCATGAATTTTTTTTTCAAAAATCATGAAAATAGGTAATTTGATTATATATATATTTATAGGAAGGTTGTCCCAAAATTTCAAATCTATGCCAACTTGTTCAAAAATCAATTTCTGCTAATTATCCTACACACTCAATATAAAACATTTACAGTATCATGATGAGTTAGTTCCCCTGAAAACACATTTTATTCAGCAATACATAAATTGAAACATTTTCATCACAGTTGAAATTTGATTTAATATAAATGGAAAAACAAAATGTTTATATAGTAATTTGTATAAAAGTAGGAAAAAATACAGGTAAAATTTAGAAAAACAATTTTTATACATAAAAAAAGAAAATTGATGTAAAAAAAAAACCCAACTATACATCATTTGCTTCTTACAATAGTTGCATTTACTTACATGTACCAGTATATTTATATACAAACATTTTGTTTGTTTTGTTTTGTTTTGTTTTTGTGCATCCCGAAGCAGCTTCTATACGGCGAGTTAGTAAATGGTACACGTTCCAATGGTGGTCAGAAAAAACGATACAAAGATTCCCTTAAAGTGTCCATGTAATTACTAATTAAACCATTTAGTCCATGTCCATATTGACGATGAAGTAAACTCACGCATAGCTAAAGCAAGTTCTGCCTTTGGTCACCTAAACAAAGCAGTATTGGGCCGACGAGGCATTACCACAACAACAAAGCTTAGTGTGTACAGAGCAGTTGTACTGACAACTTTACTTTACGCATGTGAGACCTGCACGGTGTACCAGAGACTCACCAGGAAACTAAACCATTTCCATACAGTTTGTCTCCGGAAAATATTGGGCATCAAATGGCAAGTCAAGATCCTGGACAGAGGTTCTAAACTGGGCAAATATGAACAGCATCGATACCATGCTATGCTCAAGTCAACTCCATTGGGCTGGACATGTTCGTAGAATGGATGACTCACGCATCCCGAAGCAGCTTCTGTACGGCCAGTTAGTAAATGGGTACACGTTCCAGGGGTGGTCAGAAAAAACAATACAAAGATTCCCTTAAAGTGTCCATAAAGCTGTTCCATATAGAACCTACAAAATGGGAAAACCTAGCACTCAGTCACAGTGCCTGGTGCTCAAGCGTGATGATTGGGGCAAACCAGTACCAAAAAGAGATGAAGAACCTGGCAGAGCAAAAATGCACAAAGCATAAAGAGAGAGCAGCCTCTGTTGACACTCCACTTAGACCTTCATGCCCAGTTTGTGGAAGGACGTTCCGTACAAAAATTGGTCTCATCAGCCATCTTCCCATTTACAACAAAACTTAACAGACGAGATGTTATTATGGTCATCTTCGACAACAAAGGACGAACTATCACTATTTATACACAAGGAGAAACTGAATAGATCCTGGTATGTTCAATCAATAAATGAAATTAAAAAATTGATAAACTTTCATTACTTTCTTTCTTTTTTTTTAAATATAAAGTCCATCTTATTTATGAATTTAGGACAAGATTAAATAAATACCACATTAAGAAAGACTTTTTGCAGACTTTACTTTCTTACAGATACATTTGTTGGTAGAAAAAAAAACACCCAAAAGTATATATTGAGGGGGAGAGGACATTGGTCAAAAGTCCTTCTGGTAATACATGTATAAACCCCTTTGTAGATAAAAGCTGTGAAGGTACATGTGGGCTAAAATGGAGAATACACATAAAACAAAACTAGATGACCCACCAAATACACATTGTACATTTACATATTATATAAATTACTAAAATGGCACAGATTTAAATAATGGCACTCTATGCATTGCATGTGTTACAAAATTAAATTTTGTATTTAATAATAAAATGACAACAGACATAAGTATCCGTCCATCTAATAATGCATGTGTGTACCATTAATTAATCAAGAGCATTAATTTTTTATGATGCATTAAACCAGTATCATTCTTTAATGTAAAGAATACATGTACAGTGTATAAATATGCTGACAGATAATGCAAATCCACCGAAATGAAAAAAAAAAAAATCACAGAAATAAAAAATCTTTTTTTATGATTTACCAAATTCTATCCTTATGTCTACAATGTTAATTTGTTTAATATGATAATAATTCTTTTAAATATACAAATTTTTTGACTAAAAAGAAAAAACCTTAAATAAATGGTTTGTGAGGTGCAAAGTGTGCATACATTTGAAAATTGAAATAATGTTTATACATGTACTAGTTAACTTCCCTCATATACAGTGTATACAGCACATATGCATTTTATATTTGATAGATATTCTAAAATATTTATCAGAATCTGATCACAAATAAGTAAATAATACAAAACTAATAAAAAAAATAAATAACATTAAAAAACACACTCCTGATTTCCTAATGAATATGGTATAACATCATAACAGTAAATCCTTTGTACTGATAATCCTTACATTATGAGATGAGTAAACACAACCAATATAAATCTGATTTTCCAAAAACAAGTATCAGTACATTAATACAAATGTAATCCTGCTTTTAAATAATCAACAATCCAAATTATCATTCTTGTATTACAGTCTGTGTGTCAGTTTACCAATCAAACACTATCACAGTGATAAACAGGCAATCAAAAAACATAGAAAATATTTTACATATTTGTAGATTTCTATTGTTTCAGAGTAATTCTTTACACATAAACATAGGTAATCAAAGATTACGAAGCTCACCTCGACGAATGTTATCAGTTTAAGTAATGCAAATCTCACATCATATTTTCTTAATATTTAGTATTCATCCCAACAACAATTATTCTTGCAAGTTGTGTTTAACCCCTTACATGGCATATACACATTTCTATGCGTGTAGCCTGAAAAACATGTATAGTGTAAACAAATATTCATAACTGTTAATACTGCAGATATCAAGGACTTCAAGTTCATTCGGATTGATCTGTTCCCAAAACTTTAACCTAGTCTCTTGTATGGAAAATATAGGTCAGATCCAGCATCCGATGCAAGTCTGATAGTGTCCATCCTTAGATGCACCATCCATGCAAGTTTGGTTTAGCTAGGGCTTATAGTTACTTGGGAATGAAAATGTAGGTCAGATCCAGCATCAGAAGCAAGTCTGATAGCGTCCATCCCTAGATACATCATCCATGCAAGTTTGGTTTAGCTAGGGCTTATAGTTACTTGGGAATGAAAATGTAGGTCAGATCCAGCATCCGAAGCAAGTCTGGTAGTGTCCATCCATAAATACATCATCCATGCAAGTTTGGTTTAGCTAGGACTTACAGTTACTTGGAATTAAAAAGTAGGTCAGATCCAGCATCCGAAGCAAGTGTGGTAGAGTCCATCCCTAGATGCATCATCCATGCAAGTTTGGTCCAAAAAGGGCTTATAGATATTTGGGAATGAAAATGTAGGTCAGATCAAGCATCTGAAGCTAGTCTGGTAGTGTCCATGCCTAGATACATCATCAATGCAAGTTTGGTTCAGGTATAGACTTATAGTTACTTGGGAATGAAAATGTAGATCGGATCCAGCATCCGAAGCAAGTCTGGTAGTGTCCATCCCTAGATGCATCATCCATGCATGTTTGGTCCAAATATGGCATAAAGTCACTTGGGAATGAAAATGTAGGTCAGATCCAGCATCCGAAGCTAGTCTGGTAGTGTACATCCCTAGATACATCATCCATGCAAGTTTGGTTCAGGTAGGGCTTATAGTTACTTGTGAATGAAAATGTAGGTCAGATACAGCATCCGAAGCCAGTCTAGTAGTGTCCATCATTATATGCATCATCCATGCAAGTTTGGTCCAAATAGGGCTTATAGTTCCTGTGGAATGGACCTGCTCCAAAAACTTTAACCTGGTCACTCATCTGGAAAATGTAGGTCAGATCCAGCATCCAAAGCAAGTTTTGTAGTGTCCTTTCCTAGATGCATCATCCATGCAAGTTTGGTCCAAAAAGGGCTTATAGATATTTGGGAATGAAAATGTAGGTCAGATCAAGCATCTGAAGCTAGTCTGGTAGTGTCCATGCCTAGATACATCATCAATGCAAGTTTGGTTCAGGTATAGGCTTATAGTTACTTGGGAATGAAAATGTAGATCAGATCCAGCATCCGAAGCAAGTCTGGTAGTGTCCATCCCTAGATGCATCATCCATGCATGTTTGGTCCAAATATGGCATAAAGTCACTTGGGAATGAAAATGTAGGTCAGATCCAGCATCCGAAGCTAGTCTGGTAGTGTACATCCCTAGATACATCATCCATGCAAGTTTGGTTCAGGTAGGGCTTATAGTTACTTGTGAATGAAAATGTAAGTCAGATACAGCATCCGAAGCCAGTCTAGTAGTGTCCATCATTATATGCATCATCCATGCAAGTTTGGTCCAAATAGGGCTTATAGTTCCTGTGGAATGGACCTGCTCCAAAAACTTTAACCTGGTCACTCATCTGGAAAATGTAGGTCAGATCCAGCATCCAAAGCAAGTTTTGTAGTGTCCTTTCCTAGATGCATCATCCATGCAAGTTTGGTCCAGCTAGGGCTTATAGTTCCTTGGGAATAGACCTGCTCCAAAAACTTTAACCTGGTCACTCATCTGGAAAATGTAGGTCAGACCCAGCATCCGAAGCAAGTCTTGTAGTGTACTTCCCTAGATGCATCATCCCTGCAAGTTTGGTCTGGGTAAGGCTTATAATTCCTTGGGAATGGACCTGCTCCAAAAACTTTAACCTGCTCCAAAAACTTTAACCTGGTCACTCATCTAGAAAATGTAGGTCAGATCCAGCATTCGAAGCAAGTCTGGTAGTGAACATCCCTAGATGCATCATCCATGCAAATTTGGTCCCGGTAGGGCTTATAGTTACTTGGGAATGGACTTGCTCCTAAAACTTTAACCTGGGACGCCGACGCTAACGCCGACGCCGGGGTATAGCATAAGCTCAACTCGACTTCATCGAGGTGAGCTAAAAATTGGAAATATCAATCTATTTCCAGACCTGCCTATCCTTTACATTGCAAGGGTGTAATTTTGGTAAAATTTTGGTGGAATTTCAGAGGTAAAAGCATAATTTGTTGTTTTTACTATTATACTTTATTTCTTTCAAAACATTACCGAAATTGTACATTACTAAGCAAAGATGGAATCAAATTTTCTTTTTCGAATCATCCATTGGCAACAAATGTAAAATACCAGTATCCTATATCAAACTCAATTCAACCGTACGTCCTTAATGAAGCCTTTGGTCAATTCGTATCAAGTCACATAATTGAAGGCTTGTGTTTGCATGTTTACACAAATCGTTCATTATAACATTGTACTTTATCTTTTGAACACTCACATTTCTCTATCTTGTTCTAAGCAACGTGAAAATAAACTAAACTGAGTATAGAAATGGCTGTACTTATTGCAATTTCATTTAATAGTTAATGTAAGTAGTGTCCTCTCATCTTCTTTCGAATCTTCACCGTACCAGTTTGCTTGTAACTACTACGTACCTCTATTAATTACTTTTATAAGAACTTCTCATTCTATTTCAGCAGGTCGTACTTTAACTCTTAACTCTAAATTTAGTCATTCATAAAGAATTTTAAACCAAAACATCAAAAGCGTAAAATTAATATCAGTGGCGTAATAGCGTAATTTTGTGGTAAAAAGCGGAAAAATTACGCCAAAAGCGGAAGGGTAGGCAGGTCTGTATTTCTGATTTTGCTTTAGATTTTCCAAAAGATGGTTTCTTTTATCACCCTTTGATCACATTTCTATAGATTTTAAAACACAGGTAAAAATAATACTAGCATAAACATGTGCTATAACATGAACTCCACAACGTAAAGTCAATGGCAGTGCAGCAGGCTCTACTTTAAAGGCTTCTCTTGGTTTAATCAAAACTTCCAATGCTCCCGAAACTTCCTGCACTCCCGAAGCTACTCATAGAACCCCAGCTTCCAAAGCTTCCCATCCCCCAGCCGTGACCCAGCATCTTCTTGGCCCCATAGCCGAGAGCTGCACCTCCAGCCAGACCTGCAACAGAAAATTTATTATACCCTGTAAACACATAAATCTGTTAATACAAGTGGAAAGGTGTTAATGTTATAGAAAACTGGGTTTGCTTTTGAATTGAAGATTGCATCAATTTTAATGATTTTAGTCCCATCCCTCAGGCTCAAGAATGGGGTCAGGAGAAGAAATACACAACTGTTGTTTCCTTTTAACTTATAGATGTTAAATGTTATATGCCAAAATTGGTTAAGTGATATGAGAAAAGAAGCTGATAATGTCAACAAGAGGCCCACGGGCCACATCGCTCACCTGAGAAGCTTTGACCATTCTGTTCTTTACCAGATTTCCCCCTTGTAATACATTATGTATCCCCACCCTACCCCACTGATCATAATTAAGACATTTTGAAATCAACTACCCCAGTATCCTTCCATGTGCAAATAAGTCTCAGCTTTTCTGGCACAGTGGTTCTTGAGAAGAAGATTTTCAAAGAATTTTCCTATATATTTTTATGTAAAACTTTGATCCCCCCATTGTGGCTCCACCCTTCCCCTGGGGGTCATGATTTAAACAATTTAAAATCTACATTACCCAAGAATGCTTCCACATAAGTTCCAGCTTTTCTGGCCCAGTGGTTCTTGAGAAGAAGATTTTCCAAGATTTTTCCTATATATTTCTATGTAAAACTTGGATTCCCCATTGTGGCCCCACCCTTCCCCCGGGGGTCATGATTTTTACAATTTATAATCTACACTATCCCAGGATGCTTCCACATAAGTTTCAGCTTTTCTGGCCCAGTGGTTCTTCAGAAGAAGATTTTCAAAGATTTTTCCTATATATTTCTATGTAAAACTTTGATTCCCAATTGTGGCCCCGCCCTTCCCCCGGGGGTCATGATTTGAACAATTTAATATCTACACTACCCTAGGATGCTTTCACATAAGTTTCAGCTTTTCTGGCCCAGTGGTTCTTGAGAAGAAGATTTTCAAAGATTTTTCCTATATATTTCTATGTAAAACTTTGATTCCCTATTGTGGCCCCGCCCTTCCCCCGGGGGTCATGATTTGAACAATTTAATATCTACACTACCCTAGGATGCTTTCACATAAGTTTCAGCTTTTCTGGTCCAGTAGTTCTTGAGAAGAAGACTTTCAAAGATTTTTCCTATATATTTCTATGTAAAACTTTGATTCCCCATTGTGGCCCCGCCCTTCCCCCGGGGGTCATGATTTGAACAATTTGATATCTACACTACCCTAGGATGCTTTCACATAAGTTTCAGCTTTTCTGGCCCAGTGGTTCTTGAGAAGAAGATTTTTTAATGACCCCACCCTATTTTGGTCTTTTCTTGATTATCTCCCCTTGCGAGGGGATATGTCCCTTCATTTTAACAATTTAAATTCCCCTTCACCCAAGGATGCTTTGTACCAAGTTTGGTCAAAATTGGCCCAGTGGTTCTTGAAAAGAATTCGAAAATGTGAAAAGTTTACAGACGGACAGACAGACAGACGGACGGACGACGGACAAAATGTGATCAGAAAAGCTCACTTGAGCCTTCGGCTCAGGTGAGCTAAAAATGTTAAGTGTATATACCTATTTATATTTTCTGAAGAAAATAAAAGGTCAAAGTAAACTTTTGTGGTGGTACACATATTTGAACAACCCATCATGATTGTCATTTAAATGCTTAGAGCAAAGAATATTGAACATAACAAAACAAACCTTCCAGAATTTTTTAAAACTTATTACATATGTAATGAAAGAAAAAAGTGAGCAAGCCCACATACCCCAAGCTCCCCCAAAACTCAAAATGCCAAAAATCCTGAAAAAATAAAGAAATATTGGAATTTCCTGATGTACATCTACATATTGTGTCCTAAATATGTGCAAAGTTTGACCAAATTCTGTGCAGCGGTTTATAAGGAGTTGCGCTGACAAAAAAAATGAAAGAAAAAGTGAGCTAGCTCACATACCCCACGCTCCCCCAAAACTTGACAGTGAAACACATAATGAAAGGCACAGTGCACTTTAAATACATAGTATAGATCAAAAAGGGCAATAATTGCAAAAAAATCTTCACATCAAAATGTCTTACATACATGTATGAGGACATTTAAATGTGGAATGAAGTTTCTAGATAAATAATGGAATCAAAATTTCTTGGCATTATACAAATCCAAACATTAATTTGAAGTGGTGGGGGAGAAATTTTCTTGAATAATAGGCAAAACTCTTTGGGATAAAAGAAACTATGTACAACAGTTTAAGAGGAGTGGTGCTAACAAACTGTTCATCTCTATATTCTAAATATGGCCAAAAAGTCTAAGTTGGAAAGTGTGGAAATTCCCAGAAAAATAAAGGAATCGGAATTTCCTGGTAATATGCACATCTACATATTGTGTCCTAAATATCTACAAAGTTTGATGAAATTCTGTGCAGCGGTTTATGAGGAGTTGCGCTGACAAACTGTTCATCTCTATATTCAAGGTATGGTCAAATGCCTAAGTTTAAAAGTGCGGAAATTCCCGCAAAAAATAATGGAATCGGAATTTCCTGGTAATATGCACATCTACACATTGTGTCCTAAATACCTGCAAAGTTTGACGAAATTCTGTGCAGCGGTTTATGAGGAGTTGCGCTGACAAACTGTTCATCTCTATATTCAAGGTATGGCCAAATGCCTAAGTTAAAAAGTGCGGAAATTCCCGGAAAAAATAATGGAATCGGAATTTCCTGGTAATATGCACATCTACACATTGTGTCCTAAATACCTGCAAAGTTTGACGAAATTCTGTGCAGCGGTTTATGAGGAGTTGCGCTGACAAACTGTTCATCTCTATATTCAAGGTATGGCCAAATGCCTAAGTTAAAAAGTGCGGAAATTCCAGGAAAAAATAATGGAATCGGAATTTCCTGGTAATATGCACATCTACACATTGTGTCCTAAATACCTGCAAAGTTTGACGAAATTCTGTGCAGCGGTTTATGAGGAGTTGCGCTGACAAACTGTTCATCTCTATATTCAAGGCATGGTCAAATGCGTAAGTTAAAAAGTGAGGAAAATCCGGGAAAAATAAAGGAATCGGAATTTCCTGGTAATATGCACATCTACACATTGTGTCCTGAATACCTGCAAAGTTTGACAAAATTCTGTGCAGCGGTTTATGAGGAGTTGCGCTGACAAACTGTTCATCTCTATATTCAAGGTATGGCCAAATGCATAAGTTAAAAAGTGCGGAAATTCCCGGAAAAAATAATGGAATCGGAATTTCCTGGTAATATGCACATCTACACATTGTGTCCTAAATACCTGCAAAGTTTGACGAAATTCTGTGCAGCGGTTTATGAGGAGTTGCGCTGACAAAAAAGGAGGACTGACTGACGGACTGACTGACTGACGGAAGGGTCAAAAACATTATACCTCCAGCAACTAGTTGCGTGGGGTATAAATAGGACTGATGGACTGACTGACTGACAGACAGGTCAAAAACATTATACCTCCCGCAACTTGTTGCATGGGGTATACCAGGCAATAATCATATTTGAAAGAACTTGAAGAACCTGCAATCTCAATAATATTGATAATATCCGAATGTACATAAAGGTTCTGACCTGCTGCTACTTTTCCTGCTTTACTCCCCAGTATTCCTCCTCCTCCGTGTCCTCCATGTCCTCCTTTTCCTCCCAATATTCCTCCCAGTCCTCCTAGGATTCCGCCCTTCTCATGATGTTGCTGTTGTTGAGGTTGACCTAAAAGGTAATGAATTACAGAATTTTTTTATCAGACTTGCATGTATCTAATATCATAGTAATATGAAAACTGCTTTAGATTTTTTATTTACAATATATGTCATATGCAAAAAGAATCAAAATACAACACATGAAAGAATATTACTAAAAGTGACTATCAGATTACTCATGAATTTCAGCTAAACGCTTTTCCTTATAATTGGTTTTCAGCTAGGAAGATACATGTATATGGAAGACTATTAACATCAGGAATATAAATATTGTCGAGAGTTGATGAAAAGTCCCCATCTGATCTAAGCACCAGGCATAATTCTAATATATTGTACATCATAAGATGAAGTGTAACTTAATCATGTTTTATAAAATTTAGGAATTACCATATGGCTGCTGTTGATACTGAGGGTACTGCTGATAAGGCTGCTGGGAGTATCCTTGTGGGGGAGGCCCTGGGGGGTAAGGACCAGGTTGTTGAGGGTGGGGAGCAGGTCCTCCATAGTATCCTCCTATAAACAGATCAATAATTATAAATCTTTTTTTAAATATGAAGAATTTAACATTGTTTATACATAGTGTTTTTCAAAATTAAACCCATGATGCAACTTTCATGCATATATGTGCAGTTATGGATCTGAAAATCAACTTACCTGGCACTCCATCGAAACCTATACCTCCCGGGGCTCCTGCATTATAAGAGGGTGGGGGATTTGAAGGCTGCTCCTGGGGACTTGGGGGTGGTGGGAGCTGTATGATATCAGAAATATCATTCATAATAAATAATAATATATAGTACATTGTAGTACATGAATGTTTTAAATGTTGCTTATCAGAAAATAAGCAATAATGTGCCTTTAAGTTGAAATTACTAAGTAATATTAATAATTTTGTCAAATCTCATTAATTTAAATAAAATAAATGTGCTTTAAAATATCTGTTTGATCTTTAGAAGAAAATAATTAAATTTAAAGGAAACTCTTAAAACTTATCATTAGGTTTATATATTAATTGAGTTTATCATGTCCATCGTAAGGAATTAGAACTCTTCGGTGGGCAGAGTTCGGAGCTTCATTAAACCAACTTTTAATGGAATATATAAATATTTCATACTTACAGTTTTGCAAATTGCATTCATCCACTCACTATAAAAAGATGTTTTTTAAAAATACACATACTGAAAAAACTGTCAGGGTTATTAATTTTATAGCCAAATGGAAATTCTCCTCATCAGTTTATTTACAATTCCCAAAAACAAACAAAACAGGACAATAATTTATAATTTCAAAACTTGAGTTACCATTATCCCAGACTACCCACTTACTGGAGTTCATTTGGATCATGACAAAGTAACCAGAAGACTTTACATTTGCTGTTATTCCTGGTTGGGATGGCTAGTAGACTGTCAATGGACGCCCCGTCAGGAAGATCGGGTCTGTCTGGAAATCCGTTCGTATACTGTCCATAGGCAAACCTCTTACATACATCCTAAAAATAAACAGTATAATCTGTAATATCAATTACTATTAAATGTAAATGTACAACAGAGGCAGAAACAGAGCTATATTTTTCCTCTACACTTTTGTTATAACTTCATGTTTAATTATTTTTAGAAATTGTTTGACACTTGAATGACTAATTTCCATAACATATTATAACGTGTATACTGAATTATGAAACAAAGATATTAGAACAATATGGTTATTTGGTTTTTACCCTTAAATGAATTCTGGCTTTCAATTCCGAATCATGTTGGTGCTTGTGAAGACACAAATCACTGTTGTCAAAGAGTTCAACCCAAGTATCTTTCCATCCCCCATGAAATAAGCTCTCTGAAACAAATTTTCTGATGTATAGAATTTAATATACTGCATTGCAGAATGTAAAAAATTACTTTTTAATATCAGGGAATAAATTAGCTGTGGGAAAATTGTCATTTCTGAGATTATTACATTCATGTATATGTATGTCTTACAATTTCAAATCTTATAAATCTAAATGTGTTGTAAATTAAAGAAGACGGTCATTACGTTTACAGTAAAATTACTAATTTTCTTTGGAGTTAAACTATTGTTTAGTTGATGGTGCAAAGAGATATTTTTCACAATATTCTTAATTTAAATACATAGACATTTATTATCAGGGGATTTGAACAGATAGCAAATGATGAAAATCCTTGTCACAGTCATTCAAAGAAAAAATTACCAAAATAATGTTTTTTATTTGATGTTTCCTGAAAGTTTGATTTGAATTCAATGATTAAGTGTCACAGCATTGTTTCTTCAGCATTCTTAAAAAACTAACAGGGGTCTGAGCTCGACCTTCCTATCCCCTAAATTGTGCAGTACCGTATATACTCGCCTATAAGTCGGATTTTTGGGAGTTAATTCCTACCCCTAGATTGTGCAGTAATATAATTATGTTGAAAAAGATACTCCTAATGCAGTCTGCACAATATCCACACAAAATTCATGGATCCTCCTCTCTTATCATCAGGAGTAACTTACTGCTGTGACGTTTCACGTATCCTGACTTCACCACTGACATTCTGTCTCCACCTTTCCCTGAGGGAACAAACTGAATTAAAAAGTTTTCATTTAAAAAAAAGGAGAAATTAATGATAAATTTGTCAAAAAATATGACAAAATACAATTATCTTAGGTAAAATAACTTTACAAACTTGATGAGTTATTTTGAAGGAAAATATCAGATATATTTTTGATAATTATTGTCCAAAATCATTCAAAAACAAACATTTTCATTTTTATTAACAAACTTATTTTTTCTAAAATAGACCAACCGAGTTATAATTAACATAAATCATAATTATTGTACAATCAGAATGAATGGTATGACTAATGCATATCTTTACAAAATGTTTAAAAAATTGTTTTCATGTAGATCTAATGTTATGACCGATTTATTGGGCCTTTTGCCAGTTACTGTTGTTGTTTGTGTCGGTAAAATATTTGTATATTTTATTTACTTATTTTGCAAGTCCACAGTTTTGGGTAAAACAGGCAATATTAATCCAAAGTTATTACCGTGATACTGACTGTCAAAGAGTAATAACCAATTATCATGTTAAAACGCAAAACTTATATGCTCGGTCAATGAACTAGGTTGCAGACGAATTTTAAAACTTTACTTGACCAGCTAAATTTTGATAACTTTTAAATTACATAACAAAAGATTATCCACATCAAATAAATTTGATAAAATTATTTAAAATAAACTTTAAAACAACCAACCTTTCAGTTAAGATTAACGAAAAGTATTGAAATTCCTTCTCTCTGCGTAGTTTACGATATGGAAAATTCGGGAAAATTTTAATTTTTCGTGGTACGAGCTAACAATTTCGAAAAAAATGTTAAGTTGAACAATGAATGAGTTTGGGAAAAAAGAACCTTCTACTGAAAGGAATTAAAAAATATTATTGTCAATATTAATAATATTAACTTTTGTTAAACATATATATAATCACATTCCTCAAAATACTATTCTTTTGATAAAATAAAGAAAATACCTATTTCGGAAAATTTCATAATGTATACCCGCGTTTGGTTTTGAATTATATTTATTTTCAAGATGGCAGCCTCCTTGAGAGTAATTTCCAAAGGCTGTGAAATTGGTTTAACGCAAAATAGAACATTGCATTCAAAACTTAAAGCCTTAAACTTGACGTACTTGAACTTCAGAAGAAATGCATCAGTGGTTCGCAACGTACCACCGAAAAGTTTTGAATACTGTTACGGTTTAGTAAGGTAAATTACATTATAGCATTTTCAGATTATATAACAGACATTCGATGACGTTGTCTATGCATGTATTGCTATATCAGCTATTTTGCACATGTTAAGAAAGTGTTCAAAAGAATGAACAATAAGGATTCATAATGCGTACGGTACAACAGGTATTTAACAGGACAGAGGAAATTCGAGTCGGTTGTGTTTACATAAAGGTCCAGTTCCAATCCCCTTTAGCAGTCTAGTCGAACCCTCAAACGGGGGTAAACGGATGTTGGAAATCCATACCCTCAAACGGGGGTACGGCGCATGCGCAGACACTCAAAAAGTGCCGTTTTCACGGAAAAACGTGTGGTCCACAAAATATGCTCGTGCAAAGTGATGGATTATTTCGTAGCTCTGTATGTACTCAAATTTGATAGATTAAAGATGTTTAAAGAGATTGTATTGCGAAAAAGTATATGTCTATTGTAAAAATCGAGATTTTTTCTCTCCCAAAGTTAGCGTATTCTGTGCCTTGACCTCCATGTTTGATACAACTAGATTTTTTATGCATAATTTGATAAAACGGATGAATAAACAAACAATGTTTTGTTTAAAGTTAAACTACATATAATTCCGTTCCCCGGTATTACAAATTTTGTGTAATGAACATGTTATTTATTATTTTTCGACACTTTCTTCTGTGCCCGTCCGAATTTCCTCTGTCTTGTAAACAAACTTTTGTGTTTCAGAAATGAGGTAAATAAAAACGAAAATTAATTTATTGGTTTTTTTGAATTGAAAACAAAGTGTAGACGATTCATTTTTGCATGTTCGTGATTTTTTTTTTTTTTTAAATATTTTTTAAAAAAGAAGATTTATCGTTCTTGAATTCCACTTTCGCGCTTTGCATTAAGGGAAGGAAAACCCTCGTTTGGGGGTATACCCCCGTCTGAGGGTTCGACTAGACTGTTTAGTCACAAATAATATCAAGCCAGTATACTGTATACACATTCATATGTAAGACTCCAAAGCCTTATGGTCTTGTCAAAGTATGACGGTCTGTGCAAGCCCCTATGGTTTGGTGTCTGCAGCTGGTCTGTTCAGATGTGAAAGTCTGATGGTTGTGCCAAGGACGGATGGCTTGTTTTCTATGAGATACACTAAAAAAGGATGGTCTGAAGCCGAAGTTTGACAATTCACATTTATGATGTTACAATGATCCAACATCAATCCTTGACACTATTGCCCATATTAAAATGGCATAATTCAAAAGCTAATATATTTTAAGAATAGTTCTTGGGCACAACTTTCTCTGACTGTGCTTATTAATAATATTTTGCTTGCACCCATCAGAGATGTTGTACTTAGGGCTAGTCCTACCTTATGAATGGTAAGGATAAGTTTTTTGACTATGAAAAAGCTTTGCACCAAACTGAAAGATTTAGTGTGAGTACACAACAAAATTGATTGTATCAGCCTGTGTATAGTGTAAGTTTAGCACCCACTACAGTGATTTAAGGTAGGCCCTTGCATAATATTTGACTGCTTAGGGCTAGTCACTATCCCAGCTGCAATAACTATTAAATAGGTTGTTGCATACATTTCAAGCACAGAAGGTTAGCCCACACCCATTCCTGATATAAAGGTTAGCCTCCCTGCCATTGAAGAAATTGGAGCTACATGTAGTACATATACTACAGATTAATTTTGATCCATTAAAAGTGACTATAAGCCCTATTTGCACCAAGTTTTCATAGATGATGAATCTACTAAGAAATGTACACTACTAATCCTGCTTCAGATGCTTGAACTTACTTATATTTTCTGGATGAGTGAATTTTAGCCATACTTTAACAAAAATTAGCATGGATGATGCATCTAGGAATGAACACTATCAGACTTGCTTTGAATGCTGAATCTGACCTACATTTTTCAAGACGAGTGACCAGATTTAATTTTTTATAGCAGGTCCATTTCCAAGTAACTATAAGACCTACCTGAACCAAACTTGCATGGATGATGCATCTAAGGTTGTACACTTCCAGACTTTCTCAGATGCTGAACCTGACCAACATTTTTTAGATGAATTACTGCCCTACATTTTCTAGATAAATGAATAGCTTAAAGTTTTTGGACCATTTCCCAATATCTGTTATTTTTATAAACAAACTTGCATGGCTATTGATCCTGGGATGCACTCTATCTAGAAAAAAAGATGATGTGAGACATGAGATTTGTCTTACTTACATGTTACTTACATTCATGGAGGTTAATTTTTGATACATGTGACCTATGTTTTCCATATAGGGTATGTTTTATCAAGGAAAGAGACATTTGCATAATTCTTTCTTATTGTAGTTATCTTTATTATTATTTTTATTTCCAACAATTTACTAAAATAATTAACTAAAATAAGTATTCTTTATATTTTGTAGGCAATATGACCATGAAAATTATCTATGTTCCTTGCTACTAAAAAGAGACCTTCGTGCTGCAGCTATTATTTTGAGAGCATTTAATATTGAAGTTGCTATGGTAAAGAATGGTATAAATTCTGATCATTAAAGCTTTGTGGATTTGTTTCAAGCCAACCCATTTGTAAATTTTATCCACAGTTCATAAAATTCAACCCTCTCCAAACTATTTATAATTCTGAGACTTTTTAAAACTAATAAAAGTATGATGTTGATGACAGATTAAGTTTATGGTTCAAGTTTCTTTGACAACATCTGAAAATGATTAGATGTGAACATGTAAAATATTGTTTTTGATCAATATTACCGGTATTAAATATATATTATTGATACATTATAGTGAACAGATTTATAAACAAATTGAAACATTCCATTGTTCACAATATAGTAATAAAACATACATTTCCTCTAAAGAAAAATTTATGATTTAATGCTACCACCTTTGTTAGACTCCATATTTATGACAAGACTTGATTGATATTTCACTATAGGAAACTTGTGTATGTATTTTAGGTGGCAAGCAATGTAACAGACCCAGTTAGGGGTCTTGGAAGGTTCCAGTTCTGGAGAGAAACTCTGGAAGAAATCTACAATCCAAAGGCAAGTGTCTACCCATTTAGCTGCAGATCTGTATCGTTATGGTTTTATATATTTGTCTTTGACCATAACGCTACAAATCCTGTAATGCAAAAAAGGTGCAATTTATGACGCAATATTTTTTGCGCACTTTTGGGTAGAATTTCTCCACTTTCCAGCATCGGTCAAATAACTACCTTTCACTCCCTAATTCTAGGCACATTATTTAACTAATCTGTACATTTTATCCATCTCCCAACCCTTCAAGTGATAAACTTGCTTGATTAAAATTATTTGTTAGATTGCTGAAAATTCACTTCAAGAGAGTTTATTGCCTGTAGAGACAACAATAGATGGTTGGGAGGTTGATAAAATATACATATTGACTACAGAATGTGTCTAGAATTTGGAAGTGAAAAGTAGCTGATTGACCAATGCAAGAAAGTGGAGAAATTCTCCGTCAAAGTGTGCAAAAAATACAGCGCCGTAAATTGCACCTTTTTTGCATTACGGGATCTGTAGTGTTATGGTCAAAGACAAATATATAAAACCATAATGCTACAGATCTGCAGCTACTGCCTGTTATACTCTAAACTTTTATGATACAAGAAATTCATCCAAGTAAAAATTTCCTTAAAAAGGCGAGAGTTATTTTTAATTAAAAACAACATAATCTTTACCTTGAAATAGGATCAAGTTTATTATCATTATCTTATTTTCTTGTTTGATTTTAGGGAAATGTACCTCAAACACCAGTAGGCCAGTTGTTAAATTGGGTTTGTACTTTTCATCAATCTGCTTAAACTTTTAAAACATAGAAATTTAGCATGTTTTATAATTTTATTTGAAGGTTTCATTATAAATCCCTGTTCATGAGAATCCCTATTAAAAGTTGATTAAATTTTTTTTACAGGTAGTAAATGATTACAGGGTCTCCAAATCATGGCTGTCCAGGCTGATTGAAGCAAGGGTAAGTTAACAGTGAAGAAAGTCAAATGATAGGAAACCATATAGAGTATATTATATTAGTCTTTGTGAAAAAAGTTCTGGTCAGTCATAACTGTCAAATATCAACAAAATCATTTCATTATTATTTACAGGCATCCAATCCCATGAGTCAGTTTAAGACACTGGTGGAGATGGACAATTATTATGAACAAGTTGTGGCCTCAATGAATTATTTATTACTTGAATTACATGGTAATAACCTTTTAAAATGCAAACTTTCCTTTCAAACTTTACCATGTATAGAACATATGTAGCAGTATACAGTCAAACTCCACTATCTCAAAATTATTGGGACTGTGAAAAAACTTCAAGATACTGAATGGTTCAATACACATGTATTGAGGGTAAAATAATAGCTATAAATCTGTAGCTGACTGGTCTGAAAAGATGAATGACCAAAGAGCCACAGTGCCACCAATTGAAAAAAAGTGTATATTTTTTGTGAACAATAAAAGGGCCATATCTGTACCTGTATATATGGCAGATATTTATGCTCTTAGTGTTTAATAGGTATGTAGCTATGTTACCAGTAATTGCAAGAGATTTGAACCCCTGACATTTGATTAGTAATGCTCTACCAGAAGTTCCACATAAGAAATGAGTCAATTTTTATTTTTTTTAATTCAATTTGGAAGGTGTCAAAGACGTACAAGCAGACCATGCTGCCAGTCATTTAGGGCGGTGTTACGGGATGGTAAATTTATTAAAGGTCACCCCATCCCAGCTGTCACAAGGAAATGTTATGTTTCCCCATGACTTATTAGCAAAGGTAAAACATTTATACCCTTTTTTTTTATTTTGTAATGTACATGCAAGGAAAATTTTATTAATAATAAATAAAACCTTATATAAGTATTAAATGTTAATTTCGAATACACATAATACCTGATATGTCAATTTACAATTCTGGATTAATATATTAAAAATGTAATAAAAATTTTTTTGTAATGCCTGTGAATGCAGGAAATAAAGACTCCATATTTATCTTCTGCTTTTTTTTTCAATGCAGCATTCAGTATCTCAGGAAGAGGTCATCCGAGGGAAAAACTCAAAAGGTGTTAGTGAAGTTGTGTACGAAATAGCAAGTGTAGCAAAGCAGCATTTAGACAAGGTAAACTCTCATTGATTAGCATTAACATTGCTATCATTAATTATTGCAATAATGTCATTGTTTAATAGCTTTACCTTTTAAAGTGATGATATACCTTCTTTGAGAGAGAAAATGCCTGCATCTTTTCCAAGAGGATTTCTAAACACTCAAAACAAAAAAAGGAATTAAAACAAAATTACATGGAACAAAACTAAAATCTGTCTTATTTTAAATGTCTTTTTAATTGAGAATTCCTATATTACAAATGCAGTTAAAATGTTTTTTTCTCTTTGCTTCAAAGGCCAGATCATTGAAAGGAAATGTTCCAAAGGAGGCTATACCCGTGTTTCTTCCATCTGTAAGTTTAATTCTCACATCAAATATAATTAATGAGTTAAACTTTTTTAAGTCTGGCATGTAAATAGAACAACTTTATTATCATGCAATATTTTTCCCTAATCTATAAGTTATATACATGTATTTTTTTACTTTCCAATAAATTTCTCCATTAAAATGATTTTGAAAATTCTCTCTGTTTTCTTTTAGGTGTTTTGTGATAATTACCTGACTTACTTACAAAAAGTGGACTTCAATGTGTTTGATCCAGCACTAAATAAGAAGAAATTTCTATACCACAAACTTTTACTGCAAAAATTCAAGAAAACCTATTAATATCAGTCTGGTTAGAGGAGATGTGGCTTCTGTGTTGCTGCATACCGTTTCAGTTATGTGTCAAACTATTCAACATGGGAGCAGAATTAGGATGCAACAAATTTCTGATTAACAGAGATTCTTTGTTTTATTATTATTTGATTAAAGAATGATTTTGAAGAAAAAGTTACTTATGTCCCATCTTTTTTTTTTTTTTAGCTTACCTGAGTCGAAGGCTTAAGTGAGCTATTCTGATCAAAAGCCTGTTGTCTATCGTTGTTGTTGCAAACTTTTCACATTTTCATCTTCTTCTTCAGAACCACTGAGCCAATTTCAACCAAACTTGCCACAAAGTATCCTTGGGTGAAAGGGATTCAAGTTGTTCAAATGAAGGGACAACCCCTCTTCCAAGGAGAGATAATTATGAAATAGTGAAAAATTGATGGCATTTTTTAAAAACCTCAAGAACCACTGGGCCAGGAAAGATGAAACTCGTGGAAACATCCTCAGGTGGTGTAGATTCAAGTTCGATCAAATCATGAACCCAGAGGGTAGGGTGGGGCCCCAGTGTTGTATCAAAGTTTAACATAGGATTATAGAGGAAAAGTCTTTAAAATTCTTCTTCTCAAGAACAGCAAAACCATGTTTAGCCATAGTTAAATGGAGGCATCCTCTGGTAGTGTAGATTCAAGTTTGTTCACATCATGACCCCCGGGGGTAGGGTGGGGCCACAATTGGGGATCAAAGTTTAACATAGGAATACATAGGAAAAATCTCAAGGTCAAAAATATTTATACCTTGGTACTCATTGAAAGGTCTTGTCACAGAGTGGTGATGGATGAGGGTTACGGAGCACCGTCAAAATTGAGTAATTTACTAATTTTCACTTTATAGTATTTACTGCTATACCTCTAATAAATGGAGCTGTAACGAAATAAAATTTACATGTGTAAATAAAGTATTCCTGTATTAATTAAAATGAAATCAGGTTATGTAATATGTCGCTCCGTTTAAAAGATATCAGTTTTTAAATACATATGGACTTGATTAAAAAAGGCAAAAAACCATGACGTTGGAGGACGTCACGGAGCAGCAAATAGCAATAAAATTGTACTTTACATTCGGGAAACTTCTTCTTTAAGCTTAAAAAATCTGTAGAAACCAGGATCTGTATGAACAATAAATATGTGTAATTGTATTAAATGGAAAATACAATTTTTGAGTGGTAGCGAGTTTGAATTGGACGATGGATTGTCTGCAAAGAAACAGGTTAAAGTTAAAAATATTGTCAAAAGAGTTAGGAACGTCATTGAACATGATGTGTGCTACACTATTGCAGAATTAATAGAGTTACATGGTAAATTAAAGAATTTGAAAACAAGGACATAATTCAAGCTATATTTGTACAATTTTTAGCACACTAAGTGTTAAGTGTTATGGATATGTTTTTTGAATGGAGAAGACGCTACAAACCGTGTTTGAAATTAAACAAGCTAATTCAGAGAATTTGTGTCCCCCGCTTAAGGAAAAAGTAAAACATGCGCAGTTCGAGGGGAGGGAGGGGGGAGAGTTGGACCCCCCTCACTGAATTTGTAGAATTATTAAATGTATACATGCATGTATACTGAAGCAAATAAAATATACCATTATGGATATACACATTTAATTGCTTATTCTTTATTATGTGTATAGAAGATGCTTTTTATGTGGAATATTTATCACACTGTAATGATGATTTTATGAGTTTGTACAAGCCAGACCTCGTAAATTTTTCATTTCGCGTGCTGAATACTATTATTTAGTTAAAAAAAAAGTATTTCAAAAAAAAAATAAAGTCTGCCCGGGACTTGAACTCGGGACCTCTCACATTGAAAGCAAGAAACACTCGCTAGACCACTAGCCCACGGAATCGCTTTACATAGTGTCAAGTATATGCAGAAGTGAAGTCACATACATGTATATACAGTGTATTCATGTTCGGTATTGTCAAAATTTTACACAGTCCATGGTGTTTGATTTATTTAGCCTTTATTAAACAGTTCTAATAGATGTAATAAGAACATAAAGTCTGCCGAGAACCTGTTTTATACGCAATAACTCTCCTCATGCCCCTGTGCTAAAAATAGCGACATGTAATACTATAAATACTAATAAAACAAATGGGGCGGGGCACTTTGAGAGGGGTGAGAGAGGTCCTAGGCAGTTTGGGTAAAAAATTACATTGAATAAGCTCAAAATCTTCTTGAAATATCGCCCGGAAATGATAGTGTTACACACAGACAGAATGTGTAAATTTACGACCTTGAACTTTGACCTTTTGACCTCAAAATCAATAGGGGTCTTTATTAGGCCACAGGGAGTTGTTATGTAAAATTTCATTGCAATAGCTCAAATGGTTCTAGAGATATCGTGTGGAAACGAAAGTATTATAAGAGACAGAATTTGCTTATTTATGACCTTTGACCTTTTGACCTCAAAATCAATAGGGTTCTTCTTTAGTCCATAGGGAGTTGCTATGCTAAATTTCATTGCAAAAGCTCAAAGGGTTCTCGAGATATTGTATGGAAACAAAAGCGTTACAAATTCTCCCACACTTGCTTCCAACCCCACTCTCCCTCTCCCCACTTTCTCTCTCCCAATCTCCCCACTCGACAATCTCTCCCTCCCTTCTCTTCCCCCTCTCTCTTTCCCAACTACATTATTGTATATTGCTCCCCACTCTGTCTCTCTCTACCACTCCCTCTCTCCCACTCTGCACATTTTCTCTCTTCTGCCCACTCCCATTTCTCCCACTCTCCCATTTTCTCTCTTCTCCCCTACTCTTTCCACTCCCTCTCTTTCCCACATACCCAACTCTTTTCCCATTCTCCCATTCCCCCCACATACACTCTCTCTCCCCACTCTCTCTCTCCCACTAACCCCACTCTCTCATTCTCTCAAACTCTCTATCCCATTCTCTCCCCCTCCCACTCTATTCCCATGCCCTATTGCCATCCACTTTATCTCTCTCTACCACTCCCTATCTCCCACTCTCCCCATTTTCTCTCTTCTCCCAACTCCCTCTCTCCCACACTCCCCATTTTCTCTCTTCTCCCCCCTGTCTCTCTTCCACTCCCTCTCCAACTTACCCCCAATCTTTTTTCCTGATTCTCCCTCTCTCTACCACTCTCCCCCACACACTCTCTCTTCCACTCACCCCACTCTCTCACATTCTCCCTCACTCTACCACTCTCCCCACATACACTCTCCCCACTCTCTCCCACTCTCCCCACTTTCTATCCTTCTTTCTCTTTCTCTCATTATCCCCACTCCCTCTCTCCTTCTCTCTCTACCCCACTCTTTTGCTACCCATTCTACCTCTCTACCCCTCTTCCCACTCTCCTAATCACCCTACTCTCCCATATTTCTCTCTCTTCCACTCTCCCAACTCCCTCATATCTCCCCTGTAACACTCTCCCCAGACACTCTAACTCACACACACACACATACGAGGGTCGTTAGAAAAGTTCGCGGACACTTTGAATTACGGAAAATCTATTTTGTACTGTGAAGTATGACCTATGTCTGAATAAATTCCTACATTTTGTTTATTGGTATGTAAAAAATCAGGTTCATATAATAAAATCTTGAAAATTTACAACGATTTTTACTATGAGGTCATGGAATTCACGGAGCAATCACTTGACGTAAGGCGATGTGACAACCCGATTTCAACCGGTAAAGTTTTGTCGCAGTGTTCTATAAATCTTTCATTTCTTCAGATTTTTCTTATCTATTTTCTACTTTAAAATTGAATATCTATATCAAGACATATTACTTTTCTTTTATATAATGTCTTTTGTACTGATTCGGATATTATTGAGATCTTTAAAAAAGTCTATGCAGTTAATCGATCAGGTATGGAAACTATGCAAAACCATATAGGCGCAACGCAACGTCCATGCGATATGGGGGTATTGAAGTATCGATGGAGGTAATCATTCAAAATGTTAATCCTTCCATTCTTATGAAGCTACAACCATTTGAAAACTTGTCCTTTGTAGGTGTAGGATATTCCCGGCAGCATCTTGAACATTTTAATCTCTTTTTAGACATTTTCCAGTCTGCATACATAATTTTTACATAGTGCAGTGCTCCATGACGCTAAATGACGTTCCGATTTTTGGCTGTGTTTTTAAGCGTTGATCAGTTAAAAACGGCTATAAAACAGTCATATACCCTCCAATTTAGTTCAAAATTTCTCCCAGTGACGTTTCATGAATACTATAGCGGCAGGTAAAATATCAGAAAACTCTTTGCGGTACAATTGTGCAATTTTTAATTTTAATGAAGAGTCTTTGTGATGTAAACGTGCCAAAATGTAGCATGCTCCGTGAAGCAAGATTTATCAAAAAGAAAAAGCTGTATATTTTTCAATAATCATCGGAGAGCACCAATTTCTTGTATATTATTTGGAAAAAAGGTAAAGATTTTATCTGCAAAGTTTGACCGGTTTCGTGGAAATAGCGCGCTCACAATAAAACTTGTCCGCGAACTTTTCTAACACCCCTCGTACACTCTCTCTCTTTCTCTACCACTCTCCCCACCCACTCTCTCTCTCCCCACTCTCTCATATTCTTCCTCTCCCTCCCCACTCTCTTGCTTTCTCCCACTCTTGCCCTCCACTCTCTCTCTCTCACTCAACTCCTCTCACTCTCTCCCAATGCTCCCCACTCTCTCATTCTTTCTCTCTCTCTCTCTCCACTCTCTCTAGCTCACTCACCCCTCTCTCTCCTACTCTCTCTCCCACACACCCTACACCTTCTTTCACCCCAATCTCTCTCTTCTCTCTCTCTCTTTCACCCCACTCTCTCTCTCCCACACACCCACTCTCTCACTCACCCCACTCTGTCCCACTCAACTCTCTCTCTCTCCTACTCTATCTCTCACTCACCTCCTCTCTCTCTCTCCCACTGTTACTCTCTCCCAATTGCCCCTTTCTCTCTCTCTTTCTCCCCTACTCACCACTCACTCACCCCTCTCTCCTACTCTCTCACTAACCCCCCCTCTCTCTCTCTCTCACTCACCCTTCTCTCTCACTCTCCCACTCAACTCTCTCTCTCTCTCTCTCTCTCTCTCCTCTCTCTCTCTCTCTCTCAGCTCAAAATCTTCTTGAAATATCGCCCGGAAATGATAGTGTT